TCAGAAGGACAGGGCTGGACACGGGGCACAGGACCGGACAAAGGGGGACAGAGCCAGACATGGGGGTCAGGGCCAGACACATGGGGAGACCAGGGCTGGACACGAGGGTCAGGGCCAGACACTCGGAGGGACAGGGATGGACACGGAGCACAAGGCCGAACACGAGGGGTCAGGGCCGGACACAGGAGGACAGGGCAGGACACGGGGGGACAGGGCTGGACACAGGGGGCGGGGACAGGGCCGGACACAGGGGATAGGACCAGACACATGGGGAAACGAGGGCTGGACACGTGGGGTCAGGGCCGGACACTCGAGGGGACAGGGTCGGACACTCGGGGGCGCTGGGAGAGACCATAACCAGCCACCTGGGGGAGATGGGGGCTGGTCACACACAGGGGAAGACCAGGACCAGACCCACCTCTGGCCACGCCCCTGAGATGGAATCAGCATCCTCTCAGGACACCCCAGGACACCCCATGTCAGAATGCTGGAGCAATGAGGGCGCCCCGGGGGGAGGCCGAGCCAGAGGCTCTTGCAGCGGCGCCTGCAGGCCCCTGCACAGCCCTCGAACCAACCGAGGTGCTCTCGGAGGGTTGGAGTACCCACGTCTCCTCCCCAGGTGTGCCACTCGCCTGCGTGGTGGGCCACGTCTGATCAGCCGGAGACTATGGCTCACACTCAGCCCCAGGTTCCCGGTCCCAGCGCTGCTCCCCTGCATCCCCGCGACCGACCCACAGTCTCTCAGGACAGGACAGAGGATCGGGGGCCAGGCGGGAGGCAGACAGTGGGTGAGGGGAGGCAGGTCGCTGAGGACAGGACTCCGAGCTGAGCAGGAGGCCGAGAGAGGACAGGCAGGCGGGCGGGTAGGTGAGACAGCAGGCGGCACACACCGCAGGCAGGCGCCCCGGGGCGCAGTGAATGCACCCCTCCGCCGGGACCTGGGGTGGGCAGCAGCCGCGGGGAGGCTGCCTGTGCCCCAGCCGTGAGCCGTCGCAGCTCGAGCATGTGAGGCTCATGTGTCCCGAGCTCAGGCACGGGACTCAGCACCCACGCACGTGGCTCACGCATGGGGCTCCTGCATCCGGGCTTCTGTGTCCAGGGTTCGAACATCTGGGACCCGTGGATGGCCTGGTGCTGGCCCACACACCTCAGCGGCCTCCACTGAATGTGTCTCACAGGACGTGGACATGCAGGGAGGTCAGTGGCTTGACAGCCCCGAGTCCTGACCTGACCTCTGTGCCGGCCAAGCCGGGAAATGGCCCTCGCTGGAAGGGGCACAGGCCGTTCCGTGCCAACTCCACCTGCCGCTGCACCCCACAGCTGCATTTTCTCCTTGGCGGCCAGAGCACAGGGTGAGGGGGTGTGACACCCCTCCTCCCAATGCCCAGTGGCCCTGGGACCACGTGTCCAGCAGGCTGCCACAATGACCCCCTTGGACCGGGCAGCTCTGGAAGCTGTGACCATCCTGGGCAGGAAAGGCCCCAGCTGTGGTCACAGTAGAGGGGACCACCCACCGGGGACAGCAAACGGCACCCCTCGGTGTGCCCCTCCGTGGCCCTCCCGCACTGTCCGGGCCTCCCTTTCGTGGTAAACTGAGGCAACTGCTTGGTCACAGCCACTTTATCCCAGTCGGGTGGGCCCCAAGTCCCCCCCCAAACCTGGCACAGAGTGGAACCGCAACCCAGATACAAGGTGGCAAGTGGACACGGCGCTTGGGGCATCAGGAGACCCAGAGTCGCCACAAGAACCGAGGGAGCCCTGTGGGATGCGCCCCGCCCGGAAGGTGTCCCTGCACCCCAGGCCGACTTCCACGTCCTCTCCTCAGCAGGCACGGAGCTCGCGGGTGAGCTCTGAGGACAGCCTGGGCTACACCACGTCTGCGTCCTCGACCACACCCGCATCTCACCCTCCTCTACGCCCCACCTACACCCTCGGCTACACCCTCACCGCACCCACATCTAAGTCCCCAACTACACCCTCAACTTCACCCTCCTCTACGCCCCACCTACACCCTCACCTCGCTCTCATCTACACCCACCTACGCCCTATCTGCACCCACATCCACGTCCTCGACCACACCCTCACCTCAGCCTCCTCCACACCCTTGTCTGGATCCTCATTCACACCCTCATCTGTGCCCGCACCGACATCTATACCTTCACCTACACCCTCGACTACACCCTCACCTGCACCCTGATGTCCACCTGCCTCTACAGCCATACTCACACCCTCATCGACGCCTAAACCTACGTCCTAATCGGCAACCTCAGCTCGCCCCACGTCTCCACCCACATCTCCGCCCACACCCTCGTCTACACCCACATCTGGACCCCACCTGCAAACATCTTCGCCTACACCCACACACACCCTCATCCAGACCTCCGCACACCCCCGCAACAAGAAGCATCTAGATCCTCACGACACCCTTCCCCACAGCCACTCGACACTCGATCCATACGCTCACCCTCACCCACACCCACAAACGTCTCCGTCCTCACCCACACCCTCATCTACAGCCGCGTCTAAACCCTCGGCCACGCCCTCACCTATACCCGCCTCTACACCCACAACGAACACCTGGTTCCTCACCACACCCGTCTCTACAGCCACTCTACACCCGCATCTACACTTTTGTGTACACCCTAGTTTAAACCTGTCCCTACATCCTCAGCTACACCCACAAACATTCACCCTCGTCTCGCACACCTCCACCCACATCGCCGCCCTTTCTGCACCCCCACATGACCCTCTCCACACCACGTCTACACCCACGAACATGCCGCACTTCCCGCTTCCGCCCTTTCCCACAGCCTCGTTACCCCTTCCCTCTGCCCCCACTGACAGCCCGTCCATACCCTCACCCATGCCCACGTCTACACGCTCAGCTCCGTCACCATCCACACCTTCGCCTGTACCCGCGTCTCCGTACGCTCTGCCTCTACTGCCCACTTTGTCCTCTCTCCTCTCACCCAACTCTCTGCTCCCCCACTTTTACTCCCTTGGGTCCACCCCCAAAGCTGCTCAGGGCTTACTCCTGGCGGCGCATGGGGGACCGTATGGGACGCCTGCGGCTGGCCGTGTGCAAGGACAGCGCTCACCTGCCATGCTACCGCTCGGGCCCTGCTCCCCACATCGGATTAGCTCCCACACCCCGTTCTCTGCCTTCCTACCCAGCTCCTGGCCAGTTTGGCCCTGGTTCTTCTGACACAATCATTCTTGAATTTTTTTTTCTTTTTGGGTCATACCCAGCAATGCACAGGGGTTCTCCTGGCTCTGTACTCAGGAGTTACTCCTGGTGGTGCTCAGGGGACCCTATGTGATGCTGGGAATCGAACTCGGGTTGGCCGCGTGCAAGGCAAACGCCCTACCTGCTGTGCTCTCTCTCCAGCCCCATGTGTTTGAAGTCTATGCTTTAAAAAAAAGTCTTATTTGGGGCCAGAGCACTAGAACAGCATGGAAGGCCCTTGACTTGGCTGACCCAGGTTCGATCCTGCATCCTGTAAGGACCCAACCCCCGCGGAGCAGGAGCCAGTCCTGAGAGCCTTCCTTTTTCTCCTCCCTGCTGGCCAGGCATGTCCAGCCTCTGCATAAAATCACTCCCTTCCCTCGGCCAGGCTGGCACGAAGGCTGGGAGGCCACACCTGCAGCCCTTGGGCTGGTGCAAGGGACTGACACAGGCCTGTGGTGCCCAGGGCCGTGTCCCCGATGGTGAGAGCTCCGGCATGAGCCACCTCCCAGCCCCTGTCCTGATTTCTGGGGGATGAGGGGGCAGGGGACACCCAGTAGAGCTCAGGGTTTACCCTGCCTCTATGCTCAAGGATCCCTCCTGGCGGTGCTCAGGGCACTACACGGGATTCTGGGGCTCGAACCCAGGTTGGCTACATGCAAGGCCCGCGCCCTCCCAGCTGTGCCCTTGCTGCAGACCAAACCCCGTGGCTAAGTGGCCGCAACACCACCGTCCCAGCATGTCGTCCCCAAGACAGTTTCATTTCAGTCCGTGTCTGTCTGGCCGGCGCGGGCCTGAGTGGGCCTGGTCTGTTCCCGTCACGCCCCTGGCTGTGCGAGGTCTGGGCCTGAGAAGGCGGCCGCTGGCCTGCCACAAAACAGGGCGCACCCCCGAGCAACGCGCAAAGAACGTGGACAGGGGTCAGGCCCAGCACGTCAGGACCCCGACCTGCTTGCAGCATGACAGGAGACCCCTCCACATGTCCAAGGCCCTGTCCACGAGCCCGGACAAACGCCCACTATGCAGGCAGAGACCCACACCTGCGAGAAAGCGCCAACAGCACTGAGAGAGGTGGCTGGACACCGTCCACACCACCAGCTGGACAGGAGCAAGGGCAAAGGGCAGGATGCAGCGATGGGCGCTGTCTCCATGCAAGGGGGCTCTTGGGGGTGGACACCAGCTCAGTGACAGGGTCACCTGGGTGTGGACACTGTGTGAGGGCAGTGACGGGGGGACCTGGGTGTGGACATTGGGTTAGGACAGTGATGGAGGCCCTGGGAGTGGACACAGGGTCAGGGCAGTGATGGGTCACCTGGGTGTGGACACTGGGTCAGTGAACACAGCGGGGTGCTCTAGACAAGCCTTCCAGAGATACAGGTTAGGGTGTGTCCTCCCCCTGCTGGCCTGCTCCCCCCATCCACTATGCCTCAGTCTCAGGGAAGCCAAACACTAGGGGCCTTCACAGGGTGACGGAGGCACCTGAGCTGGTCTGTCACCTCCTCACAGGGTGCCCGGCAGGGGCTGGGATCGGCGCCGCCGGGCAGCTGGGTGGCAGCTAGATCTGGCGTCCAGACAAACCCCCATGAAGGGGGACAGGGCCAGTGGGTCACCCCTCAGCCTAGGCCCGTGCCCACAGGGGCTCGTTGCCCCTTGGCCACTCCACTTTGTGCCTAGGCAGTCCGATCCCCTCCCACACGGCCCCGAGCTCTGCCCAGGGGGCGACTAAGCCACGCCCACAGGCGCCCCAGCCCCCTCCTCAGCCAGAACCGGTCAAGACCATCCAATAATTTACTGCGACTCAGCCTGTGCCCCCCAGGCCGGGACAGCGGGCCCGCGGCTGCAGACCCCACAGTCTGTGCAAAGCGTCCTTGGAGGCTTGAGTTCTGGACCCGGCAAGGAGGGGACACGGCCTCCTCCGTGGGCGTGGGCGGGGCCAAGAGATGGTCCTTGCTTGGTGGGCGGGGCCAGAAGGCCCTCGTGGGCGGGGCCAGGAGTAGGTCCTTCGTGGGCGGGGCCGGAAGGTCCTTCGTGGGCGGGGCCAGGCCCTCCTTGGGCGGGGCCGAGGGCGAGGGCGCCCTCCCGCGGCGGGGCTAGGAGAGCAGGCAGCGGCAGCTGGTGCAGCCCGGGCCGCCCTCGTCGGGCGGGCTCAGCTTGCGGGCCTTGTGCAGGCGGATCTCTCGCACCAGTGTGTAGAAGGCATCCTCCACGCCCTGCGGAGGAGCAGCAGCTCAGGGCGGCTCTGCGGGGGCCCTCGTGGGACACCGAGCTCCCCGTGCGACCCCTCAGGTGCTCATCCTGCAGGTGTCCTGCTCATCCCCGGGACGACGCCCCGCGCCCGGCTCTGCTCCCGTCTCTGACCCGCTGGCTCGCTAGGGGCCGGGGCCGTGGGCTGTCTGGGAGCTGGGGGCCCCGGGTGACCGCTCCGGCCTGGCTCAGGGCAGCTCTCTCCAGGGACGTCCACCTCCCCGCGGAGCGTGTCAGCCCAGACCCCGGCCCTGGCCGCCCTCGCTGCCCTGCAGGCTGGGGAGACTTACAGAGCCAGGGGCCGCTGGGTCCCGGGGGTCCCGGAGCTGGAGCCAGAGCCAGAGCGGGGGCCCTGTGTGGAGGGAGAGGGGATGAGCACTGCCCCCTCCCGGCGGGGTCCCTAGCTGCCTGCGGCCCGGGCCGGCACTCACCTGGCGCGTCTTGGCCGACGTCTCGATGTAGGGGATGCCGTAGCTGCGCGCCAGGTCCTGCGCCTGCCGCGACTCCACGGTACGCGCGGCCAGGTCACACTTGTTCCCCACCAGCACGGTGGGCACGTCGTCCGAGTCCTTCACGCGTTTGATCTGCTCCCTGCGTGGAGGCGGCAGTGAGCGGCTGCGGCCAGAAGGGTGAGGGGAGGGGTGGGGCAGGGCGGGGCATCCTGGGCGGGCACTGGGCTGAGAGGCTGAGAGCGAGCACTGGGGAGGGGGGCGTCGAGGGTGAGCACTAGCGGAGGGCACCGAGGGCAAATTCTGAAGAGGGAGTGGAGGGTGAGCACTGGGGGGCGGGACATCATGGGGTAGGCACTGGGGATGGGCTGCCAAGGGCGAGCCCTGAAAAAGAGGCACTGGGGCTGGAGCGACAGCACAGCGGGGAGGGCCTTTGGCTCGCTCGCGGCCGACCCGGGTTCGATTCCCAGCATCCCATAGGGTCCCCTGAGCACCGCCAGGAGTGATTCCTGAGTGCAGAGCCAGGAGGAACCCCTGTGTGTTGCCAGGTGTGACCCAAAAAGCAAAAAAAAAAAAGAGAGAGGCACTGAGGTTGAGAGCACTGCGAACGAGGCATCATGGGGCGGCCACTGGAGGTGGGATGCCAAAGGTGAGCACTGTAGGTGGGGCACTGAGGATGAGCACCGAGGGGTGAGATGTTGAGTGAGCACTGAAGGGAGGGCATCAAGGGCGAGCACTGGGGTGGGATGCTGCAGGCAAGCACCAGGGGAGGGCATCCAGGGCAAATCCTGAAGAGGGAGTGGAGGATGAGCACTGTGGGTAGGGCGTCGAGGGTGAGCACTGGGGCAGGGTGTCATGGAGCGGGCACTGGGGACGGGCTGTCAAGGGTGAGCCCTGAAAGACATGGAGATTGAGCACGGGGGCAGGGCATTGAAGGGGAGCACTGGGGAGGGGTACTGAGGGTGAGCACTGGAAGAGCGGAGCCGAGAGTGAACGCTGGGGGCAGGGTGCCAAGGGAGAGTTCTGGAGCAGGACGCCAGGTGAGCACTGGGCATGGGTGCGAGGGCGAGCACTGGGGCGGCCGAGGCCGGCCAGGCGGCCTCACCGGTACTGGTGAATGTCCTCGAAGGACTTGGCGTTGTTGATGGCGAACACGCAGAGGAAGCCCTCCCCGGTGCGCATGTACTGGTCCCGCATGGCGCTGTACTCCTCCTGGCCCGCCGTGTCCAGGATGTCCAGCAGGCACGTCTCCCCGTCGATGACCACCTGCTTCCGGTACGAGTCCTGCGGGAGGCGGCGGGTCATCGGGGGCTGGGCAGGGCCCGGGGCACGGCCCGCCGGCCCCCGGCAGGGGGTCCGCGCCGCTCACCTCGATCGTGGGGTCGTACTCGTCCACGAAGTGGTTCTGGATGAGCTGGATGGTCAGCGCGCTCTTGCCCACGCCGCCGGCGCCCACCACCACCAGCTTGTACTCCGTCATGGTTCCTCGCGGGCGCAGGAGCGGGGGCGCGCGTGTGTGCGCGCGGCGGGGGTCTCCTGCCCACCTGCGGGGAAGTCCGTCCCGCTGAGCCGGCCGCACGTGCGCGCGGCGGGCGGGCAGCTGCGCTCTCCCGGCCGCGCACCCGAATTAGAAGTTGCTGGGTCGGCAGAACGCGGGCGGCGGCGGCGGGCCCGGTGGCCGGCGCGCTCCGACGGGAGCAGGTCGGGCCGAGGCGGGGCGCGCGGCGAGCCCGGGCAGGTCGGGGCCAGGCCGCGGGCAGCGCGGCCCCGGCCCGGCCCGGCCCCCGCCCCGCGGCGGCACGCGCCCCCGGCTCGGCGCGCACAACTTGGGGCGCGGGGGCGCGGAGAGCGCCGGGGCAGGTGAGGCGGCGCCGCCCGGCCGGGCCGGCCCCCGCGGGGGTCCCCAACGCCCGGCCGCCGCGTGGGTGGGACGGCGCCCCCCGGAGGGTCCCCGGGGCCGCCCCCGGCCCGCGAGGCCCCGCGGCCGCGCCCGCCGCCGCTCACCTGCGCCCCCGCGCGCCCGCGCCCCGGCCCGGGGACAGCTGGGTGCGGCCCCGCCGCGCGCCCCGGCCCGGCCCGCCGCCCCCCGCCGCACTCACCGCTCACTGGCGCGACTGCTCCCCGGGCCGGGGCCGGGGCCGGCGCGGGGACGGGGGCCGGGGCCGGGGCGCGCGGCGCGGCCGGCGCATGGGCTCCGTCCGCGGCGGGTGCGGCTCGGGCTGCGGGCGGCGGGGCGCGGGCGGCGGACACTCGGCCGGGCCCGCGCACGCCCCGCCCCGCGCCCGTCCGTCAGCCGGGCGCCGCCCGCCATTGGCCGCGCGCGCGGGGCCCGCCCCCGGGCCGGCCCGCCCCCGCCGCCCGGTTGGCCGAGCGGCCCGCCCGTCAGGCGCGGCGGCGGGGCGGGGCTTCCGGGAGTCGCGCGAGGGTGGTGCCCGGCCGGGTGGCCCTCGTGGGCCGCGGCCTGGGGGCTGGGCTCTGCCGGGCACCGGCTCGGCGGGCGTGGACCGACGGCGCTTCGGGGCCGGCCGGGCCGCGAGAAGCCCTGGCCCGTGCGCGGGGGCCCGGGCCCGCTCGGACCCGGCGCGGCCCCGCCCGCGGCCCCGGCCTGCCCGAGCGCTCCCGAGCGGCGCCTGGGCGCCCGCGGCTGGGGTCCGGAGGGCACCGCGGGCGAGGCCGGAGCGCCGCCCGGGGCCTGGGCGGGAGCGCGGGGCGCCGGGGCGGCCCAGGCTGGACGGGGCGCCGGCTCCCTCGGCTGGAACCGCGCCCCCGCGGGACCGGGCTCGCGGGCCCCGGCGCCCCCGGCCAGTGCACCCCCGGGTGGCCGCGGGGAGGTGACGGCCGCCTCCCCCGCCCAGCTCCCCCGGGGCCGCTCGGGCGGCAAGTTTTAACTTTCCCACTCTCCGAGCATGCCAGAGCCACGCGTAAACACGGCCTGCGCTCGCGGGCGCGGACGGGGCAGCCGCGCTCAGGCCCCGCACCCCGGGCCAGCCCGGCGGGGCCTCGCGGGGGCCCGGGGTGCAGCGCCCCTCCGCCTCCTCCGGGGAGCCCCTCGCGGGGTGGGTCCGGGCCCCCTTGCTCCCGCCGGGTCTGCGCTGGCGTCTCCCCTCCGCACCCGAGGGGTGCCCACGCGCGCGCGCGCGCGAGCGAGGCGCCTGGGTTTGGCGGCGCCCCCCCGCCCCCGCCCCGGCCTGCCCTGGCAACCGTTGCTAAGGGGCGTGGCGGGGCCCGCGCGCTCCCGGGACATGAATATTTGATTATGCAAACGAGGCCCCGCCCCGTTGCCATGGCGCTCGGGCCCCTTAACACCGCGGCCCGAAGGAGTCCCAGGGAGTGCCCTGCGCCGGTGGGCTCCAGGGCCGAGCCCCCAGGCCAGGGCCACCCGGGCCGACCCCCCAGGTGAGAGCTGAGCGCTGGGGTGCGTCCGCGGGGAAGGGGGAGATGGGTGAGAGCAGGCCCTGCGCCGAGGGCTGGAGAAGGACAGACAGGGATGGGAACCGGAGGGCCACCTGCTGACCCCCCACACACACACACACAGGGCTGCTGGGAACCCTGCGTGGGCCCCAGGGTCTGGCTGGCGCCCCAGAGGGAAGAAGCAGTGGGCTCTCTGCTGACCCCCCCGGGCGGGGGTTCCTCCTGGGAACTTGGGGCTCCCGCAAGCAACAGAAATCTCTGGAAAGATCCTGCTGGAAGCCTATTGGGGCAGGCTGCAAGGCGTCCCCTCCTGACCTCAGGGCCGGTCACTCTCCAGAGGCGGCTACAGGCCCACCCGCCACCGTCTGCTCAGCAGAGCCCCTGCCCACAGCCCTGGCTTGAGCCTCGGAGCAGCCTCTGAGAAAGTGAGCCCCGTTGCCTCACACACCATGCTCACTGGGCTCGGGGGACAGTGGGTGGGCACAGGGCCTGCAGGCATGCTCCAGGCCTCCCCTGCAAAGGTCTGGGCCACTCATTGGCATCTAAGGGCAGGAGCGTGAGCAACAGCACAGCAGCAATACAGCCTAGCACTCACTGGCACGGATGATCCCCCAGTACCACCAGGAGTGATCCCTGGGCACGTGGGGTGTGCCCCCCCAAAAATAGAGCAAAGCCAGCAAGTGGGTGCAGGGACTCCAGGACCTGGGGGCTCAGGTCTTCCTCACCCTCAGCCAGGTCCCCAGGCGCATGATTGAGGGGCCAAGGGCAGGCCGGCAGACAGTCCCTGCTGCCTCTCGGCTGTGGGCTGTGACTTGACAGCCCCCTCTTTCTCGAAGGTGACCCCTGGGGCCACATGCCACCCTCTTGCCCGGATGTTTGACGCCCGGTGGAAGAAGGCAGCCCCCCCCAGGTGAGGGGCTCAGCAGGCATGGGGGAGGGGTGCCCTGGTCAGGCCCAGCCCTGAGGCCCCCAACTGCAGGAGCGTAACATAGTGGTCACAGGAGTGCGGCGAGGGAACCCCCACCTGAGTCTCGACTCTGCCTCCCTGGGGTCGGCACCTGTCCTGTGAGCCCTGGCAGAGGGGCAGTGGGCAGCGGGGGCATTGGGTCTACAGCCATCAGCAGCCCAGAGCCTTCAGGGGAGCCAGACAGGGCCAGGGGGTCAGGGCCAAAGGCCGGACACAGGCTCCAGGGCTGAACCCTCTGTCCCTGCCAGGTTGGATGCTCATGGACCTGGCCTGGGACAGCGTCCCCGGGCCTCGGCCCAGCACGGCCCGTGTCCGAGTGCGGGAGCTGGGCTGGCAGGGCTGGCACAACCCCCGCCCACAGAGCAAGGACGAGGGCAGCCCTCTGGGTGGCCTGGGCGAGCTGCTGATGGAGGACAGCCTGTCGCCTGCCCGGCTGGTGAGTGGGAGCGGACACACACACAGGCTGGCGGTGGCGTCGGGCGAGTGGGCTCACCGCTGCCGTCCCGGTTCTGCCCCGTCACGACCCAGCCCCGGTGCCTTGTGACACATTCCCCTGGGCCAGAGCCTCCAGTGTGTGAGATGGCACCAGGGACCCCCCCCCTCCACGGCCCCCAGGGAAGTGACCCCCAAGCAGGGGGGGAGCCCCACACACCCCAGAGTCCTCGGGTTCCTCCGTCTGCCTCTAGGGTGAGGGTTTTCTCCCAAATCTGGGGGTGCCATGGTCCTGAGTCCCAGCAGGTTCTCTAGCAGTTCTTGGGGGCCCCTCCCGGGGTTCTGAGTGCCCACCCCCACCCCCGCCCAGACTGGTGATCCACGTACAAGCGTCCAAGGATGCAGGGCAGCTGGGGGCTGCGGGTGAGGCCCCGGGAGGTGGGAGTGTGGGTCTGCCCTGGGTGATCTCTCCCCCACTGGGCAGCGCAGCCCCTCCTACCCTCCCCTGCAGGGCCGGCACCCCTGACTCTCCCGGGAAACCCCTCAGGCAGGTGAGAGGTGCCCCCGTGAAGTACGCTGCACCTCTGGTTGCCGTGGGCAACAGCACACCCCTCCCTGTGCCCCCCGGGACCCGCTGTGGGTGCCAGCCTCCAGCTCAGCCCCACGCACACCCTCTCAGGGCACGCTGCAGGGCGGGGCTGTGCCCACGGTCGCCCCTAGCCCTCCAGCATCCCCCCACCAGGGGGCGCACAGGCCCTGGCACAGACACAGCTCAGACTCCAGGGTCACAGGCCCTCGTGCAGGGTCTGGGCACGGCAGTCTCACTGGAGAGGTGGGGGTGGTGCAGGCCCTAACGCGCGTGCAGGAAGCCCCGTGCAGTAAAGGTCAGCGTGGCCCTCAGCTGCCCACCTCGAGAGTGCCCACGCCATGCACCACAGAGGGTTGGGGCTCCCTCTCCCCTTCCTTCCCCATCACTGCCAGCTGGAGTGCAAACCATTGCGGCCAGGGCATGGTTGTTCCAGATGGTTCCAGAGACCGGGCCCACGTGCTGTCTGTGGCTCCTCGGCCCCCTGGAGGCTCGAAGCTGGCGCGCCCCCGTACCCCCAGGCCACTCCCCCCCACAGGCTGGGTTTGAGCCACTGCCGCGGCCATCCTCCTGCTCCTCTCTCGGCTCCCTCTGCTGCCGGCGCTGCGGAACCAGCTGAGGCTTCGAGCCCGGAGCTCCAGGCACCCCCGGGAGCTCTGTCCCGCTGTGCGCCCCTGCGCCAGCCACCGGAGAGGGGAGCCTGGAGCCCGGCCACGCCTTGCTGAGTCCCACCTCCACTCCCCGTAGGCTAGCCCCGCAGGGCACGCCCCCCAGAGAACACGCCCACCGCAGGACACGCCCACTACGGGATAGGCCCGCTGCAGGACACGCCCACCTCAGGACACGCCCACTGCGGGACACGGGATAGGCCCGCTGCAGGACACCCCGCTGCAGGGCACGCCCACTGCAGACACACCCACCGCAGGACACGGGATAGACCCTCTGCAGGGCACGACCACTTGCAGACACGCCCACCGCAGGACACGCCCACTGCGGGACACGGGATAGGCCTGCTGCAGGGCACGCCCACTGCAGACACACCCACCGCAGGACACGCCCACTTCGGGACACGCCCATTGCAGACACACCCACCGCAGGACACGGGATAGGCCCTCTGCAGGGCACGCCCACTTGCAGACACGCCCACTGCAGACACACCCACCACAGGACACAGGATAGGCCCTCTGCAGGGCACGCCCACTTGCAGACACGCCCACCACAGGGTACGCCCACTGCAGGGCCTGCCCACTTGTGGACACATGCACCACAGGGCGCGCCCTCTTGCAGGCACGCCCACTGAAGGGCACAACCACTTGTTGACGCGCCCACTTTCGGGCACGCCCACTCTCGGGCACGCCCTTTGCTGGACACGTCCATCTGCAGACACACTCATGTGCAGATACGCCCACCGCAGGACACGCCCGCCTGCCGCAGAAAACCCCACCATGGGATACAGGCACTGCAGGGCGCGTCCACGACTGGATAGACCCTCTGCTGGGCACGGCCACTTGCAGACACGCCCACTGAAGGCACGCCCGCTGCAGACACACCCACCGCAGGACACGTGATAGGCCCTCTGCAGGGCACGCCCACTTGCAGACACGCCCACCACAGGGTACGCCCACTGCAAGGCCTGCCCACTTGTGGACACGCCCACTCTCGGGCACGCCCTTCGCTGGACAAGTCCATCTACAGACACACCCATGTGCAGATACGCCCACCGCAGGACACGCTCACCGTCAGTGCAGGGGCCGTCCAGGGATGAGCCCCGCTGCTACTGGGGGGTTGTCTAGTGACGCTGGGAGAATTTGTGACTGTCCTCGTGCTTTGTACAGATGGATCTGGGTGCCAGGTAGGAGGGAGCCGGGGCAGCTGCTGAGGCAAAAGGTCACCGAGAGCCAGACCACCCCCTTCCCCTGTCAGGGCGGCACTCCTGGGAAGGCCCAGAACCCCCTGGGCCCTGGGGCGAGCCGAGCCGCGCCCCCTCCGGCCCTTCGGCCTGGCGGCGCAGCCCAGGCTGACTCGCTGCTCCCCGCAGAAGGCGATAGCCCAGGTGGATGACCTGCGCCAGGTGAGCCGGCTGGAGCTGTGTGCTGACACCCGCCAGAGCAGCCTGGGCAACTTCGGTAAGACCAGCCCAGCGCGGGCCCTCACCTGGCCCTGGGCTCGGGCCTCTGGGCGCACTCCGCGGTGCCTCTTCTGCACTCGTCCCGAGCCCACGAGACACACCGCTCCAGGACTGACCACTCCGGGCAGCTCAGCGCCTTCCCGGGAGTGAGGGCTCCCGCCGGGGTGTGCCCAGGGCCTCGCAGGGGAGGCTGCCGTGCCCCCTCCGCCCCGCACGCCCCCTGCAGCCCTGACACAGATGGTGGGTTTGGGGTGCTGAGGAGACCCCCAGACCACCCTCTCCTGTGTCCACAGGGGTGCACCTGCCCAACCTCAGGCAGCTGAAGCTGAGCGGCAGCCGGCTGGGCTCGGTGAGGTCAGTGCCTTCCGGCCCCGTCCTGGGCGGGAGTGGCAGGAGGGGCGCGCCTGCCCTGCGGAGACCCCAGCAGCTTCCTGCTGGCAGCCCCTCAGGGCCTGGACAGTGGTGGGGCTGGACTCTACTCCGGCATGTGTGTCTCGTGGAGAGACTTGGGTGGCATGTCACCAAGTGAGCGAGCGTGGGGTCAGGCAGTCACGACTGGCTTGTGGGGGGAGGGAACGGGGGTTGTGGGGTCCAGCAGGGGGTCTCTGGGGCTGCGCCGGGTCCTGCTGGTCCCCACAGCCGTCCTGTCAGCAGAGGTGGGTGGACACAGTCTCCCATGGGACCCCCAGGCCCTGGGAGGCTCCCCCAAGGTTCCATAAGACCCCCACAGCCCAGGCCAGTGGGGAGAGAATTTACCTTGCACGTGACTAACCCAGGTTCCATCCCCGGCATCCCGTTTGGTCACCTGAACACTGCCAGGAGTAACTCCTGAGCACCACCAGGTGTGGCTCTCCCCCCAAAAAACTTTGAAAAGACCCACAGACTCCAGATCCCCCGAGACTGGCCCCAGACATACTCCAGAGTTGGTCAGGAGCAGAGTGGCCTTGAGGTCACGCCACTGTTCCCTGCTGGTGCTGAGCACGGCAAATGTCAGGAAATGATGCTGCTATCAGTAGCCAGGGCAGCTAAGCACAGAGATGGGGAAATTCTAGAACGTTCTCCGTGGCTGAAATGGCCAGGAGACGGTGGCACTGTGTGCTGGCACGTTCTCTCCTGGGCTGCCCTTGGACCATCGCCGGCATGCGGTGGGGTGGGGGCTGCGGCCACTCAGAGGGTCACCTCAGCTGCTTTATCATCAGGCCTGGGGGATTTGGGTGGATGATGGCGCTTCCCGTGGTCTAGCCCAGGACTGCTGAAACTTTTCCTGCTTAAAACTCTTTTTCTTTTAAAAAAAATTTATTATATATATATTCTCTTCTAAATGGAATCACTGTGAGAAACACAGTTACAAAACTGTCCATGATCGGGTTCTAGACATACAGTGTTCCAACCCCGTCCCTTCCCCTTTCCCCCCTCCAGTGCTCCAGTTTCCCTCCCCCCCACCTCCACCCCCGCCTGCCTTCGTGGTGATACTCCTTTTCACCTGAGGAATCCAACGCAGCCCAGTGAACACAGACACATTTAGCACTCATGATGCGGGAGATTGGGAATCTGGGCACTTGCGCTTTCGGAAATTCATTAGTGTTGCCAGCTGGTCCGTGACCCCCACATTCATACTGGGCCATGACCCACAGTTTGAGAATCTGGGTTACCGGGCCAGAGTGACAGGGCAAGTGGGGGGGGCAGTTGTCTTGCATGCAGCTGAGCTGGGTTTGATCCCTAGCGCCCCCTATGGTTATATGAGCTCAACCGGAGTGATTCTGTTGAGCCAGGAGTAAGCCCTGAGCATCACCAGGTGTGACCCAAAAGCCAAACAAACAAAAAAAAGAATCTGAGGCCTCAATTAAATAAACCACTGCTGCCCAGCTGAAACCAGTCCCCCAGTGGCGGGCCCTAGAGAGACCTCCCATGGTGGGCCCTAGAGAAACCCCCCCAGAGGCACGCCCCCTGAAGCTGGATCAGGGCTCAGAGTCAGGACAGGCGAGGCTGGGGCAACTCCTCTCCTGGGCGCGCCTGATGCCTGCCTGGACTAGGGGGCAGTTCTGCACTTCCCCAAATGCCACCTTTGCCCCTCACCTGTCAGCCAGCGGAAAGAACAAAGTTCAGAAAGGCAGAATATGGAGGGGAAGAGAAAGAGGGATTGGACAAGGGGAACTTGGGGTTTGTCACCAAACAAAATATTCCATTCAGAGACCCCAACACCAGCAGTCCATCCCGCCCCGACAGTGCGCTGTCAGACAGCTCGAGGAGTGCCCTGTCTCTTCAGCCGGGACCCCTGAATTCTCTGTCACCGAGTCCCGGACCATGCAGGGTCCCCAGCACCAACACTCAGGGCTGGAAAGAGAATGTGTGAATATTGTGCCCTGTGTGCGAGTGTGAGTTGTGCGAGTGTGCGAGTGTGTGTGTGTGAGCGCGCATAAGCTATGAGGGTGTGTTCCCGTGGGAGAGTGTGTGTGTGTGTGTGTGTGTGTGAGGCAGTGTATGGTATGAGTGTGAGAGTGTTGTGCCCAGGTGTGAGAGTGTATTATGTGTGCTCCCGTGTGTGTTGTGAGCATCTGAGTCTGAGTATGTGAGCGAGTACTGTGTCCGTGCGTGAGTGTATGTCTGTGGTGTGAGTGTGTGTGCTTCCATGTAGTCTGTGTGTTTGTGAGTGCTTTAGGGTTGTGTGGTGTGACTGTAAGAGTCTATATGAGACTACTTGTCCATGTGTATAGCGTATGTGTTCATATGTGTTACGAGTATGTGAGTGTGTCTGTAAGAATATGTATGGTGTGAGTGTAAGAGTGTGGAGTGTGTGTGTCCATGTGGTGTGTGCGTGTGTGGCCCTGGGGCCCCACCTGCAAGCCGGCAGCTGCTCCTTCCTCAGGTGCGGGGCAGTTCAGTCCCCGCAGGTCTGCAATGGACCCCTGGGGAGCTCTGGCGTCACCCTTTCCCGTGGCCTGGGACGGGCCTGGCTCCCACGCGCCCTCCTCCTCCTCCTTCTCCTCCTCCTCCTCCTTCCTCCTGAGTGTTGGGCAGTCGTACTTAACCCTGGTTCGCAGCCTGCATTCCCATTCGTGGCCACGGGAAGTGGGGGTCCCCCACCTGCTGTTGGCTCCCCTGCCAGTAGGGGCCTCACAGAGGTGGGTTGGGGAGATTGGGGGGCCAGGAGAACGGGAGACCGGGGCCCATTGGCTGGGAAGGACACAGGATGTGTCCCCCCAGATAGTCGGGAGGTAGGTGGGGGCAGGAAGAAGGGTCCCCTGAGGCGGGGAAGGTGGGGTCTGGGCACAGGGCAGCTGGCCCCCGAGCACTGCAATCCACATGGGCAGAGCCGGGGGATAGAGGCGGCCACCCTCGCAGATCTGCTAATCAGGTCCAGGACTGAGGACCTCGCAGCTGCACCGTGCCAGCTGGGACCCGGGACCACCCCGTCCCCGGCACTGAGACCCCCTGCCCTCCGCAGAGACCTGGGCACCTCCCTGGGCCACCTGCAGGTGCTCTGGCTGGCCCGCTGCGGCCTGAGTGACCTGGACGGCATCGGCTCCTTTCCCGCACTCAAGGTGGGTCTGCGGAGAGGGGGCCGTGGGGGGAGGGGCGCCCCCTCCCCTGCTGAGCCCCCCCTGCGCGCAGCAGGAGCTCTACGTGTCCTACAACGACATCTCAGACCTCAGCCCGCTGTGCCTGCTGGAGACGCTGGAGGTGCTGGACCTGGAGGGCAACAGCGTGGAGGAGCTGGGCCAGGTGCGCTACCTGCACCTGTGCCCGCGGCTGGCCATGCTCACACTGGAGGGCAACCCCGTGTGCCTGCGGCCTGGCCCTGGGCCCGCCGCCCAGGTGCGTGCTCGGGGCGGGGCCGCGCAGGTGCAGGATGGGCGTGGCCGCTACAAGCCCCACCCGGTGGGTGGAGCCGGATAGCCCCGCCCATGTATGGGCGGGGCCGACAACAAGCCACACCCGCCCGCAGCCGCCGCAGCAGTACAACTACCGCGCAGAGGTGAGGCGGCTCCTGCCCCAGCTGCAGGTGCTGGACGAGGTGCCGGCCACGCAGACGGAGCCGGCCACGCCGAGGCTGGGCGAGGACTGGCTCATGGTGAAGGAGGCCATCAAGGCCAGCAGCGCGCAGGATCCCTGGCTCCCCAGGCTGGGTAGGCGGCCCCTTCCCTCCACGGGAGCCCCTGCCCGGTCCTCACCTCCAAGCGGTGGACAGCCGCTCGCTGTGTCCTTCCCACCTGGCCGTTGGGCCCCAGTGTGTGAGCACCGCTGGCCAGGACGCTTGCTTGGTCCCCAGCTCGCGCGCGCGCACACACACACATACACACACACACACACACACACACACACACACACACACACCCTCGCCTGCAGGCCTCGGAGCACAGAGGTCAGGGGCTGGGGTCCCTGGCTTCTGCAGTCAGGGCTGTGGGCCAGGCTCTGGCCGGTGGTCAGGAAGCTCTGCTCTTCATTCCTGAGCAGATCACGCCTCTGGACCCCCCATCTGGAGACTTGGCCCTGAGCAGTCCTGGCCTGAGAGCCTCAGGCTCCGGCCTCTCTCCCTCCTGGTCCCCAGGAGCCCCCTGGGTGACGGCTCGCTCCCCGAGGACCCCAACCCCGAGGAGGACGCCAGCAACCTCACCCATGGTAACGCCCTGCCTCAGCCTGAGCTGACCTGCAGACCCCCCGCCCACTTCCAGCCTGGCCCAGCTATGCCCTCTCCTGCAGGAGCTGGCCCCGTCCTCTGCGGGAACCCCACCAAAGGCCTCTGGCGGCGTAGGCGGCAGTGCCAGGTAGGCCTGCCCCGGCCGGCAGCCAGACCCGGGCCCCTCGGACACGCTGGGCCACTTTCCTGGCCCCTCTCGGCCCTCCCACCCGTCCCGGCCGACTGACCAGAAACCGCCCTTTCCTCTCCAGGCCTGGGCGCCCCTGGAGCAGTGCCCACAGGAGCCAGGAGGCCCCACCACCGGTGCTGGCACCCCCAGCTCTGAGCGTGCAGAGAGCCACGAGCTTCTGGCCACGGCCGGGCTCCAGGCCTGGCGGGAGCTGTGCCTGCGGTGGGTGCCGTCCAGCCGCATGCGTGCCCGTGGGCCCGCGTCCCGGCTGGCCGCCTTCCCGGGCAGACTGTCTGTCGGTGCCTCTGCGTGTCTGGGGGTCTGTCTGTCTCGGTCTCTAAGTACAGATGGGTGTCTCTGGGTGTGTCTGAGTGTGTGTCTGTATGAGTGTGTCTGTATGTTTAAGTGTGTCTCTGAGTGTGTGTCTGTCTCAAGGTGTGTGTCTGTGTCTGAGTGTGTGAGTGTGTCAGCTTCTGGGTGTGTGTCTGTCTCTAAGTGTGTGTCTGCCTCTGGGTTTGTCTGTATGTCTGAGTGTGTGTCTGTCCCTGGGTGTGTGTCTATCTCTGGGTGTATGTCTGTCTCTGAGTGTGTCTGTGTGTGTGTCTATGTCTGAGTGTGTCTGTCCCTGGGTGTGTGTCTATCTCTGGGTGTATGTCTGTCTCTGAGTGTGTCTGTGTGTGTGTCTGTGTCTGAGTGTGTGTGTCTGTCCCTGGGTGTGTCTGTCTCTGGGTGTGTGTCTGTCTGAGTGTGTGTGTCTGTCTCTGGGTGTGTATGTCTCTGAGTGTGTCTGGGTGTGTATCTATGTCTGAGTATGTGTGTCTGTCCCTGGGTGTGTGTCTGTCTCTAGGTGTGTCTGTCTCTGGGTGTGTGTCTGTCGCTGAGTGTGTGTGTCTGTCTCTGGGTGTGTTCCTGTCTCTGGGTGTTAGCCTGAGTGTGTGTGTCTGTATCTGGGTGTGTGTCTGTCCCTGGGTGTGTGTCTGTTTCTGGGTGTGTCTCTGAGTGTGTCTGTGTGTCTGAGTGTGTGTCGGAGTGTCTGTGTGTGTCCATGTGCCTCTGTGCCCTGTGGGGGCCAGGCTGGTGCCCCATTGGAGGAGACAGACGGGGGCAGGGGGCCATCACAGGGCCACACTTCATGGGGTCGGTCCCCGGGGAGTAGCCTGAGCCTGTTCTCCCCCACCCTAGCCCTCTGCCCCAGAAGCTGCTGGACTCCCTGCCAGAAGTGGACCCCACCCTCGAGAGCCCCGGGGGTGGGCCCAAAGAGCAGGAACCACCCTGCCCTCTGCCCCCAAGCGTGGCCCCTGGTTCTGGGAGTGACCAACCTGCCACGCAAGGGGAGGACCCCCACCACAGACGAGGTACCAGGGGCCCCTTTCTGGGCTGGCTTCGGGAAGGGAGTGACCGGGACCATCTCCTGGGGTGGGTGCTCACAGCCAGTCTGGACGCTGCCCCGGGGGCTGGGTGTCGGGCGAGAAGGTGCTGAGCGCTGGAGGGTACGAGCAGAGGCCGGGCAGAGGCTTGGGGCCTCCACTCCGGAGTGAGGAGCCTGACAAGCAGGCGAGCGCCTGTGAGTCCCCTTATCCAGCAGGCAGGGAGGCTTCCTGGAGGAGGTGTCTGACCACCCTGAAGTGGAAGCTCCAGCCCCAGCTGGGCCCTCTATGAGCACTGTGCCGGGGCAGCGGGAGCAGGACTGCCAGGAGCTGGAGGACTGGGTACTCAGGGCCCAGGGTACTGATTGTCCACCACAGGCCAGCTGGCCCTCCGGGGGAGCGGCCCCTGTGGGCCCTTGGGGCGGCCTGCAGGCCTGGGGTCCCTCCAGGGTGCGCGGGGCTTGGAGGGTGCTGCCCGGGCTCCGTCCAGAACCAGGCCTCTCCCTGTCTCCCCAGGTCTCCTGCTGACCCCCGCCCCGCCCAGGGCTCCTCCGCGGCCAGGCCTGGGCTCCGGGGGCCCCAAAGAGCTCCAGTTCCGGGGCCGCCGACTCCGAGCCCTGGGCAGCCTGGGGCCTGTCCTGGACCAGGAGCTGGCTGCGGTCAGCGCACTGAAGGCCCTGAGGGTGGGCTCGGGTCCCAGCCTCCGGGGACGCCCAGGCCCGAAGCCTGCGCCAGACTCCGGGGCCCGACCCCAGGTCTCCGGCACCTGCCACACCTGAGCCCGGACCCAGCCCTGGCGGAAGCCCGCCCACTGCCCCCTGGCCAGAGCGTGGCCACGCCCCGGCCTACCTGCAGCACGTCTGATGGGGAGGGCATGCCCGACCCCAATCACTGCCCACTGCCCGGCCCGGGAAAGATCGGCTGGGGCTGGCCTGGCCACTCCCCGGAGGCCTTGCAGCCGCCCTGCACCGACTCTCGGCCGGCCGGGTGCAGCCAGACCACCTCTCCCCGCCAGACTCTCGGGGTCCCTGGGGAGGAGGGGGCCAGGCCTTCCTCTGGGGGGAAGACACCCAGAAACGCTGCTCACTTTGCAGGCCGCGTGGTTTAATAAATGCTGCAGCCAGCACTGCGGGCCTCCTGACTGTCCCCGCCGCAGTCACAGGCAGGCCCGGGGGTGCTGAGGGTGGGGGCGATGCCCAGGCCCGCTCGCCTACACGCGCCGCTGGCACGGCAGGACGCGGCCCACACCGGCCAGCGGGGCCACCGTGATGGGCGGGGAGCTGAGGAAGCGGAAGCCGAACTTGCTCTCGGCCGTGTTCTGCACGGACAGTGCCACCATGGGGCAGGTCCGGTCCACGCGTTTCCGGCCCACCTGGGGAGGCCAGGAGCCGCGTGAGCCCGGTCGGAGGCGGGCGGGGACCGAGGGGCCGAGCCCTAAGGGGGTGTGTGTCTGTGTCTGAGTGCGTGTGTCTGCGTGTGTGTCTGTGTCCGAGTACGTGTGTCTGCGTGTGTGTCTGTGTCCGAGTACGTGTGTCTGCGTGTGTGTCTGTGTCCGAGTACGTGTGTCTGCGTGTGTGTCTGTGTCCGAGTACGTGTGTCTGCGTGTGTGTCTGTGTCCGAGTACGTGTGTCTGCGTGTGTGTCTGTGTCCGAGTGCGTGTGTCTGCGTGTGTGTCTGTGTCCGAGTGCGTGTGTCTGCGTGTGTGTCTGTGTCCGAGTACGTGTGTCTGCGTGTGTGTCTGTGTCCGAGTACGTGTGTCTGCGTGTGTGTCTGTGTCCGAGTACGTGTGTCTGCGTGTGTGTCTGTGTCCGAGTACGTGTGTCTGCGTGTGTGTCTGTGTCCGAGTACGTGTGTCTGCGTGTGTGTCTGTGTCCGAGTACGTGTGTCTGCGTGTGTGTCTGTGTCCGAGTACGTGTGTCTGCGTGTGTGTCTAGGGGCGGACGCCCCTGGCCAGCCGGCAGGTGGCGGGCGCAGGCGGGGCGCGCGGCCGCACTCACCTGGACCTTGTGCTCCTTCCTGTCCTGGCCCTGGTCCAGGCCCGGCCCGAGCTCTGCGGGGGACAGCGATGAGGGTGGCGCAGGCCGGCCGCCCCGCCCCCGGCCGCTCCCCTCCCGCTCCCGCTCACCGGGGGTGCCGGGCAGGGCCGGTGGCACCGGCGTGTCCGCGCCCTCCGGCCGCGCGGGGGGCACGTCCCGGGGGCCCGCGAGCTTGCCGGGGCACGCGCGCGGCAGGAGCTCCGGCATCCTGCGGGCAGGGGGTCGTGAGGCGGGGGCTGCGGAGGCGGGGGGGGCGGGTTAGGGTTAGGGTTAGGGACGGGGCGGGCGCGGCGCGGGTGCCCACCGTGGCCTCTGGCGCCGCGCCCGGCTCCTGCGCGGGGCTCGAGGCTGGCGCCGCGGCGGGGCGGTCTTGGCGTCCGGGAGCGGGAAGCGGTCGATGGACAGGTCAGTGTTGTCTTCGAAGAGCCTCGAGACCTGGGACACGCAGTGCGGAGCCCGGAACGTGCTGAGGACCTGCGGCGAGGTGCGCGCGCGTGAGGGGGCGGGGGAGGGCGCGGCGGTCACCGCCCCCGCCCGCGCCGGCCCTTGCCTCGCCCTCGGGGTTGAGGAGGACGGTCACGAAGCGCTGGCTGGGCTGGAAGGGAGCGGGCTGCTGGCCGTCGGTGGGAGGCTGCGCTTTCTTGGTGCTGCAGATGCCGTCGCTCCAAACCTGGGGGACGCGGGCGGCGGGTGAGGGGCGGGGCGGGTGGGCGTGGCTAAGGGACGGGCGTGGCCTAGACGGGGAGGCCCGGTGGGCGTGGTCGGCCCGGCGGGCGTGGTCGGCCCGGCGGGGCGTGGTCTGGCAGGACGCGGCCGAGGCGCGGGGCGGTGGGCGTGGCCCGTTGCGCGGGCGTGGTTAAGAAGCGGTGTGGGCGTGGCCTGGTTGGGTCGGCGTGGCTACGACGCGGGGCGGGGAGGTGGGCGTGGTCTGCTTGGCGGGGCGTGGTCTGGCAGGACGCGGCCGAGGCGCGGGGCGGGGAGGTGGGCGTGGCCCATTGCGCGGGCGTGGCTAAGACGCGGGGTGGGCGTGACTAAGACGCGGGGCGGGGCGGTGGGCGTGGTCGGCGGGCTAAGGGGCGGGGCGGGGCTCGGCGGCGTGGGCGGGGCCGGGCGCACCGTGACGTGGTGGTTCGGCTCCAGCTGCGTGTTGCTGGGGAAACGGTACATGGACACGGGGAAGTCGCCGGCCCGCTGCACCAGCATGTGACCGGTCAGGTCGACCGTCTGCTCCGACGACTGGTTCAGGATGCAGATGCAGCGCTCGCGGCGGCTCACGGTCACGATCCTCAGGCAGGAGCGCGGCGGGCTGCGGCCGGGGCTGGGGGGAGCCAGGGGGCTCTGCTCTGCCTTGCGCCAGCGCGAGGCGGGGTCCCGCTCCCCTCTCGCGTCCGCTGCTACCTCGGGTCCAGGGCTTCGGGATCCACACCGGTCCTGGGCGCCCGGACATTCTGCTGCTGCTGCTCCGAGGGCGTTTTCAGGTGCTGGGCACACTGTCCTGCTGGCGAAGGGACCTACGTGTGGGGTCCCCTCGAGGGCCCCCCACCTCCTGAGGAGCTGAGCAAAAGGGGAAGGGGAGGGGGGGCACACAGCTTGTTCTGGGGGTCCAAGCCAGCGTGGGTGGGGTGGCCGGTAGATGGGACAGACTGGAGCGGACGGAGAGGCCAGGCGGCCCAGCACGGCGCCCTGCGGGCCAGGAGGGGCTCCCCGCGCACCTTCAGGGTCCGCCTGAGCCTGCCCGCCTGGCCTCTCGGCCCTTAGGTCCTGCTGCTCTGAAGAGGCGCAGGCCGGCGTGCTGGCCGGGCGCTCGGGCGCCTCCGACCCTCCGCTGCATTCTGTCTGCCGGCTGCTGCTGGAACCCGAGTCCGTGTGCTTCGGGCTGCCGGGCAGGGAGCCCCAGTCCACGCTTTTGAGGAATTCCGGGTTCTGGGGCCGCCAGTACCTGCAGACGGCCACTGGGCTTCACTCCCGGGGCCCAGCCCTGCCCGCTGCCGAGGCGGGCACCCCAGCCTGGGAGTGGTGCATGTCCAGGGGCCTCGCCCCTGCAGTGGGGGAGAGGCGGGCGCAGGGTCTCTGGTGTGGGCTCACGCACCATCCGGCCCCCTCCCCTGGCCCCGGGGAGTTACTTTTCATTGGTGTTGGGCTCCAGGTTTCTAAGGAGATTGGGGTACCGGTGGGCAATGCTGTTCCAGTCCACGTCCTCCATCCGGAAACCCTGGCCAGGAGGCGAGAGAGTGTGGTCCTTCCCGTGGTCCCGAGTTCCCAGGGGCTCCCGGGGCCTGACTCACCTCCCCAGTGGTGGGGACCCTGTTGTCCTCAGAGGAGTCACTGAAGTCCACCAGGTTCTCCGCGGTCACCACCTGCAGGAGGGCGCCGTGGGCGGCAGTGGGCACCTCCTCGACCTCCCCAGCTGAGTGTCCCCTGGGTGTGGACTCCTCCCTGCCCGCGGGCTGCAGCAGCACAGGGAGGGGGCTTACCTCCACGCTGCCCGTGGACGAGCGCAGCACGCGGCCCACCCAGGACGAGCGGGCCAGCTGCAGGAGGCACGACCTCCGGAAGGCGTGCAGCTCGGCCTCCACCTGCTGCAGCGCCTGGCAGCTCTGCAGCAGCTCCGCCTCCAGGTGCTCCTTCTCCTGCTCCCGGAGGGCCCAGAGGTGGGGCGGCTGCTCCAGTCCTCACCCCGGGCCAGCCGGGCAGGGCCGCCAGCACCCGCCCGCCCGCCCCGCCCCCGCCCTCACCATCTGTGCCTGCTCCTTCTGCTCCTGCAGTTCCAGGGTCAGCCTCTGGATCTGCTTCTGCAGGAGAGTCTCCTGGCTGAGCCAGTTCCTGTGGAAGGCCGCCCTCAGCTCAGACCCCCCTCCACGGCCGGGGGGTCCCAGACCCCAGGGTGGGCTGGGTCTGGCCACTGGCTCTGGTTTGGCAGCACTGGGAAGCTCGGGGTGGGATCCGGGCTAGGGTCGGGCTGGAGGTGGGGTTTGGGCAAGGAGGCAAAAGTCAGGACCTGGGGGACGGAGGCGGCTGACCTGTGGGCCGGACACCCAGCCACTTTCTGCGAGATGTAATAGTTCCGGGTGTCCTGCTGGTGCCTGAGGCTCCATCGCAGGGCCTGGAGCTCCAGTTCCCGCTGCCCCCACAGCAGGCGCAGGGTGCGGGGGTCTAGGCTCTCCGGGCACAGCCTGCAACGCCAACGGCCCTGCTGAGCAGCCCACCCGTGCGGCCGGCGGGAGAGGGACCACCCCACCAGGCGTACTTGGAGTCCTGAGGGCGGGCCGGCTCTGCGTCCTCTCTTGATGGGAGCGTGTCCTTCCCGGCCTCCCCAGCCTCGCCGCTGTCTCTGCGCGCCATGCTTGATGGCCTGGGGCAGCTGAGGGCACAGGGGGACGCGTGGGCGCTCCCCTTCTGTGGCCACACACGTGTGTCTCGTGGCGTGGCGGGCACCCTGGCTCCCACGCTTCACTCCCCAAGGAGGCCCGGGTACGAGCACACACACGCCGCTGCCCACCGGGAAACTGCAGTGCTGGCCACATGGCTGCCTGCTGGTCACTCCCACGCCACATGCCACCCAAAGGTTCCCACCCTCCCTGGTGTCTCCTCCTCGTCACTCCTGCCACGTAGGACTTGGGCTCCTTCAGCCCCGGGCAAAGCACCCCAGGGGTGCAGCCAAGACCATCACCCCCCTAGTCCCAGACCCCCACCCCCAACGCTCACCTGAGGCCACAGAGAGAGGGCAGTGGGGGGGGGGGAAGAAAGGCAGGAGGGCCGTTGCCATGGCGCCAGCACCCAGGGGAGGGGCTGTTTGTTACCAGGTCCCCCGGGAGACCAGGATGGCACCTGTGTGAGCGCTGGGCCCACAGCAGGCTGGAACCCCCCAAGTGCCTTCCGGGCGGCCTTGGTGCTGCTGTGGGCAGGGGCACAACGGGGCTCTCAAGCAGGACAGGCACTCAAGGGAAGTGGGAGATCCTTGAGAGATTCAGATGCTGGCCGCTGGCCACTGGCCCTCTCGGTCCCTGACCCCTGACCCCGGTGGCACCTGCCAAATCTCAGCCCGCGGCCCCGCCTTCCCCAGCGGCTGCGATCGGGATTCACCCCACCTGAGACAAAGGTCCCCTCCGCCCAGGGAAGGGGGTCGCTCCAGCCCCGCCCCTCCCTCCGCTCACGCAGCGGCCACGGGGCCCCTGTGAGCCCGAGCCCGGCCCGTGGCTCGCTGTCCAGCTCTGAGCGCCCCTGCTGCGGGGGCATCCGCGGCCCCAAAGGGCACCGGTCCCCCTGGGCACAGCAGGGCCGCGGGAAGAGCCCCCGGCAAGAGGCCCGGGGGTTGTCCCCAGCCGCCTCCAGGCTGGCCCCTGCGCCATGGGCCCTTCGTCCTGGCTGAAGCCGGAAACCCGCCGAGCCCGGGGTCCCCGCCGCTTTCCCACTGGGGACTCGCAGCCCGCCCCAGGCCAAGGGTGGCCACGCGAGCGCGCCCGCGGGCTCGTGGCGGGGTCCCCGCCCAGCCCCCATCCCGGGGCCAGGACTCGAAGCCGGGCGGCTCCTGCGGAAGTCAGCCGGGAGCGGGCGACACCTGCCCGGACGCGCCGCGCTTCCGCGTTGTTCGCGCGCTTCCAGCGTGCGTGGACCCGGGCTGGGCCCGCCCCTCCGGCCGGCGGCCACGCCCCGCGCCGGCGGCCACGCCCACACCTGGGCGCCTCCGGGGGCGGGGCGGGCAGCGGGCCAATGGGGGCCGCGGGTGGGGCACCGGGGCAGCGGCCAATGGACGCGAGCCAATAGGTGGGCGGTGTGCGCCGGGGAGCCAATGGCGGGCGCGGGGGGGGCGGGGCGAGCGGGGCGCGGGCCAATGGGGGCGCGGACCGGGACGCGCCCGCGGCGCTGGAGGCGGCAGGTTGCGGCGGCGCCGGGCCGGAGGGAGTCGGGCGGACGGAGCCGGGTCCCGGCGCGGCGGGCGCCCAGGTGAGCCGCCGCCGGACCCCCGGGCGCCTCTCCCCGCCAGTGCCGCGCGCGGGCCCGGCCGGGCAGGCCGGCCACTGGCCGGAGGGGCGCGGGCCGCACCTGCGCCCGTCCGCGGCGGGGCGGCGGCCGGAGGGCCCGGCTGGCCCCGGACCCGGGGAGCGGGGCGGGGCGGCCCGAGGGCCGGGGCCGCGCCGCGCCCCCCGGGCCCGGGGAGCCCCTGGGGGAGGGGCTTTCCCACGGCCGCGGTGCCAGGGACGGCCGCCCGCGGGAGGGGCGGCGCCCTCCCGGCCAGGTGACTGCTGCAGGGGCAGGAAATCCCGGGCCGGTTAATGATTCTCCTTTCCGGGCGCGGGGCGGGCCGGAGGCTGCGCGGCGGGCCGGAGGCCCCCAGCGTCCAGGGAGGGGGGTGGGTGGCCGGTCTGCCACCTCCTCCCCACCCAGGAATGTGCCACCTGCCTGTCGCCGGGGCTGGGTACGCCGAGCAGGTCCGACCTGGAGGGTGGCGGCCGGACCTGCTCTGGATGCTCTGGGCCAGGGGCGGGCCACGTGGGCCGACCCCGTCCTTCCCCCACCCCCAGGACCGGGATGCTCTCGGGGCTGGTGGCCATGGAGCTGAAGGTGTGGGTGGACGGCATTCAGCGCGTGGTCTGCGGGGTCTCCGAGCAGACCACCTGTCAGGAAGTGGTCATAGCGCTCGCCAGGGCCATAGGTGAGTCGGTGCCGGACACGTCCCGGTGGGGCCGGCCCACTCTCCCGGCTGGAGGGATGGTTGGTGGCCGGCTCCTCCCCGCGTCTCCACACCCTGGAGCTGGGTGGACGGAGGCCGGGCACGCAGCGACTCCTCTCCCCTGCAGGCCAGACGGGCCGCTTTGTGCTGGTGCAGCGTCTGCGGGAGAAGGAGCGGCAGCTGCTGCCCCAGGAGTGCCCCGTGGGCGCCCAGGCCACCTGCGGGCAGTTCGCCAATGACGTCCAGTTTGTCCTGAGGCGGACGGGACCCAGCCTGGCGGGGAGGCCGTCCTCGGACAGCTGCCCGCCCCCGGAGCGCTGCCCCATCCGTGCCAGCCTGCCCCCGAAGCCCCGGCTGGGCCGCGAGCCCCGGAAAGCCCTCACCTTCAGCCTGGGCGGCCCCAGGCTGGCCCCCAGCCCCCCGCCCGCGGCCGCAGACCTGCTGAGCCTGGAGCAGCGCGTGGAGAGCAACGCGGCGGAGCTGGGCCAGGAGGCCTTCTGGGAGCAGGAGCTGCGGCGGGAGCAGGCCCGGGAGCGCGAGGGCCAGGCGCGGCTGCAGGCCCTGAGCGCGGCCACCGCCGAGCACGCCGCCCGGCTGCAAGCCCTGGACGCCCAGGCCCGCGCGCTGGAGGCCCAGCTGCACCTGGCCGCCGAGGCCCCCGGGACCCCTCTGCCCACGGCCTCGGCCGCCGAGCGGCTGCGCCAGGACCTGGCGGCCCAGGAGCGGCAGGGCGCCGAGGTGCAGGGCAGCCTGGCCTTGGTGAGCCGCGCCCTGGAGGCCGCCGAGAGCGCCCTGCAGGTGAGCCGGGGACCGCCCCCGCCCCCCGCCCCGGGTGCAGCCGCGGCCGGCCCCTGAGAGTCCCCCTCGCCCAGGCCCAGGCCCAGGAGCTGGAGGAGCTGAACCGGGAGCTGCGCCAGTGCAACCTCCAGCAGTTCATCCGGCAGGCGGGGGCCGCCCCGCCATCCCCGCGCGCACAGGTCGGGGGCTGCCCCAGAGCGGGGCTGGGGGGGGCGCGGCCTGGCAGCGACTGACCGGCTCTCTGCCCCCAGGGTCTCCCTTCTCCGGCCAGGGAAGAGCCGCACCCGGGACCCCCCCGGAACCCTGCCCTCACGCCCAGCCTGAGCCCAGAAGGTACGTCAGCCTCTCCCCGGCCGGGCTGGGACAGGCCCTCCAGGCGCCCTCAGCCGCCCTGAGCTGTGCCTCTCCTGGCAGTCGTCCCCATGAGGCAGAACTCCTGGAGGTAGCGGCTTCTGTCCCCCCACGGAGCACCGCTGGGAACCCCGCCAAGGAGCAGGCCTGCCCAGGGGCCAGAGGGTTTCCGCCACAGTTCCTCCCTGGGGTGCCAGGACACTGCACTCGACTCTGCCCTGCGCTGCGCGCCTCCGTGTGTGTGCCTGAGCGTGCGTGTCTGTGTGCGTGGACCACCCAGCCTCCCCAACGCCAAAACCTCAATAAACTGCCCAAAGCAGAGAGCATCTGTGCCGAGTGTGCGGGGAGCAGGCCGGTGCCTGGCATCTAGATGGGCAGCTCCTAGGCCAGCCACAGGAGCTCCCGGGCCCGCGGCACTGATGGGCCTTCGCCGCTGTGCAGGCTTCCGCCTGGCGCCCTTCTCCGACCTGCTTCTCCCCCGCAGCAGGCTCCCGGACCTGCCCGTCAGGCTTCCCCACCGTGAAGTCGGGCGGAGGAGGGTCATCACACAGCTGTCCTGGGTGGACGCTGGCCCCTATTGTGGAGGGGCTCCCAGAGGCCAGTGACCGTGGGCATAGGCTGACCTTCGTGCCGCGTGGGGGCGTCTGACAAGCTCAGGTTTCTACTAGGTAACCCCAAGCCAGGCCTGGCACTCCCCACTTCCGGGGTGGGCGGAGAGGTCTGACCCCAGGAGGCTTGCAGGGGTGGGGGCAACCTCAGGCCACCCGTGGAGATGGGCCACTGGCCTGCCCCGGCCAGCCTCCCCTGTGCTGCTGGTTGGAATTGAGTGGGAAGTGGCTGGGGCTGCCTGGCCTGAGCCCAGCTGTGGGGTCGTGTTCCCACATGAGCACACGGTCCAATGAGGAGCAAAGCCCACCCCACCCCCCGCTCCTCCTCTGCAGTCTTTGGTGGGGGGACACACCCCACAGTCATAAAGCTGAGCCCCGGGCCCCCGCTGAGAAGCACGGCTGGAGGTCAGAGGTCACTTCCAAGCCCCCCGATCGCCAATACGATTGACTTTTAATCTGCTTCGGGAACAGCGGTGTACAGTGGGCCCAGGGTAGGGCTGGGCGTCCGGAACGGGCCACCAGGCAGGGCCGAAGAACACAGGTGAGCGGTGGGCCGAGGGAGGGGCCAGACCCCAGGGTGTGGCCGAGTGGGGGCAGCTGGGGTGCTGCTCAGGCCCTCTCCCGCGCAGACGCCCTCAGTGCTGCCTGAGGCCTGGCAGCAAGCCCCTTCCAGCGGCTCTGCTGGCTGCAGCCTTGCTGGGCATGACAGCACCCTCAGAACAGCTCGCTGGGTCCTGGTCCCCCTTCCCCCACTGCAGACCCACCCCCATATCAGGTGGCCACAGCTGCTCAGGGTCATTGTCCTGCGATGGGCACCCAGGTCAGGTGGGCCCCCGGCAGGGGTTCCTGGAGAAGAAAGACTTCGGGTGGCGCTGGGGGAGTGGGCATCTGCATCTGGCTCTCCTCGGGGCAGCACCCCGCATCTGCCCCGGGAACTCCGCACACTGGATCCGCAGGGACACCGGGAAAGAGAAAAGGTCCCTCCTCCAGGGCCCCTGGTCCAACCCGGGCAGCGAGCAGGGGCTTGTGGAGGGCTGGTGACCCCACGGCCCCTGTCCCCCTCCCCTCCGCCTGCAGCCGGTCCCTCGGGGCGTCCCGGCTTCGCCAACCCCCTGGCGCTGGCCCTCCCAGCCGGGTGGCCGAGGGCCGGGGCGGTCGCGCTGCCCAGGGACAGGTCAGCCGCTGTCACACGCACAGTGGGTCCGGAGCAGCGCAGTGTGCGGTGGGCAGTGGCTGCCCTGCACCCGGAGTGCCCGCGCCGTCGGCCCCTCCCTCCGTCCACCGCGGGCGAGGGAGCCCCGGGCGCCCCTGCCCAGCCCGAGCGCCGGCGCCCTCCGGCCGGGCCGAGCCCCCTCCCCCGCCGCGCGTCACCTGCGACCCCGCGAGGGGCCGTCGCCTGCTCTCGGCCCAACTTCGGCGGCGGCGCGGCCCCGGCCGGCCCGCGGCCCCGCCCCGTATGCAAATGAGAGAGTTCCGCCGCCAATGGCCGTCGGGGCCGCGCCCGCCCCGCGGCGCCGCAGCCAATGGGCGCGAGGCGGGAGCGGACGCCCCGCCCAGCGCCGCGCGGCCCCCGGCGGGCGCGGCCGGCGCGTTCCTCTCGGCACGTCGGCCTGGGGCGGGGCCGCCACCTGCCCGGAACCCGCGGGGCCGCTGGGGTCCCCCTGGAGGGCCGGGGGCGGGGTGGGCCCGCCGGAGCCCTGGCCCTGGGCGCCCTGGGCGGACGCGTTCTGCGCGCCGCGGGGAGGTGGGCTCCTCGCCCCCCGCCCTCCCCCAGGCTGCGCCCGCCCGGGAGCTCTCTGGGCCCCGGGACACGAGCGGGAGCCCCCTTCCCTGCCTCCCCCGAATCTCTGCGGTGGGCGGCCCCAGTGCCCAGCAGAGCTTGGCCCTCCGGACCCCCACTGCGTCCGCCTCGCTCCCTGCAGGGACTGTCACTCGCAGTGAACGCGGGCGCCCAGCTGCTGTCCCATGCCATGGCCCGCCCCCCCAGCACTGCGTCCACCTCTTGTCCTCAAGTGACTTTCCTGCACCCCACAAAGCTTGGGTACTGGAGCCCCCCGGCTGTCCTCAGCCCTGGCTTGCTGGTCTCAGCAGCAGGAAGCCTGGGGAGGTTCCACTCAAGGCGGGTGGCGAGTGGGGTCGAGGGAGGGGCAGGGGCGCAGGGTGCTTCTGTATTTCTGGGGAGCACAGAAGTGGGTCCCTGTGCTGTGGCTTTCCCGAGGATCTTCAGGGCAAGGTGGGCAGGCAGAGCAGGGATGGGGGACTCCCTGCTCCCACCCCATCCTCCTGAAAGACCCCCAGCTGTGCCCCTGATTGGTGCTGGTCCCAGTCACCTTTGAGTGGAAAGGTGAGTCCAAAGGCGACCCCTAGTATAACTGAAACCCAAGCACAAAAATTTGTAAGTCTACAACTGTACCTCATGGTGTTTCACTAATAAAAATATTTTGCTCGAGTCACTGTCCTCCCGTTGTTCATCGATTTGCTCGAGTGGACCCAGTAACGTCTCCATCGGAGACTTTGTTGTTACTGTGTCTGGCATATCGAATACGTCACGGGGCGCTTGCCAGGCTCTGCCGCGCAGGCGAGATACTCTCGGTAGCTTGCCGGGCTCTCCGAGAGGAGCGGAGGAATCGAACTTGGGTTGGCCATGTTGGCTGCGTGCAAGGTAAACGCCCTACCGCTGTGCTATCGCTCCAGGATGGCCGAGTGGTCTAAGGCGCCAGACTCAATAAAAATTTAAGGAAAAAAAAAAAAAAACAAAGGCGACCCCTAGATCTAATTCCTGGGTCTCTGTGCCCTAAGAACTCGGCCCTGGGGGCAAACTCTTATTTGAAAAAGGGTCTTGGCAGGTGTGATTCCATGGGCCTTGAGATCGCTGGACGGGGTGCGGGGGGCTCCGTCCCAGCTGAGTCCTTGGAGGCAGGGCAGGCAGGGAGGAAGGGGTGTGTGATCAGGGGGACGGAGGCAGAATCTGGAGTGCCAAGGCCCCAGAAGCAGGGAGACAGGAAACAGTGCGCCTGGATTGCAGAGGGGGAACCCCCGGGACTGTGAGGAAATCCGTCCCGCTCAGCCCCCCCCCCATGAGGCCACGTGTTCCGGCCCCTCCAGTCCCAACTCAGGGGACACGCCCGTGTGTGGGCAACCAGTTCCTGCCCTGGACTGAGAGTCACACCGGCCTGCTGTGGGGGTGTCAGTGGGCAGGCGGGGGGGCGGAGGCCATCCGTGTGTGACAGCCTGCTGGAATGGGGGCTGGTTCTTTGGCAGCTTTGGGCCGTTCCTGGGAACTGACAGCCCCCCTGAAAGGTGTGGCCTGCGCTAATCTTGGCACCAACGACCCAGCTGCTGACTGGGAAAGCTGCAGGGGAGGGAGGGACCCCAAGGTGGCCCTAACGGTCCTTATCCTTCCCTGGAGGTCAGGGGACTGCCAGCCCTAACCCTCTTTGGGGCCCGCAGATCTAAGGGCCAGCAGGAGGCAGGGGTGGGCAGGGACTGGCCCCGCAAAGGGAAGGGGCTGCCCCTAACAGGACCTCAGCACCCGTGCTTTGGTTTGGGGGTCACACCGTGTGGTCCTTTGAACCATGTTCCCCGAGTGGCACAGGAAGAAACCTGCCCACATTCCCGCTGAACTGCAGACACCCAGGGCCAAGCAGCTGGCTGGGTCACCTGCCCAGATCACACCCTTTCTGGCCCCCATCAGGCTGGTGGCTCTGGGGGCCCCTCACTAGCTCCTATGTCCTTCCTGCCCCCAGAGCCCTCCTGGAGCCAAGTGCACCAACAAAAGGGGCAGCTTCCTCCCCCTGGTCAACTGCCCACCGTCCTCTGCACGCTCCCTCTGGCCACCGGCCACAGTGATCCCCACCACGCCTGGCAGCTGGCCGACCGCCTCTGGCTTCCCCACGCTGCCAGCCGCCACTCACTGCCCAGTGCCCTGCAGATTGGCACCTGCGACCGTGGGATGCTGGGGAACAGGTTGGATGCTCGTTACTCCCGGTCAGACGCCTGCGTTATTTTGTTTGTGTTTTGGGCCACACCTGGTGGTGCTCAGGGATCATTCCTGGCGGGACTCATGGGACCATACGTGGTGCCGGGGACCACACCCCAGCCAGCCACATCAGTCCTGTCCTCAAAATCTGCCAGGAAAGAGGGTATAGCGCTCCGGCCCTGCTTGCGTGAGTCTGGCTTCACCCCGGCAACGCAAGGACGGCATGAAGTCTGGGGGGGGGGGGCTGATCTCTTCCCACATCTGCGTGGCCCTCACCTGCGGTGGCCTCCTGGCTAGGGTGCTGGGCGATGACCCTGCCCTCTACAGGGTGGACACGAGAGATGCACGCGCTGGCCCTTCCCTGCTGCATTTGCTGAGCAGGGTCTAGCCAGTGCGCTAGGACTTAGGGACGGGACGGGCGGGACTGCGGGAGCGAACGGATCGCGCGGGGCTGCTCGTACCCGGGAGCACCGGGACCGCCGAAGCCGGAGACCCGCGGAACCAGCACAGCGGCCCCGTCGGGGCAGACCGGCGCGACGGCAACGAGCGACGGGCCCGGGGCTGGGACCTGGGGGAGGCGTGTCCTCCCGGGCGGGAGGCCGCTCCCATTGGCCGGGGGGGGGAAAACCTCCCGGGCGGAGGCTGTTCCCATTGGTCCGGTGCGCGACTCCGGGGCGGGAGGCCGCTCCCATTGGCCAGCGGGGGGAACCTCCCGGACGGAGGCCGTTCCCATTGGTCCGGTGCGCGACTCCGGGGCGGGAGACCGCTCCCATTGGTCCGGGGGCGTGTCCCCTCGGGCGGAGGCCCTTCCCATTGGCCCGGGACGTAACCTCCCGGGCGGGAGGCCGCTCCCATTGGCCCGGGGGCGTGTCCTCCCGGGCGGAGGCCATTCCCATTGGCCCGGGCGGTCCGGCCGTACCACCCGCCAGACGGGGGAGGACGGCGCGGGGCCGCCCGCTGGCGGGGGCTCAGCCGCGGCGAGTCGTGCCGGGGCGCCGTCTCCCGTCGCCGAGGCCCAGCACTAAGCATTGCGCCCCCTTTCCAAGCCTCGACGCCCCGACGGCGGCGGCGGCGGCGCCCCGCCCCGCCCCGGGCCTCCCTCCCGCGCCGGCGGCCGAGGCGCCGGAAGTCCGGGATGCACTTCCGGGTCGCGGAGCGCGCGGCCGAGGCGGCGGCGGCGGCGGCGGCGGCGGCGCCCGGGCCTAGTCGCGCTCTCGCTCGGGCGGCGGCGACGGCGGCGGCGGCGGCGGCGGCGGGAGGCCCCGGGGCGCGCGGTGCCGGGTAGGTGCGGGCGCCTTGGCCGGGCCCCGCCGCCGCCGCCGCCGCGCGCGCGCTTTGTCTGGGCCCGGCCGCCGCGCCGAGGCCTCGGGCCCGGCTGTCAGCGCGCGCGGCCGGGGCGCGGGCCCCGCGGGGCGTGGAGCCCGGGGTCGCCCCGGCAGGCCGCCCCCCCGGTCCCGGGCCCGAGCCCCCCGCTCCGGGCTGCTTGGGGCAGGGCCGCCGGTGGCCCGCAGAGGCGGGGTCCGCCCGGGGCGCGGGCTGGAGCGCGCTTGCCCGGGGGGCTCCGGCGGCGGAGGGGGTCCTGGGGGGCCCGGGGGGTCCTGGGCGAGCTGCTGGCGCAAGCCCCGTGGCTGTGCGGCGCGCCCGGGCTGGAGGAGCTGCGCCCCTTCGCGGCCCGCTGCCCCCAGCAGTGCCCCCTGGGGTCCCGGGCCCAGGGCTACTCCCGGGTGTGCGGGTCACAGGCGTCAGGGACGCGGGAGGCCGCTGGTGCCCCGGGTGGGCGGCCAGCCGGCATCTCAGTGGGTGCCCCGGGGGCCACGGAGAGCCCACCTGGGCATGGCCCGGCCGGGCAGGCGGTGGTGCCCCTGGGCGCTGGGCCCTCCTGGCGCTCCCTGCCGGGCTGCGGCACCTGGCATTGGGGTATGATAGGCCCCCCGAGGGTGACACCGCTGGTTTCTGTCCCTCCTGCCCGCGAGCTGCACCCTGGCTTGCGGGCTTAGAACCCACCCTCGCCGGGCAGGCGGGCCGCTGGGGCCCTGCTCGTGGCACGGAGGGCCGGCCGGGCCACTGGGTGAGAGGTCACCCAACTCGGGTCACCTGGGGCACCGGGGTGTCGCTGGGTGAGACGGGGAGCAGCCCTAATCTGGGGCCAGAGTTCACGCGTCCGTGGGGAGGAGGCCGGGAGGGCGAGGCCAGCTCGGCGTTGCTGCTGTCTGGGGGTGCGGGTCCCCGAGGCCGAGAGGGGCCTCACGTGGCCCTGGTCTGTTGCAGAGCCAACCCCGATGACCAGTGATGGAGGAGGACAGCCGGGACGAGCTCGCGGAGCAAAGCGCGGCGCCGGATGGACGCGTGCGCCTCAGCCCGGCCGCGGTGGCCAGTGATGCGGGTGAGGCCCTGTCCAGGGCGGGCGGGCGGGGTGGGGGAAGGGCCCCCCCCCCCCCAGTGCGGGCTCTGACGCCTCCCCCCTGTCTAGAGAGCGGCAGCGGCGGGGACTCTGACGATGATTTGGGCAGCGAGTACAGCGCGGCCACCGAGGACGAGGACGAGGCGGCCCTGGAGGAGGGATCTGGTGAGCCGGTGCCCTCACCCCTGCCCACCGCGGCCTCGGGTCCAGGAGTCGATTTGAAGATGGCACGAAATGACGATGAAGCCCGTGAGCTGGGTGTGCCCAGAGCCAGCATTGCCAGACCCACTCGCACCCACCCGGCACACGCCCACACCCCGAGGTCACGGCAGCGTCTCACGGGGCGGCTGACCCCCAGCAGTGGGGCCAGGATCAGCCGCAGAGGGCACTCTCGAACCCCAGAGCCATGGCATGCGGTCCCCGTCCCTTGCATGGCCGGGCTGTGGCAGAGACCAGGCACTGCAGGGAGAGGGTCACTGTCCCTGCACTGCCCGGCCATGGTGGAGACCGGGCATTATCGGTCATTATTCCTGCACAGCCCGGCGGTGTGGAGACTGGACTGCGGGGGTCACTGTCCCTGCTTTCTTGCCCCGGGGCTGTCCCACGGCTGCTGGGTCCCCTGTTTCCGGGTGCCCATGGTCCCCAGGGCCGGGAGTTTCCAGCATGCAGCCCGTGGCTCCTGCTGACCCAGAGCGAGGCCCCCAGGAGGGAGGGACTTGCTGTCTGTTCCCAGGCTGGCCTGGGGGACCCTGTAGGGGGGTGGCTGGGGTGGACGGGTCCTGGCCCAAGCAGCGGGCAGAGTCCTGAGTGCACGAGGCGTGTGTGTGCGCGCGCGCATCAGGCCTGCACAGAGAGCAGAGCCTGTGACCCCCGGTCCCCACTCTCCCGCTGACTCCATCTCCTCTCGGTCCGCAGATTCCGAGGACGAGGAAGATGACGGGGCGCTGGCAGCGGCTCTGGGGCCTCTGGAGCCGGAGGGCTCCTTGCACTCGGACGACGACTCTGAGAGCTGCCCCATCTGCCTCAACCCCTTCCGGGACCAGGCCCTGGGCACCCCGGAGAGCTGCGCCCACTACTTCTGCCTGGACTGCATCATGGAGTGGTCCAAGGTGAGCTGCTGGCCGCTCTGGGGCACCCGGCGGCAGAGATGGCCCTGGCGAGGTCAGGTGTTTCTTGCTTCCTGGTGGTTGTCCGGGTGCGGTTAGTGCTCCCAGGCTGGGGTTCCACTAGCCCTGCCCGCCCCAGGCAGGAGGTGCCCCTCAGCATCTGGGCTCGCCCTGGGCTCGGGGCTGCCTGCTGGGGACAGGCGTGCCCTGTGGGCTCCAGACTCAGCTGGTTTCAGCACGGGGGTCCCTCTGAGATGAGGGGGCGACAGAGCGTCCGGGAAGGGCGTTTGCCTCGCACAGGGGCCACCTGGGTGCGATCCCCGGCATCACATAATGCTCCTGAGCCCACCGAGTGGTCCCTAGCACAGAGCCAGGAGCCCCAAAATGAAAAGCGTGGGTGGAGACATGCAGGAGCCCCCCTTCTGTCCCTGGCATCTGATGGTCCCCCAAATACTCCTGGGCACCCCCAGAGAGACGCTTCGGGGGCCCGCCATTGTTGCTCCAGGCCCCTTGTGGTGCTGGTGCTGCCAGGGCCCACGTGGGGAGCCACAGGGGTTGGCCGTCTCCGTTGCCTTTCGCTGGGGCAAATGGGGTAAAGGCAGTGAATGCCGGGGCGGGGGGGGGCTTCCTGGAACATCGCTGGAAGGACCAGAGGTCAGGGCGCGTGGGCAGTGAGGGCCAGCACGGGCTGGGAGTGCTGGGGACGATGAGGGGACGGGGGTCTGAAAGCGCATGACTGCTGCCATCGTGCAAGCGAGACCACACTGGGGCTGTGTTGGGGTCCCGGGGCTCACGGGTGGGCAGGGGCCAGTGGGTCAGCTGCCGTGCCCAGAGGCCGCACGGCCTGTGCCGATGCCGAGGTGACAGAAGCCGTTTCCGGCGGAACTGCGGCTCTGGGCAGCCGTGCTCACGCCAAGCTAGGTCCCACGGGTGTGAGCGGGCAGGTGGCGGGCGAGTGCTGTCGCCGTCGTCCCGAAAGCAGCGGGCAGCCAGACCGGCCTCCTCCTGCTGGGCTTCCTGTCCCTCTGCCTGGGCGTGTGGAGCGGAGAAGCGTGCGGCTCAGGGGCGTTGTCGGGAGGGTCACGGTGGCGGGGAGGCCGCCTCCTGAGCGCGTCGTTTGTCACAGAACGCCAATTCCTGCCCCGTGGACCGCACGCTGTTCCAGCACATCTGCATTCGGGCTGAGTTCGGCGGGAAAGTCCTGAAGAAGGTGAGAAGCCCCCAGCATCGGCGCGTGCTGGTGTCAGGGCCGGGTCACGGGTGGGCTGCAGTTCTCGTCGCAGGAGGGGGCACGGGCCCGGCTCGGCACGACACCCAGTGTAGGTTGTGGACAGACCGAGACGCCCCGCTGTTTAGTCCCGGGAAGGGCCACAGCGCCAGGCCCACACCCTGGACAGGGTCCCGCCTAGGACACCCCAAACATCTTACCTTGGCTTTCGGGCCGCGCACGGTGATTGTCGGGAGCTGCTCCCAGTCTGCTCCCAGGACTCCTCCCCGCTGTGCTCGGGGCCAGCGTGGGGTTAGGGTTGGCCGCTACTCCCCCGCTCCCTGCCATCCCTGTGGCTGGCCCGGAGCCCGTTTCCCAAGTGTATCCGCCAGTGTGCGCATGCACCCGCCTTCCGTGTGCCGAGTGCATGCCTTAGTGTCTGCCAGGTTCTGGTGGTCTGCGGGTAAGGGCTGAGGTCTGTGCCGCGTCCACAGCTGTCCACACCCGCGGGCCCTGCTTTGCTCTCTGCTGAGCCCTTTTCCCACACGCTGCACCCCCGGGGCTGCCGGGGCGGCCTCGGCGCTCAGCGGGCCTCCCTCTCCAGGTCCCGGTGCAGAACGCTGCGGCCCAGGCGGCGGAGGAGGAGGAGGACCCGACCTTCTGCGAGGTGTGTGGCCGGAGCGACCGCGAGGACCGCTTGCTGCTGTGCGATGGCTGTGACGCAGGGTGAGTGTGGGCCGAGCCCTGACACGCTCGTGCCAGGATCAGGGACCCTCTTCCCCCCACAGGCGCCATGGTGGGCAGCCGGGCCCCGACGCTCAGAGGCTTCCTTGGTGACTGGGGCCCGTCACGCCCTGGCCGTCTCCCCGGGGGCAGGCACTCATCTCTGGCACAGCGTCGCCGTGAGCGGCCGCCTGCCCACTTGTTGGGTCGTGGGGTCAGGGCGCAGCTGCCTCCCTGCCGTCCTCTCCTGCCGTGCGTTCCATCTGGGAGACGGGGCTAGAGCCCCCGAGCCGCACAGCGACCCGGCCAGCGCTGCCCTTTGTGGGTGTGTCTGCTCCACTCCGCACAAGCCGGGGCTCTGGGGCAGCGGTATGGACGCTGCCCGCAGCACTCAGAGTGGCCTAATCCCTGGGCAGTTGCCGCCTCTGCAGCGGGTGGTGTGGGGGCTATGCCCAGGGGGGCTGTCGGGGGTCCCTGGTTCCCGGGAGAGCTCTCGAGTTTTTTCTTTTTTGCTTTTTGGGTCACACCTGGCGACTCACAGGGGTTACTCCTAGCTCTGCACTCAGGAGTTACTCCTGGCGATGCTCAGGGGACCATATGGGATGCTGGGAATCGAACCCTGGTTGGCCGCGTGCAAGGCAAACACCCTCCCCGCTGTGCTGTTGCTCCAGCCCCGAGCTCTCGAGTTCTGTCCTTCGCCTCAAGACCGGAGGGCTGCAGCCGCACCCCACAGGAGGCTGCCCTGGGAGACAGGCCCGCGCACACCCTGGCGGGCAAGACTACGCCTCCTGAGCATCTCAGGCACCTGGTCTTGGGGTCTGCGTGTGCAGACACCCCCCAGAGCCCAGTGCTCCCGGAATAGGGGAGCCAGATGTCGACGTTCGGTTCCTGCACCCGAGCTGAGCTGGCGGGCCGGTGCAGCCCTCAGCACACCGTGTGGTAACGGCCCGGTTCCCCCAGGTACCACATGGAGTGCCTGGACCCCCCCCTGCAGGAGGTGCCGGTGGATGAGTGGTTCTGTCCGGAATGCGGGGGCCCCGAGGCGGCTACCGCGGCTGGTAAGGCGCTGCCCTGGCCGGGGACTGCCCTGCCGTCTGGACGGGGGTGGCGGCCACGTGGTCCCCAGGGCAGCCCCGTGCCCTGCCCAGCGGTCACTGCTTCCTGCAGACGCGGGCTCGGGGAGCGAGGACGAGGTGTCCCTGCTGCTGGCTGACGTGGTGCCCACCAGCAGCCGCCTGCGGCCCCGCCCCGGCAGGACCCGGGCCATCGCCAGGACGCGGCAGAGCGAGCGGGTCCGCGCCAACGTGAACCGGAACCGGCTGTCGACGGCCAGGAGCATCGGGGTGGGTGCGGGGCGCGGGAGGCGGGCGAGCGCGGTCTTCCCCGTGCCGGCGGGAAGGGGTCCACGCTCACCCCTGTCATGTGTTAGCAGGTCCCGAGGCACCTCATGTCCTCGCTGCTGGACGAGACCATCGAAGCCGTGGCTGCTGGGCTGAGCACTGCAGTGTACGAACGCCCCCTGACACCCCGCGCGCCCCTCAAACGGAGGAGGAAGACAGGTGGGCCTGGGCCCCGGCTGCCGGGGGTCACTCCCGGTGGCTCAGGACCGTGACTAGTGGCGGGATGGCACCTGGGTCGACTGCGCGAGGGGCCGGCACTGCCCGCCATGCTCGCCCTGCAGCCGAATCCTGTGTTGGCGCCAGGCTTGTCCGCAGCCCCGGGCCTTGCTGGCCGCGGTGGTGTCTGTGGGTGACGCTCGTGTCTGGCTTTGTGGGGCTCCAGTGTGGCCCCTTTTCTTGTTGGGGGCACTGGGGGCTGGGCTGTCCCAAAGAGCCCTTCCCGCCGCCTCCAGGGTAGCCTGGCCACGCGGTGGGGCAGGCTCGGTCTGGACAGGCTGCGTGACCTCAGTGGCCGAGGGCTCAGACGTCTCGGACCTTGGCCCGCGGCAGAAGCCAGCCCGTTGCCGTGTGGCTCCCTCAGCAGTGCGCTTGGGCCTCGTCTTCACAAGCCCCTTGAGGCTTCCTCCAGCCCGGGGGCTCTCAGATGTGGGCGCCCTCGGGGCGTCCATGCCCCCAGAAAGGATGGGTCACCACCGAGTGTCTGGGCCGCCCTTGGCCCGGAAGTAGCCATCAGAATGGAAAGTTCTAATTGTGTCACAAATGCGATAGAATTTTTCTCCAGCGGCCGAGCCGAGTCCAGAGAAGCGTCCCGGGGCTGCTGGCCTGGCTCGGTGTGTGGGGGTGAGGCAGCGGGTTTCCCGGAGGAGGCGGCCGACAGGCTCTCCTGGGGCCCCGAAGATGCCGCCGGCCACACACGTGGTTCTGGCTCTCGAGTCCTGGGGTGTCCACTGCTCCCGTGACTCGTCCCCACCGGGCCCCCTGATGGCCGAGGCGGCTTCTGTGGCCTGTCCGTCCGGACAAGGCGGGGCGCGACTGGGGCGTCTCCTGGGGAGTCTCCGCCGCCGCGGTCCCCCCGCCGCGACGCCCAGGCTCTTCCCGACTGCTCGGCCCAGAGTCGCTTCTGAAGTGCCGTCTCGTGGGCCTGGCCTCCCCTGCCCAAACCCAAACTGCACATCGGGGGCCGCCGGGGTGGGTCGAGCGCGGGCTTTGTCTGTCTTTCAGGCCGACGCAAGAAGGCGCAGGCCAAGTCGGGGCGGAGCCGGGGCGCCAGGACCAGGACTAAGAAGCGCCAGGGCCGCGCCAAGAGGCGGGGGAGATGCCCCAAGGTAGGGCTGCGCCCGGGTCTGAGGAAGGGCGTGTGGGCCAGGGGCTCTGCTGAGGGACTTGCCCCCGGTCCCAGGAGGTAGAGATCTCCGCACAGTGCTCACTCTCCCGTGACGCTGGTGCGTCAGAGCACGTTGGGCGCGAGCCTGCACTCCAGGGCCTTTTGGGGGTCCCGCGTGAGGTGGCAGGGGTTCCTGTGTGGTAGAATCAGTTGAGGAGTGGAGGCGGCTTCTGTGGGAGGCGAGTGAGTTCTGAAGCCTGTGTCGATGGAGGGAAGGCGGTTCCTGTGTGAGATAGAAGCAGCTCCTGCATGGGGTGGCCGCAGTCCAGGGTGAGGCGGTGGCGGTTCCCGTGAGGTGAAGTCGGTTCCTGGGCGAGGTGGAAGCGGTCTCGTGTGAGGTGGCACAGTGCTCGCACGTGAGGCACAAGTGTCCCGTGGGAGGTGCAGGCAGTGCTGGTGTGGGTATTGGCTGCATCTTGTTCCAGTGTGGTCTGTGCTGGCCCGTGTGGCCCCTGGACACGTCCCTGCCCTCCCCCAGACACCAGCACAGGGAGCCTCAGTTTTTCTCGGGGTCTTGGCTTCTGGCGGAAGAACAAAGGCTGCCTCTGGGGCTCGTGGGGGCTGGGCCTGCTGAAGTCACGGGGTCTCCGGGGGGCGGTGTGTGCGTGGGGCGCCGCTCGCTCCATCCACACTGCCCCCGTTCTGCTCCAGAATGAAGTCACCGCCCGCTCCCGCATCGCCAGAACGCTGGGGCTCCGCAGGCCAGCCCGCGGCGCCTGCATCCCCGCCGTGCACAAGCCCGCCGAGCCCTCGCTGGGCCTGATGCGGGCCGACATCGGGGCTGCCTCCCTGTCTCTCTTTGGGGATCCCTATGAGCTGGACCCCTTCGACAGGTGATTGTGGGGGGCCTGGGAGCTCCTTCCTTTTCCCCGGAGGGGGGGCGAGCTCCGTCGCCGGGGTGAGCTGAGGAGATGGGTCTCCAGCCTGTGCCCTCAGGGCCCCAGTCTTGGGTCAGGTGGCATCACCAGCGCCTTTGTCCGTGTCTCTGCTGGCAGTGGTGAAGACCTGTCTCCACACTCTGCCTCCCCGCTGGGCACCAAGAGGACGGCGCTGTCCCGCTCGGCCCTGCGCTCACACCAGCCTGTGGCCAGGCCACTCTCCATGGGCATCTCCAGGTGCGTCCGAAGTCTGCACTGGCCCCCAGTGTGTCAGTACCTGGTGCTGTGGGGTGTGTCCACTCTCAGCTGGCTGGAAGAAGCGTCTGGAAGGTTGAACTGCTGCACCCCAACTTCCGGAGCTCTCGCCTTTTCCCAGAGGGTTCCTGCCTGGCATCCGGTTTGCGGCGCACCGGGTACAGGGTAGGGTTGCCCACCGGCCCCCAAATCTTGGTCTACTTGCAGGAGGGCCGTTCCCGCGGCAGCGCCCGAACCGGAGGTGGACGCCCCTGTCCCTGACCTGCTGGGAAGTATTCTGTCTGGCCAGAGCCTCCTGATGCTTGGCAGCGCCGACGTGTTCATCCACCGGGATGGGTCCCTCAGCGCCAAGCGCTCGGGTGCGTGCCGTGTCCGTGCCCCTTCCCGCTCTCCTCCCACACAGACGCCCACGTGGACACACACCCGCACACACATGTCTGCACAAACACTGGGCCCCCGACACACGCGCACAGTTGCCCGCACACGTACCCCGTACATGCCCTCTCCCACGCACACCTCCCCACGAACACAGGCACACACACGTCTCCACAGCCCTGCAGTGCCGGGACTGACAGCCTGGCGCTTCTCTCTTCTAGCTCCAGTTTCCTTTCCACGCGCCTCCGCGGGGCCGTCCAAAGCTGGGGGAGGCTGTGGGGCTGGGCACTCGCCCAGCCCAGACAACAGGCCGCAGAGCTGGGGGTCGAGCCCTCCGGACCAGCCCCTCCCAGGCACGCGCCCACCCCTGCCAGCCCCCACCTGCGTCCCGACCGTGAAGCTGAACTCCTCAGGGACACCCAGGCGTCAGACTCCGATCACGTCGGCCGTGAGCAGGCCCGGCTTGAAGCCCAGCGAAGGTCCCTGCGTACGGGGCCATGGCCGGCCGGCCCCACCCTTCCAGGCCGCGTCTTCCAGGGCCCCCGGGTGTGGCTCCAGGTCCCCCACGGACGGCGCTACCCGGCAGGCCCCGACCCGGCCTCCCCGGACGGACATCTCCCTGCTGCCACGGATACCAAAGATCAGGAGAGAGGAGAGTGGGGGCCCGCGGGGGGCCACTGCCCCCGCGTGCGGGCAGCACGTCGAGCTCCCCAGCTCCTGCATCAGCCGCCTGACGGGCAAGGAGGGCCCGGGGCAGCCTGCTCGTGGCACCCGGGCCGAGGGCGAACCCAGCAGCCGGGGCCCGCAGGAACCCAGTGCCCAGGCCGGCGGCTCCCAGTCTCTGGCCCCGCGGGCCCCCTGCAGAGGGAAGGGGGCCACCTTCGAGAGCTTCAGGATCAACATTCCCGGGAACACGGCACACGCCGGCTGCGCGGCGAGCCCTGGCTTCTGCAACACCTTCAGGCCCGTGGACAGCAAGGCGCAGCGCAAGGAGAACCCGGCGCCCCTCTTCTCCATCCGCAAGGCCAAGCAGCTCAAGAGCGAGATCTACGACCCCTTCGAGCCCACGGGCTCCGACTCCTCGTCCGCGGACGGCAGCCCGGAGCGCCTGGGCCAGGGCCTCCTGCCCTCGGAGATCACGCGCACCATTTCCGTGGGCAGCCCCCAGGCGCCCGCCGAGCACCAGGCCGTGCGCTGCGTCACCTCCTACACTGTGCAGAGCGGCTTCGGGCCGGGCCCGCGCTCCCCCGGCAGCCCCGACAGCCCCGGGCCCGCCGCCCCACCCGCGCCCTGGGATGACGCGGACGGGCCGCCCCGCAGCTCCTTCTTCGGCTCCGAGGAGCGGACAGTGACCTGCGTGCCCGTCGGCGAGCCGGAGCCCCCGCAGACCACCCACCGCATCGTGGAGCTGCACGCCCCGACCCCGTCCCCGTCCCCGTCCCCGTCCCGCTCCCGCTCCAGGTCCAGCTCCCGCGGCCGGAAGGCGGCCAAGAAGCAGCGGGCGGGGCCCAGGGAGCACCGCAGGACGCGCTCGCGCTCCCGCTCCGGGGACAGGAGCTCGCGCTCGGCCTCGCTGGCCCCCGGCGAAGAGCACGGCCGGAGGCCCCGGGCCCACGCGCGCAGCCGCCGGTCGTCCAGCGAGCACTCGAGCAGCCGTGAGCGCGCCCGGCGCAGGAAGGCCAAGGCCCGCAGCAAGGAGAGGAAGAAGAGTTCCGGCTCCCACGGCCGGCGCAGGGCCCGCTCGGGCAGCCCGGGCAGCCCCGCGCACGGCAGCCGGAGGAAGAGGCCGCGGGCCCGGGGCAGCTCGCCCCCCAGCAGCCTGGACCGCGGCCGGCGCCACCGGCACCAGCGCGAGAGGAGCCGGGAGCGGCCCAGGGAGAGGCCGAGCTCCCGCGACCGCAGGAAGCGCAGGTCGCGCTCTCCGAGCCCGGAGCACCGGTCGCGGGAACAGCGGCGCCCCCACTCCCGGGAGAAGCGGCCGCGGGCCCGCTCCCCCGAGAGGAAGCCGGCGGTCGCGCCCACGTCCCCCCAGCCGGAGCAGCCCACGCCGGGCAGCGAGCCTCCTGCCAAGCCCCCCGTCTGGCCCGAGGGAGGCGCTGCGCCCGAGGGGCCCCAGGCGGACGGGCCCCCGCAGGACCCCCCCGGTCCCAGAGCCGGTGGCCGAGTGTCCCCCCGAGGACCTGGATTACGGCGACACTGTGGAGGCAGGGCACGTCTTCGAGGATTTCGCGAGTGACACCCTCCTCCTGCAACTGGACGACATGAGCTCCCCCCCATCTCCCGAGAGCTCCGACTCCTCCCCGGAGCGGCCACTCCTGCCGCCACCTCCCCAGGCCCCGGCCAGCATCCAGAGGGAGGGGGTCCCGCCCCCCGGAGAGAGCTTGGCGCCACCACCTCCCCGGCAGGATGCCGTCGAGCCCCCTCCCAGCAGCCCCGCTCCGCCGCTTGGGGGCCCTGCCGTGGGGCCCCTGGAGGAGCCGGGGGCGCCCCCCCTGCTGCGGGGCCGAGCGCTGGTGAAGAGGGTCACGTGGAACCTCCAGGAGGCGGGGGACAGAGGCCTGCGTGAGTGGGGTCTGTCCCGGGGCCCAGCTCCCTGGAGCTCGGGGGGTGCCCTGGAGCCCCCAGTCCCACCCTCCCCGTGTCTGCCCTCAGGGACGCCGATTCCCAGGCTGCAGAAGCTGCCCCAGGAGGGGGCCTGGGAGCCGGAGGAGGGGCCCCGTCCAGCCCCCCAGCAGGCCCCCTTCTTGGAGCCGCTGCCTCCCGGCCCTGTGTTCCCGGAGCCCGGCTTCCCCACAGCCAGCCCCTCTCAGGTGCGTGTGCGGGCGGGTGGGGCCGGCGGCCGCTATCTCCCCCCCCTTCCCTCACCCCCCCCACAGGCGCTCAGGGCCCCGGCCTGTCCCCCAGGTCTACAACCCCAGCCTGCCTGCGGCGCCGGCGCTGCCCCCCAGCAGTCTCCCCTCCGCCGCGGCCAGCCAGCCCATGGTCCAGTTCATCCTGCGGGGCAGCCTTCCCCCGGCCGGCGGGGTCGCGGCGCCCAGCCCTGTGCCCGGGCCCACCGCAGCCCCCGAGCCGGCTGGCCACACCGCCGCCAACAACTCGGAGGAGAGGACGGCACCCCCGCGGCCGGCTGCCGAGAAGGCCAAGAATGAGGAGGTGAGCCCCCGGGCCCGCGTGGTGGCGGCGGCGGCCCCAGGCCCCCAGGTGCCAGGCCGGCCGGTCACAGGTGTGTCCCCTCAGTACATGAAGAAGCTGCACACGCAGGAGCGGGCTGTGGAGGAGGTGAAGCTGGCCATCAAGCCCTTCTACCAGAGGCGCGAGGTGACCAAGGACGAGTACAAGGACATCCTGCGCAAGGCCGTGCAGAAGGTGGGCCGGCGGGGGCACGCCCACCCTGGGACCCGGGCCCGCGCGCCCGGGCTGTGGGTGACCGTCTGCCCCTCCCCCAGATCTGCCACAGCAAGAGCCGGGAGATCAACCCGGTGAAGGTGGCGCACCTGGTGAAGGCGTACGTGGACAAGTACCGCCACATGCGCAAGCACCGGCGGCCCGAGGCCGGCGAGGAGCCGCCCGCCGCGGGCGCCCAGGGCTGAGGCCGGCGGGCAGCACCGGACTTTTTTATATGTACGTGACAGACACGGTTTCCATTGTGTTCTAATTTATCAAACACGGATTCTCTTTCGGAGCGGGGACTGCTTTCGTGTGCCGGCGGGGGGGCGGCAGCGGGAGGGCCGGCTAGGCGGGCTGGCCCAGCTCCATGAGCAGCTGCTCCAGGTCCTCGAACAGGCTGTTGCCACTGGACAGGCAGAGGCCGAGGTTGCCGCTGTCCAGCGAGGACGCGCCTTCGCGCTGCGCGGCCTCCAGAAGGGCCCGGCACAGCCTGGGTTCCAGCTGCGGACACAAGGGGAGTCCATGGGGCCGGTGGGCCACTGCCCCCTCCCCCACGCCCCCGGGGCCCCGAGCCTCCCACCTTCACCAGCACCAGGTGCTTCTCCTTGGGCCTGCGGGCCGACAGGTCCTGCCCGAAGCCGAGGTAGATGGTGCAGCGGGGGGAGCCCCCGCGCTGGGCCCTGAACTCCAGCAGCTCTGTGGGGCGAGGGGCCGTCAGGACGGGGTGGGGGGCGGGCCGGGCCGGGGCGGGCAGGCCCTTCACGCACCTTGGTAGAAGTAGCTGAAGTCGAAGATGGGGGTGTCGGAGTTGCGCTCCAGCAGCTGGGGGGGCGTGGGGGGGCTGCTGGAGCCCGGGGGCCCCCCCAGCTCCCAGTACACCTTGCACTTGCCCCGGCGCCGCGCCCTCAGCTCCGGCCCCCGCAGCTCGAGCTGCAGGCCGGGCTCCACGTGCCGCAGCACCTGCTCGGTGTACGCCAGCTGCTTCTGGTCGGCCAGCTCGGCGGGACTGGGGAAGGCCACGCACTGGGACTCGGGGGCAGCCGGGCCGGGGTCCCCGTACAGGAGGACACAGCTGGGCCGACTCACCACCTCCTGCAGCACCGTGCGGCCCTTGTACATGATGGTCACGTCCAGGACTCCCAGCTGGGCCGGCAGGTGCACCCCGGAGCCCCAGGGCCCGGCCAGCGGCTCCGCGGCCCCCGCTGCTGTGGAGGGCACTGTGCCGGGGGCCACTGCCAGGGGCCAGGGCTCCGGGACCGGGGCGGGGCCTGCAGGGAGAGACAGGGGCAGGCCTGAGCTGGCCTGGCGAGCCCCTCCTCCGCACCTCCCAGAGGCTCGTCCTCACCTGCCAGCGGGACCTGGGGCAGGGGCCTGCAGGGGGGGGCCACGTCCGCTACCCAGGGCAGGTCCAGATCCTCAGCAGTGGGCGCTGGCCGGGTGGAAGAGACTGTGGTTACCCTGCCCGGCCACGCCCTTCCCACGGCCGCCCCTGCACTCACCCGGCGGCGCCACCCACGCGGCGGCATCCAGCAGGTGGGCCTGCAGGCTGCCCTGCGGCACTGCCTGGAGGAAGGGGCCTGCGGGGGCGCTGGGGGCGCGGGCCTCCGGCGGCTCCCGCGCCTCGGCCTGGCCTGGACAGGGCAGCGCCTCCTGCAGGGTAGAGGCGCCTGCGTCAGCCGCCCGCGGGGGCGCAGGAGCCCCCCTCGCCCCCGACCTCAGGCGGAGAGCCGGGGCTGCCTTACCCGGGCGGGGGGCGCCGCGGCGGGGAGCGCCTCCGCGGGAACGCTCGGCCCTGGGGAGGGAGGACGCGGTCAGCTGCGAGGGCCGCGCCGCCCGGGCCCGGGGGGACCTGCGGGCGCGCCAGCCCTCACCTCTGCAGCCCGCCTCCGGGCTGAGCCCGAAGACTTTGTGCGGGTCCCTCTGGTCCCCGGAGTTGTCCTGGAGCATCACGAAGCGGCGCGTGCTGGTCAGCGCGCAGCGGAAGTTGGTCTTCCAGCCGGCGCGGTGCGCGCTCTCGGGCGCCCAGCGGTCAGCGCTGCCGGGGCCGCCGGGCGGCCAGCGCCCGCGCGCCACGGCCCAGGCCTGGGGGGACGGAGGGCGTGGGCCTGCGGCCGTCGTGGGGCAGCCCCCCCCCGCGGCGGGGCGCCCACCTTGAAGATGCGCGCGTCGGCCTCGCTCAGGTCCTTGTGCCCGAAGTGCTTCCAGGGCACGCGGAAGCGCGTGCGGGCGGCGTCCAGCCAGCGCAGCCCGTCGTAGCGGCCGCTGCTCACCTCGCGCAGGAGCCAGTCCCCGAAGCGCAGCCGCGCGGGGGGCGCGGGGCCGCGGGGCCCACCTCTCGGGGCGCAGGGCCATGGCTCCGCGCAAGGCCCGCGGTCCCGGGGTGCGGGTCACGGGCGTGCACGAGGGCGGTGGCCGAGCGAGCGTGGCCACGGGATGTGACGGCAGATGCGGCGGTGCCCACACGTGCGGTCACAGGTGTTGCGCCAGCGTCGGGCCTGGACGGGGGCGCGCAGGCCGGACCCTGCGGAGACACGACGAGCCGGTGGCGCGGAGGGGCGGGCCGGGAAGCGGAACGGCGGGGCGCGGGGAAACGAAACCGAAGCGAAGCCCAAACGGCCGCCCGCCCGGGGACCCCGGGGACCCCGGGGCTCCCGGCCCCCGGCCCGGCCGCTCCGGGCGCCCCGCGCCCCGCGCCCCGGACGCCCCCTCCCCGCCCCGCCCCCGGCCCCGCATGCCCGCAGCCCGCCGCGTGGCCCCGGTCCGGTCCGCGGCCCCGGCCCACATCGGAGCTCGCCGCCCCGCTCCCCAGCTCGGGCTCCGCGGGGTGCTGCGCCCCAGTACCTGGAAGTAGCAGCCGGCGATAAGCAAAGTTTCGCCGCGGAGCCCCCGAGAAGCGCTTTTATCCGGGCGCGGAGGGGCGGGGCGATCGGAAGGTGGGGCCGGAATCGGGCGGGGCGATTGGCGGGCGGGGAGGAGTGGGCGGGGCCGGCGGAGGAGGAGTGGGCGGGGCTGGCGGAGGAGGGCGGCCGACGCGGTGGGCGTGGCGTGGCCTGGCTAGGGAGAGCGAGGGCCGGCGGGGCGGGGCCGGCGCGGCTGTGGGCGGGGCTAACGAGGGCGGGCCGCGGGAGGGGTGGGGCGAGCCCTGACGGGGCGGGGCCAGCGCGGCTGGGGCGGGGCGAGGGCGGGCCAAGGAGGGCGGGGCGGGCCAAGGAGGGCGCGCGGCGGGGCGGGGCCCCGCGGGAGTCACAGGGCGGCCCTGTGTCCAGTCTTGTGACCGAGTGCACGCAGTGCCCGGCTGGCCGAGGGCTGAGCCGGACCTGCAGGAACCTGGGAATTGAGCCCCGCCCACAGCACCGGGCCTTTCGCGGACAGGGTCGCGTGGGAGGAGAGCACGCTGTCCCCAGAAGCTTGAGTCCTGGGTTGGGGGCCCGCAGCAGCTGTGCCCGGGGGTCACTTCTGGCACCTGCCAGACCAGCCCTGGCCTCTCCTCTGCCCTGCACACATCCGATTCCACGGAGTGCCCTTCCGGCCGCTGCAGAAAACGCCCGCGCCACGCGAGGGTCAAGACGGCATCCGGCAAGGGGGTCTCTGTCACCCGTGCGGGTGCCCCAGGCCCCCGGCAGCCCCCTGCAGCCCCCACGCCGTCCCCGACGCGCCACCACACTGCGGTGCAGCTGCATTCACTTTATTCTGGCTGCGGGAGGGTCGCGGGCAGAGCCCTAGACTACGACAGAGATGCCGACATTCTCGTACCCGTCCTCCTCGCCCAAGTCGCCCCCGGGGTCACCATCGCCTTCACTGTGACTGTCGTTGCCGTCATCGTCGTCGTCTACGCCCGTCGTGGGCGCGTTGAGGACCACCACGTCCGCCTCGGCGGCGCCAATGTCCTCCCCGAACCACACGGCCTTGTAGCCGCCCTCCGGCCGCCGCTCCTTGGTCAGGATGGACCTCACTGCCTGGGGGCTACTCCCCTCGGGGGGCGTCTGGGCCACCACAGGGGGCGGAGAGTCGGCAGCGCGGAGGACAGGAGGGCTGGGGGCCGCCGCCGACGGGGGCGGGGGGGGCGCAGACTTCTGGAGTGCTGAGAGATCGGTCTTTGTGGGTTCCAAGGCCGTGGGCTCTGTGGGTGTGTGCTCTGGGGTTCCCAAGCGTGCAAGCCTTGAGGGCGCAGGCTCTGAGGGTGCCGGGGGGTCCTCGTCGCCGGCAGAGCGCGTCACCGGGGCGTTAGCCTCGTTCCAGTTGGCCTCGCTGTCACCCACGAAGGTCTCGTTGTCGTACTCCTTCGGCTGGGACTTCTGCGGGCGAAGGTGGGGCGCAGGGCTCAGCCCGAACTCCAGCCGCGAGCCCACCCTCCCCTCCCCTTCTGCAGCCCACTCCCGCCCCCCAGAGAGGACTGGTTTGGGGATGGGGTCTGGGCGTGGCTGGGGGACGCTCGGCCAGGAGGGGTCCCCGTGCTCCCCCCGCCTCACCAGCCGTGTCCGGGAGCAGCAGCAGTTGAACCTGTGGCCGTAATGCTTGCACACGAGCACGACAAGGGCCACCAGCGCCAGCAGCAGCAGCGCCCCCAGCACCCCGCCCAGCGCCGCCATCTGCACTACAGAGAACCGCGCGGCCTCAGGGCAGGCTCCGTCCACGTCCACGCCGCCTCCGGGCGTAGTCACTATCCCGGGGGTCTCAGGAGTGGGCACAGTCCCGGGCACAGTCCCAGGCATGGGCGTGGTCCCAGTCCCAGGCATGGTCACAGTCGTCCCAGGCACGGACCCAGGCACGGGCACGGTCCCGGTCCCAGGTGTGGTCACTGTCCCTGGCGTGGTCACGGTCCCTGGCACAGTCACGGTCCCGGGTGTGGTCACGGTCCCCGGCAGCGCAGTCATGGTTGAGGTCATGGTCCCCGACTCAGTCGTGCTCACAGTCTCTGTCCTTGTCACAGTCCCCGTCTCCGTCCCAGGCACCGTCCCGGTCACAGTCACTGTCCCGGTCCCTGGCGTCCCTGCAGGCGACAGCAGCCCCACTTACTGGACTGCAGAGAGCAGACCTGGCCCCGGGGAGTGGCCACTCCTGCCCCACAGTTCCAGTGCCCTAAAGCCAGGGGCAGTGGGGCTCCCTGGGGCTCGTCTGTCCCTTGGATCTCCCGGGGGTCCCCAGACCTGACCCCGGGTGTGGGGTGGCCTACCTGTGGACGAGGGGCCTGTGGATCCCGGCTGCTCGGTGCCTGTGGGTGAAGTGGAGGGTGGTCTGGTGCTGACACCAGTGCTGGGGGGCGTCTGGGGCGTGGTTTAAGCTGGGGGCCGGGGAGTCCCTGAGGGGGCATGCTGGGGGCCCGCGAGGCCTGGGGGCAGGGCGTCTCTCTTCCCTCACCCCCCTGCTCCAGGAAGGGCCCCAGGCTCACCTGGGGCAGAGGTGGGCTCCGGAGAGACTCGAATCTCCACCACGGTGGTGGCATTGGACTTTGTGACCGTGTTGTAGGCCTCCACCTGGACGGGATATGGATTTGGCCTCCAGAGCTCAGCTGGACCCCTTCCCTGGACCCCGCCCTGCCCTCACCTTTGCGGCGTAGGTCCCCGGGGCCACCAGCAAGGAGGTGGTCAGCACGGCTTCTCCTTCCATCCGGAAGTTGGTATTGTTTGTGATTTTGTACTCAAAGTTCCTGTTGTACTCCTGGATATGGTGTCTGTGAGCCCGGGGTCCCATGGCACCCCACAGCCCACCCTCCGCAGGTGGCGGGCACCTACAGGGATTGTGTCCTGGGCCCGAAGGGTCAGTGGCTGGGAAGGGTCTGCAGCATCCTTGACGGCAATGCCCGCCCCTTGGCCGAGCACCAGGAAGCCGTGGTACAGATTCAGCGGGAAGGAGGCGTAGCTCTCCTTGCTGGTCACCTCCACCGACACCTGCGTCACCGAGTACCGGGCACCGGACTTCTGTCTGGCCTGGGGTGGGGACAGCAGCACTGACCACCAGGTCCGGAGGGCTCCGGAACGGCTGTGGGCACGGAGGCGGGGACAGACACTCACCGTGACCAGCAACAGGAAGGTCTTGGGGTTGGGTGCGTGCTTGTGCATGGTGAGGTTGCCTGTGCTACTGTTAATGCTGAACATCTCATTGTCCACGCCTTCTGCAAAGACGGCAGAGCCACCGCTGGTACCAGCCTGGGCTGATGACCAGGGCCCAGGCGGGGAAACCGGGCCAGCTCTCACTCACCACCCTTCAGGCTGTAGATGATCTCCTCGTTGATGGCCCAGTCGCCGTCCACGGCGTAGATGGGCCCGGGACTGAAGCTGAGCATGTATGGCTGGGGGAGCCAGCCCGGAGGGAAGGGGACGTGGTGGGCTGGTGAGACCCCACTCGCCCTCCAGCCCCCAAGAGTGGGAACAACCCCTCCGGCTGACCCCGCACAGATGTCAGGTCAGTCTTCAGAGCTGTGGCACCCCCATACCCCCTCCCGCCCCTCCGGACTGCCCCAGACCCCCGGGACCACCTCCTGCTCACGACACCCCCGCCACCCCTAGGCCATGTCAGGGCCCTGACAGTCAGTCGGCAGAGGACAGCGAGCGCTGTAGGCAAATCACCACGAGGTCGCCCCACCCACCCACCTCCGTGACCCACAGACCACGCCCACTCCCTGGCCCCGCCCCCAGCACCCTGGTCCCGCCCCACGCCCCCAGGCTGTCCCTGCGCAGTACCAGGTTGACGTCTATGGGGACGATCCCCTTGTACTGTGCCTGGACGCAGATGTGAGAGTCATTGTGTACGCAGGGCAGGAACCAGGGGGGACGCAGGTCTGCAGGCACCACGTCCACGACCACAGTGGCGCTGGCTGTGTGACTGGGTGTTTGGTTCTCATTCTCAGTGTCCTATCACAGTGCGGCCAAGTCCATCAGGCCCAGGAGACCCCGCTGGGGCAGCACCCAAGCAGCCTCGGTCGGGCATGAGGAGTCTCCAGGGTGGGAGAGGGGGCGGGACAGAGGCGGGACCTGGGCGGGACAGAAGCGGGGCCTAGGGCTGGGGTGGAGGCAGGGCGGGGCCTGAGTGGGCGGGGCCTGGGGTGGGCGGGGCCTGGGTGGGGCGGGGCCCGGATGGGACGAGCATGAGAGAGGCGGGGTGTGGGTCAGAGGCGGGGCCTAGGACTGGGGCGGGGCCTATGGGGCGGGACCTGGATGAGATGGGCATGAAGTAGGCGGGGTCTGGGTCAGAGGCGGGGCCTAGAGCTGGGGCGGGGCCTGACGGGGTGGGCAGGGCCTGGGTCTGGGGTGGGGCTGGGTGGGACAGGCATGAAAGAGGCGGGGTGGGGGTCAGAGGCGGGGCCTAGGACTGGGGCGGGGCCTATGGGGCGGGACCTGGATGAGATGGGCATGAAGTAGGCGGGGTCTGGGTCAGAGGCGGGGCCTAGAGCTGGGGCGGGGCCTGGACGGGGTGGGCAGGGCCTGAGTCTGGGGTGAGGCTGGGTGGGACAGGCATGAAAGAGGCGGGGTGGGGGTCAGAGGCGGGGCCTAGGGCTGGGGCGGGGCCTGAGAGGGGCAGAGCCTGAGTGAGATGGGCATGAAGTAGGCGGGGTCTGGGTCAGAGGCGGGGCCTAGAGCTGGGGCGGGGCCTGACGGGGTGGGCAGGGCCTGGGTCTGGGGTGGGGCTGGGTGGGACAGGCATGAAAGAGGCGGGGTGGGGGTCAGAGGCGGGGCCTAGGGCTGGGGCGGGGCCTGAGAGGGGCAGAGCCTGAGTGAGATGGGCATGAAGTAGGCGGGGTCTGGGTCAGAGGCGGGGCCTAGAGCTGGGGCGGGGCCTGACGGGGTGGGCAGGGCCTGGGTCTGGGGTGGGGCTGGGTGGGACAGGCATGAAAGAGGCGGGGTGGGGGTCAGAGGCGGGGCCTAGGACTGGGGCGGGGCCTATGGGGCGGGACCTGGGTGAGATGGGCATGAAGTAGGCGGGGTCTAGGTCAGAGGTGGGGCCTATGGGGGCGGGGCCTATGGGGCCGGGCTGGGTGGGACAGGCATGAAAGAGGCGGGGTGGGGGTCAGAGGCGGGGGGGAGGGCTGGGGCGGGGCCTGAGAGGGGCAGAGCCTGAGTGAGATGGGCATGAAGTAGGCGGGGTCTGGGTCAGAGGCGGGGCCTAGAGCTGGGGCGGGGTCTATGGGGGCGGGGCGGGGCTGGGGTGGGGCTGGGTGTGACGGGCATGAGAGGAGGCGGGGTCTGGGTCAGAGGTGGGGCCTATGGGGGCGGGGCCTGTGGGGCCGGGCTGGGTGGGACGGGCATGAAGGAGGCGGGGTGGGTCAGAGGCGGGGCCTAGGGCTGGGGCGGGGCCTGAGCGGGGCGGGGCTGGGGCTGCGGAGGGCGGGGCCCGTGCGGCTCTGAGGCTGCTCACCCGGACCAACAGCGTGAAGGTCATGCGGGCCAGCTTGCCATAGTCCAGTGCCTGGCTCAGCCTGAGGCCGGGCTGGGTTCGGCTCACCAGGGAGAAGAACTTGCTGGCTTCCTGCAGGAAGGACAGCCTGAGCGATCTGGGCGGAGACGGAGCAGAGACGCCGCGGGCGTGTGGGCAGTGGGCGGGACTGAACCACTGACCGGGGTCACTTCCTTGAGTTCATAGAACAGGACATCGCTCTGGTCCTTGTCCGTGGCCTGCAGCTTCGATGCAGGGACGACGATGGTGTTCACTCTGGCCTCCTGGGAGCAGAGGTGCTCTGAGCACTCTTGACGCCAGGCCGTGGGCTCCCCACCCACCCCCCGGGGCTGCCCCTCACCTCGGTCACGCTCTCAGTGTAGGTCTCCTGGGAGAATGTCGGGGCATTGTCGTTGATGTCTTTGATCAACAGGCGCACCGTACGACTGCCGACCTGGGGCAAAATGAGGGGGGGCGCTTAGTCCTGTGAATCCCCTCTGAGATGGGGGTGCCGGGGCTGAGAGGGGAGCCCACAAGCCGGCTGGAAGTTTCCAGAGTGGGGACCAGAGCGATAGTACAGCAGGAAGTGCATTTGCCTTTTGTTTGCATCTGTTCGATCCCCAGCATCCTATATGGTCCCCTGAGCACTGCCAGGAGCGACTCCTGAGTGCAAAGCCGGGAGTACCGCCTTAGTGTCAGCAGCGTGACCCAAACCCAAAACAAAACAAAGAGAGGCGGGAGTGGGATGGGACATGGGGACGGGACATGGGGACATCAGCTTGAGGCAGAGCTGCAGATGTGCTCAGTGGGGGGGTGGGGGACAGTGGAGGAAGTGGGGTTCCTGTGAGCTGTGGAAGAAGTGTGGGCACTGCCAGCTCAGGTGATCTGCTGAGGTCCCTGGGCAGACCCTAGAGGGACACAGCAGGGCACAGAATTGTACCGAGGAGGTGGGCTCTGGCCTTGGGGTCACTCACCAAGTCTGTGGTGCCCTGATTCAGGCACTCCAGTCTCGCAAACAGAATTTGGGTTTCCTGCGAAAGAAGGTGTGGGAACCTCAGCTGTCACACAAAGACCCTAGTTGGCACACACAGCCCCTAGTTGGCACACGCAGCACAGCAGGGAGTACACTTGCCCTGCACGCACCAACCCAGGTTCCATCCCCAGCATCCTATCCGGTCCCCTGAGCACTGCCAGGAGGATTCCTGAGTGGACCCCCCAGCTGGCACACACAGCCCTCGTTGTCACACGAAGACCCCCCCCAGCTGGCACACAGACCCACAATCATGGGGGGCTGGCAAAGGAAGCAGTGAGGGTGGGGGTGAGCTGGGTCAGGCACCTGCCTTCCACGCACCAGGGTGTGGATATGACCGGCTCTCACTGGAGCTGTCTTCAGACCTGGTCGGCTCCATCGCCTCCGGGGGGCTCAGATTCTGGGGGATCCCCCTACTCTAGGAGATGTGCTGACCTGGTTCTGGGCAGTGCACCCCAACCCAGACACGCCCCTAGTCCGTACCTCAAAGTCCGGAGTCTTATGGAGGAAGAGCTGGTTCTCGTTCTTGATGGTAAAGTATTCCTCGGACTCCTTCGACACACGTACAGACTGGCCCGGGGGCAGCGTGACGACAGCCAGGACCACGTTCAAGGCCTCCGTGCTGTTCTCTGACACACTTTCCACCTTCTGTTCCACAGGGCACACTGGAAAGAAAGCAGCGGGGTCAGAGGCGGCCGCCGTCCCCCTGCCCTCCGGCCGCCCTCTGGGCCTGCGGGTACCTTGGCCCTGCACCCCCGCGGCCTGGAGCAGCAGCAGCAGCAGGGCCGGCGCCCCCAGCGCCCACATGTTGACAGGAGGGTCCGCGGGGCCTCCCAGCCGGTCCTCCGCGCCGGTCTCCCGCACAGCTGCCTCTGGGACAGCGACCTTCGGCCCGGCTGACCCCGCCCTGTTTTACGATCCTTCCGCAGACACTCCTCCAGGGGGGATCCCGCCGGCCGGCCCCCGGGAGCCCGGGCACAGGCTGGGCTAGGATGCGGGGGCCTGGGGACCAGGGGCTGCGGCAGTGGAAGGGGGGAGGAGGCGGGCGAAGGAGCGGCCCTGGGCTTGCCGCTGCCCCCCGCCCTGTGCCCGGCTCCCCCTGGCACCTTTAGATGAACTGCAAGCCCCTCCCCAAGCTTCTGGGAGGAGGGCGGTCGCTTCACCTCGGCCCCCACCCCGCCCTGCACCCGACTGCCCTCATCTTTCCCGGCCCCCCACGCCCCTGCCGGGGGAGTGGTCTGTGGAAGGGCAGGGAAGGGGTTGGGGAGCGGACTGGCGGCCCGAGTCTCCACCCCGCAGCGAGACCGCAGTCCCGGGGACCCGCTTCTGATGTGGGCTGGCGCGGGCCCGAGGCGTCCGGGGAGGCCGAGATAAGGGGAGGGTGGGGTCCCGGGCGAAGGGCAGCGGGACGGGCGTCCCCTCTGGAGTGGGGTCCAGGAACACAGGCTCAGGCCACGTTTAGAATCCGTCTTTATTGGTGCCAAGGGCAGCGCCCCCTGCCCACCCCGCTCTCCCCGTCCCCGGGCTGCGGCGTCACAGGCGGCGGGCCGGCTCCCCTGGCTCCGGAACCGGGGCCCGCGCCCCGCGCCTCGGGCTGGGGGTCAGCTCCAGGCTCCTCAGCGGCCTCCTACAAGGCAAGGGTTGGTGGGGCAGGAGCCCCGGCTCTGCTCAGGTGGGGGCTCCGGGGTGCCCCCCCGACTGCTGCTGGCGATGGGTGCTGAAGGAAGGGGGTCTTGGACGTGAGGGTGAGGGGTGCGGGAGCGGGGGTGTGTGTGTTTGCGGGGCACGGAGTGGGCGGGGCCCGGGCGGGGCGGGGCCAGAGCGAGGGGCGGGGCCAGAGCGAGGGGCGGGGCCGTGGGCGGGGCCCCGGGCGCGGGGCGGGGCCGCGGGGCGGGGCGGGGCGGGGGTCCCGGCCACCTCACCAGGCCAGCAGGGCGGGCGAGTCGGTCCACAGCAGGAGGACCTGCTCCTCGGCAGGCTGCGGCCAGGCCGTGCCGTTCTCTGTGTCCGGCTCGCTGCCCCCCACCCCAAATCAGAGTTAGCCCTGGAGTTGGGGGCGGGACAGGGCAGAGGTGAGGAGCCCCGTCGCCGCCCCGCTCCGCGCCCCGGCCCGCGCCGCCCGCCGCGCCCACCTGCGCCTGCCCACCAGGCCCTGCAGCAGCCTCTGCAGGTGCGCGCTCTCGCGCAGGCGGCTCAGCTCGCTGGTGAACATCCCGTCCGAGTGCCGCGGCGGCCTGCGGGCAGAGGGGCGCGGTCAGCGGGGCGGGGGCGCCCGGCCACCCCCCCCGCCCCCGCCGGCCCGGGGTCCTGCCTGGGCGGGCCGGGCCGGGCCGCGGCGCCCCCCAGCAGCAGCAGCAGCAGCAGCGGCAGCGGCCGGGCGGTCATGGTGCGGTGCCGGGCCCGCGGCCGCCCGCGCTTTATAGCGGCCCCCATTGATCGCGGGGCCCCGGGGCCGCCCCCAGCAGCTGTCCCCGCGCCTCGCCGGCGCCCGCCCGGCGGCTCTTTCCGACCCGCGGTCAATAGGGATTTGGGCGCCGGATCCCGCGGCGCGGACCCCCCCCGCACCCCGGGGCGCCAGCGCCGCCGCGGAGGTCATCATCCCCCCGGGGGGGTCGCCGGGTGCCCTCCCGGAGCCCCAAGGGCCCCTGAACCCCACCTGGAGCCCTGAGCGCCACTGGGCAGAGTCGGCCCGAGCCCCCCAGACCAGACCCCCCAAGGCCTTTTCTCAAATCCGCGGCCGGGTGCCTCCGCCAGCCGCAGACCCAGCCGAGGACCGGGACAAGGAAAGAACTTTCTAGCTGGGCCAGAGCCATAGTCCAGAGCTCAGGAGTGATTCCTGAATGCACAGCCAGAAGGAACCCTTTTGCACAGCGGAGTGTGGCCCCCTAAAAAGAGCCCTTCTTCCTTCCTTCCTTCCTTCCTTCCTTCCTTCCTTCCTTCCTTCCTTCCATTTTTCCTTCTTCCCTTCCTTCCTTCCTTCCTTCCTTCCTTCCTTCTTTCCTTCCTTCCTTCCTTCCTTCCTTCCTTCCTTCCATCTTTCGTTCCTTCCTTCTTTTCTCCCTTCCTTTCATCCTTCCTTCCTTCCTTCCATCCATCCTTCTTTCCTTCTTCCGTTCCTTCCTTCCATCCATCCTTTCCTTCCTTCCTTTCTTCCTTCCTTCCTTCCTTCCTTCTTTCCTTCTTCCCTTCCTTCCTTCCAATCTTCTTCCTTTCTCGTCCTTCCTTCCTTCCTTCCATCTTTCTTTCTTCCTTCCATCCTTCCTTCTTTCCTTCTTCCCTTCCTTCCATCCTTCTTTCCATCCTTCCTTCCTTCCTTCCTTCCTTCCTTCCTTTCTTCCTTCATTCATTCCTTTTCCTTCCCTTATTTTTGGGTCATACACAGCAATGCTCAGGGGTTACTCCTGGTTCTGCACTCAGGAATCACTCCTGGCAGTGCCTGGGGGACCATATGGGATGCTGGGAATCGAACCTGGGTCAGCTACATGTAAGGCAAATGCCCTACCCGCTGTGCTATTGCTCCAGCCCCACCTTCCTTCTTCCCTTCCTTCCTTCTTCCTTCTTCTCTCCCTTCCTTCCATCCATCCTTCTTCCCTTCCTTCTGTCCTTCCATCCGTCCATCCTTCTTTTTTACACCGAGTGGTGCTCAGGGCTCAGTCCTAGCTTTTTTATATACATAGGAGTACTGCTATTTATTCAGCCACTGATTAGCTGATTGAATTGGACATGAACTCCACCTTACTTTTTTTTCATGATTTTATTTTTTTCCTTCTTATAATTATTTATTGAATCACTGTGGGAAAAGTTACAAAGCTTTCAGGTTCAAGGCTCGGTCATACAATGATCAAACACCTTTCCCTTCACCAGTACTCATATTTCACCACCAAGAACCCCAATATACTCCCCTCCCAACCCTCCCCCTACCTGTGAGGTAGATGATTTCTATTTAACTTTTCTCTATATTGATTGCATTCATTATTTCAACAAGAGATGCACCATATTGCTTAAAATTCCCCCCCCAACAATCAGAATTGCTGAAAAGGCATTGTGAAATAATTTGCTTTCTATAGCTGGTTGGACTGAAGCGATAGCACAGCCGTGGGGCGTTTGCCTTGTGCACAGCCGGCCTGGCCGAGCCGAGTTCGATTCCTCCGCCCCTCTCGGAGAGCCCGGCAAGCTACTGAGAGTATCTCACCCGCACGGCAAAGCCTGGCAAGCTACCTGTGATGTATTCAATATGCCAGACACAGTAACAAGTCTCATGATGGAGACGTTGCTGGGCCCGCTTGAGCAAAATCGATGAACAATGGGAGGACAGTGACAGTGATAGGTGGTTATGAGAATCATATAATGTTGCACGGCCATGAGAGCGGCCGCGCGATTTTGGACTTCTGCAAAGAGCCAGATAATTACGAGGTTGGTTTCTGTGCATCTGGTGTTATGGCTGTGCCGGAGAGCCGCTCGTGGGGGGCAACTCGTGACCTCGGTAGGGCGTGAAGGACGAGCCGGTACCGCTCCCCTTCCCAAGAGACTGCAGTTACCCCGTCACCGCCAGCTCATATCTGGCTTTCCTACAAGCTCTGAGGCGGTGGCCACCTGGCTGCTGGGGGAGAAAAAGGCGGAAGGGAGCAACACCCTTTCCCTCCTGGGGAGGCATGGCGCCGTAGTTTAACGCATGGTCCATTCACCAGTCCTAGCTTTAAGATCAGGGATCACTCTTGGTGGGCCTTGGGGAACCATATTTGGTGCCAGGGATTGAACCCGGGTTGCTTATGTGCAGGCAAGCGCCCTTCCTGCTGTGCTATCTCTCCAGGGAGGAGAACTTATTTCCATACGTGCATTTTCATTACAGGCCAGGCACACCAAAGGGAAAGGGTTTGCAGACAGTGGGATGACCTCATCCTGATCACCCACATCCACTTGTCCTCATGCCTCAGAAAAGAATCCCTAGTCAGGACAAATAGCGAGGGCAAGATTTCCATTCCCAGCGCATTCAGGGTGGAGAGCCCCGTGGCAGGAGTAACACAGAGAAAGACACAGCCCAGGGGGACCTCGGCCGCTCACACTGGAGGGGACGGGGAAGTGTTCAGTGTCCGAGCGGAATCTCGTGTGTCCCAATTCTGGAAGCAAGCAGGGCCCTCCATCACCCCCCCCGCCCAACCCCCAGTGATGGTTCTTCCAAATTAACTCTCGGCCAAGCATTGACGTGCACTGTTTCAGGAGAAGGGGAGCGGGCAGGTGGGGTTTGATCTCCAGTCCTGCACACTCTCCTGAGCCCCACCAGGAATGAGTCCTGAGTACCGCGGGCTGTGGCCCACCCCTGGATGGGATGTGGGGTCCAGGCTGTGAGTGCCCACAGCAGCCCCCTGGCCACTGCCCATCCTGCCCACCTCATCTTGCGGGTCAGCTTGGCCAGTAGCCAGCGCTGGGCTACTGGTGATGCCATGTCGCGTTGCCCGTGTTTGCAGCTTCCTGAGCTGTGCCAGGGAGTGAACCCAGATCTCATGCATGACCCCTGAGTCACAGCCCAGCCCAGTGACTTCATATCTTGATCCTAACAGCAAATCTCGCTGCCCTTCAGGAGAGTCTTAGTTGGCCCTGACTTCCCTTAAAGATTTTCTTGCTGGGGCCAAAGATCGGACAACTGGCACGACTCTGGCCTTATCTGGAGGTTCGATCCCCCGAGCCCTGGCAGGGTGACCTCTGAGCACAGTGTGCTGAGGACCACCAGTGTGGCCCCCAGATAACGTTCTATTTCCTTATAGTGCTTATTTATTACTTTATTTTATTCCCTCTCTCCCTCCTCTTTCTTTGTAGCTGCCGTTATTGGTTGGTGTGTTTTGGAGGACCGGGGGAGGGGTGGGGAGGTCACGCTCAGAGGCTGTTCCTGGCTCTGTGCTCAGGAGGGCACTTAGGGACTTAGCAGTTCCGGGACTGAACCAGGGTCAACCAACGCAGCCGCATGCCAGGCTCATGCCTCATCTCCTGGACTATCTATCTATCCAGCCCTGCCTTCGACCTCTTGTTTTGTTTGGGGACCATACCCGTGTTACTTAGAAATTAATTCTGACTCTGCATTCAGGAATCACTCCTGGCAGAGTCCAAGGGACCATATAGGGTGCCAGGAATCAAACCTGGGTAAATTGCATGTGAAACCAGCTTCCTGCCCGCCGTACTGTCTCTCCGATCTCTGTTATTTTTTTTTCTCCTTTGTGAGGGCTCCCTTTATGGTGCAGATGTCATATGATTCCTCCAAGTTCGTTTTTCATTTTCAAAGTTGTTTGACTAATTATATATATATTTGGTTTATCCACATACATTTTATTCTCTTATTTTGGTTTGGGGGTCACACGGCAGTGATCATGATTTATTCCAGTGTTCAGGGATCCTCCTGCCAGGGCTTGGCAGACCCTACCTATGGGGTGCCGCATTGAAATGATTCAGCCGTCTTAACCTGTGACACCCCTCTGCCCCGAGGGGTCCCATTTGGGGTTCCTCTTCGCTGTGTGATGGGCACTCTGGTAAGGTGGCTCCTGTTTCTCATTAAACCGCAAAGCGAGTTTCTGGGCAGGAGGGTGAAGCAGTATGGGGGCTCCTAGGGTGAACCGGTTCCTGGGGGATGCAGCACAGCGCGGGCCTGGGGTCTGCGGGAGCCGGCGAGGCACAGATGCGCAGCAGAGGAGTCACCTTCCGAGTGGGGCGGGGGTGGGGGGTGGGGGGGGAAGGGGGGCTGGGCTGGGCCATCAGGGTTGCAGAGCAGGGCTCTGCAGGCGGGGCTCTAGGACGGGGGCGGGGCGGAGCCTAGGGAGGCGGGGCGGCAGGTACAGGACCTTGGGGGCGGAGCTCCGGAACGCGGGGCGGAGCGTCTGCACTGAGGACGGGGCGGAGCCTAGAGGGGCGGGGCGGCAGTATAGGACCTTGAGGGGCGGAGCTCTGGAACGTGGGGCGGAGCGTCTGCACTGGGGGTGGGGCGGAGCCTAGAGGGGCGGGGCGGCAGTATAGGACCTTGGGGGCGGAGCTCTGGAACGCGGGGCGGAGCGTCTGCACAGAGGGCGGGGCGGAGCCTAGAGGGGAGGGGCGGCAGGTACAGGACCTTGGGGGCGGAGCTCCGGAACGTGGGGTGAAGCGTCTGCACTGAGGGCGGGGAGGAGCCTAGAGGGGCGGGGCGGCAGGTAAAGGACCTTGAGGGGCGGAGCTCTGGAACGTGGGGCGGAGCGTCTGCACTGGGGGCGGGGCGGAGCCTAGAGGGGAGGGGCGGGAGGTACAGGACCTTGGGGGCGGAGCTCCGGAACGCAGGGCGGAGCGTCTGCACTGAGGACGGGGCGGAGCCTAGAGGGGCGGGGCGGCAGGTACAGGACCTTGGGGGCGGAGCTCTGGAACGCGGGGCGGAGCGTCTGCACAGAGGGCGGGGCGGAGCCTAGAGGGGCGGGGCGGCAGAGAGGCCGGGGTGGGGCTCACGGGCGGAGCTTAGCGCCTCCGGGGCGTGGCTCCGAGACGCGGGGCGGGGCGTCTGCACTGGGGGCGGGGCGGCAGAGAAGCTGGGGCGGGATTCCGGGGGCGGAGCTTAGCGCCTCAGGGGCGGGGCGTCTGCGCTGGGGGCGGGGCTCGGAGCGGGCTCCTGGACGTGGGAGCGCGACGCGGCGGCTCGTCCGGGCCCAAGGGCCAGGGAGGGGGCGCGACCTTAGCGCTGTCCCCGGTGCTGGGCGTCCTGGGCATTGGCCCGGGAGCCGAGGCCGGGCCGGCGGAGGCGGCGGCGCTGGCGGGGGGCGTGCTGCTCATCAGCACGGCTGGCAACTCGCTGGTGTGCGCGGGCGTGGCGCGTCCTGCAGACGCCCACCAACTACTTCGTCCTCAGCCTGGCGCCCGCCGACCCCCTCCTGGCCCTCCTCGTGCTGTCTACTCGGAGGTGAGCGGAACTGCCCTCCGCCCCGGCCCGCCCGCTCTGCAGGCCGGGGACCCCAGACACAGGACACGCGCCCCCTCTCTGGGTCCGGCTCCCGGGGGTCCCGGCCGCGCACACTAGGAGCTGAGGTTGCAGACTGACTGGCCACGAGCGTGGCGGTGTCGTTTCACTGTGGGGTGCGGGCTGGGGTGTGACCCACACCCCGCGTAAGCCCAGGCCCTTGCATGGGTTCGCCAGGCTTGGGGAGGGGTCTTAAGGTGGAGGTGAGTCGTCGTCGAGCAGAACACCTGCAGCAGCTAAGCTCCTAATCCCCCAAGTAAGCAGGAGGGGACTCAGCGGGGCCCAGGGCCGGCTCGCTTGTCCCCCCACCCCCCGGGCCACTTTGTCCTGGGACACTGGGGTCCCAGGCAGCACAGCGCTGGCGGGCGCCCTGGGACGGAATGCGGGTGCAAGGTCCCACCCGTTACCTGAACCCCACATCCTGGGAGCAGTTGCCATGGGCTCCCCGGGCCTCCCCAGGCTCACCTCCCCGCGCGTACCCCACCCCACGCCGGTTGGAGCAGCAGTGCAGCAGGCAGGGCGTTTGCCCTGCGCGAGCAGACCCAGGTTTGATCCCTGGCACCCCCCGGGGTCCCCAGCGCCCCGCCAGGAGTGAGCCCTGAGCACAGCCCAAAAACAAAAAAGTAAGGGTCAGGTCAGCCAGCGGGCGGGTGCCTGGGCCAATGTCCACGGCCTCCTGCGGCCCCTCCAGGTCCGGGGGGCCATGTGGTTGTCGAGCCCCGGCCTGTGCGACGCCCTTATGGCCACGGACGTCCTGCTGGGCACCGCCTCCATCCTCGGCCTGGGCGTCATCAGCGTGGACAGGTGGGCCCCGCCCCGCCCCCACCGTGCGGACACCCCACCCACCGCCCCTAGCCTGTCGGCACTGCGTCCCACAGGTTCGTGCCGTGGCCTTGCCCCTGGGCTCCAGTCAGCGGGGCGGGGCCTTGTGTCCGGGGCTGCTCGGCGTGGCCGCTGGCCCTGGAGGTGGCCGCGCCGGTGCTGTGCGTCCTCAACGTCGTGCGCGGCCGTGACCCCGCCGTGTGCCACCTGGAGGACGGCGGCTACGTGGTCTTCCCGTTCGTGTGCTCCTTCTTCCTGCCCTGCCTGCTCATGCTACTCTACTGGGCCACGTTCCGGGGGCTGCAGCGCTGCAAGTCCCCACCGCGCCTCGACCCCCGCCGCTGGCCTGCAGGCAACCGTGCGCTGGGATCACAGCCGGGAGCACAAGGCCAAGAGGATCCTGTCCATGGTGGTCGGTGGGTCGCGGACCGGGGTGGCAAGGCATGGGGGGGGCTCACGTGCGCCGCCTGCAGGTGCCTTCCTGCTGTGCGGGACGCCCTACTTGGTGGCACCCACCACCCGCACGCTCTGTCCTGCCTGCATGGTACCCTCGCCTGGTCAGCAGTGCGCTCAACCCACTCATCTACACCGCCATCAACTCCCAAGTTCCAGCGCATCTTCTGCGAGACCCTGGGCCTGCGCTGCTGACCCCAGAGTGCGGCCGCTGCCTGCCCCTTGGGTCTGGTAGGTGCCCCCTGACCCGCAGAGACCACGTGCAGAGGCCCCCAAGCCGGCACTGCCCCTTCTTGGTAGGACAGAGGCCTGGGGCTGTCCTGGGGGGCCAGGGGAAGCCCCTCACCATTTGGACAGGTGCCTAGAGGTGGGGAGCCAGCCCCAGCCCCCTGCACCCCACCCTGGGAATGAGAGGCAGTTCTGGCCTCACCTAGCCCAGTCCCAGTGTCCTGGTGTCTAGGACATGGTATAACACAAGGGGTATGTGTGTGTGTGTGTGTGTGTGCGCGTGTGTGTGTGCACGCCCAGTCCCCTCAGGAGCCCCCTCTGTCCACCTCCTTGGAGGTCTGGTGTGCGGGACACGCCATAGCAGCCCCGCTGAGCCTAATACTTAGAGGAGCCTCCTGGGGTGCAGTGACATGGCCTGCTGCATCCCTGCAGGGTGGCCCCAGGCTGGGCCATGAGCTTGGGTGCCTCACCCGGAGCTCAGCAAGGGCTAGCCGCAGACGCCACTCAGGGGCTGGGGTCCTGGGTGTCACTGAGGCTTCATCACTGTGGGGGCCTGTGGGGTCTGTCCAACTTCTGTCCCAACATCGTCCCGTCCATAACATCTCTGGGCAGAATCGCCAGCGCTGCCACCAGCTGGGCTCAGGAGCAGCCAGGACACTCGCCCCATGGCACCCAGAGTGGCCAGGACACCTCAGCTCCCCCATGGCACTCCTGGTTCCATCCCACATGCAAGGGAATGGGCCACGCCATGCCAACACCTGCAGGGGCCAGTCTAGTGACCAGGCGGTCTCTGCTGCCCTACTCGGCCACAGTGCCGAGCCCCTTCCGTGGGCTGGGTTTCCTGCTGGTCACTGCGTGCTGGAGCTCACCTGGCCCCGTGCCCCGCAGCGCTGAGCCCCAGGGCCCAGGCCACCGTGTCTGTCATCAGCAGCAGGCTCAGAGGCAGAGGCCCTGTGGGTCACTCAGGCACTGGGGTCGCTGGCCTGAATCCCAGAGCGCCTGAGCCCAGGTGGGGACGGGATGAGAACCCCCTAGACTGGCGCAGGAAAGCCCCGCATGGCTGTGGCCCGAGGCCTGGAGAAGGGAGCTGGTGGGCCGGCACAGGGCACTCGGCCCCCAGGAGCAGACTGACCGTGGGGCTCCCCCGCTCCCGAGGGGCCAGCGTGACACCCTCCCCCCTCCGCGGGCACAGCCTGCGGGGAGGATTGGGCATATCCATACATGCTGGAGGCGTCCGGCAGGCCCAGGTGCCCTGTAAGCCCCGGGGAGGCGCGAAGGAGGCGCAGGCACGCAGGGGACAGGGCCACACTTTATTGCAGGGACACATGTGGCGCACGTGGTTGCACGCCGGACGCAGCCCCTCCCCACCGGGGTGCGGGACCCTGAGAGTCTGTTGGTGACTTGGCCAGCAAGTTCTCCCTTTCTCAACTCCCCAAGTCCTCCCCAAGGGGCACAGCCGCCAGACTTCACACGGGCACCTTCTCCATGACGCCCTCAGCGACGTGGACGTCGTCCGCCTGCACGGCGACTGCTGTGGCCTGGCCACACACGTGCTGGTGATCCTTCCAGTCCTGAAAGGGGACACGGGCACGGGGATCCCGCTCAGCTGCAGGGGAGGCGTGTTCTGGCACACAGCCTGCAAGGAGCCTGCACACCCTGCACACACGCAGCCCCGCACACACAGCCCCCCCCCCCAGCTTCCCAAACACATGCGCGCGCACACACACACAAACACGTGCGCACACGCAGCTCCCCCATTCAGCCCTGTGCCTCCACTGGACCCTGCACCTCCCTGGGCAGACGCAGGAATGCAGAAAGCCTGGCCACAAGCCCCCACGTGGGCAGAGAGAGGCAGCTAGGGTGTCCTGCGTGGTCCACCCAGTGCCTCTTATGCTTTCCACACCCCGTGATGAAAGCGCCTTTCCATGGACCAGCGACGTCAGGGAGAACGGAAACCCACCGTGCTGCCCTGTCCCTGTCCTTAAAACGGGCTGCCTAAGCCCACCGGCAGAATGCGCCCCCTTCTGCGGCAAAACCTGCCCGGCGACATGCCGAAGACCACGGCCGGTCTCCCAGACCCCGCCCCTGGTTCTACTAGACCCCTCCCCTGATTCTACTGCGCGCTCTGCCCCTGATCCTACCAGACCCCGTCCCTGATCCTACCAGACCCCGTCCCTGATCCTACCAGACCCCTCCCCTGATTCTACTGCAGACCCCGCCCCTGATTCCACCAGACCCCGCCCCGTTCTACCGCAGACTCCGCCCCGTTCTACCGCGGCCCCGCCCCTAATTCTACAAAACCCCGCCCCTGATTCTACCAGACCCCTCCCCTGATTACACCAGACCCCGCCCCGTTCTACCGCAGACTCCACCCCGTTCTACCGCGGCCCTGCCCCTAATTCTACCAAACCCCACCCCTGATTCTACCAGACCCCTCCCCTGATTACACCAGACCCCGCCCCATTCTACTGCAGACTCCGCCCCGTTCTACCGCGGCCCTGCCCCTAATTCTACCAAACCCCACCCCTGAATTTACCAGACCCCTCCCCTGATTACACCAGACCCCGCCCCGTTCTACCGCGGCCCTGCCCCTAATTCTACCAAACCCCGCCCCTGATTCTACCAGACCCCTCCCCTGATTCTACCAGACCCCTCCCCTGATTACACCAGACCCCGCCCCGTTCTACCGCGGCCCTGCCCCTAATTCTACCAAACCCCGCCCCTGATTCTACCAAACCCCACCCCTGATTACACCAGACCCCGCCCCTGATTCCACCAGACCCCGCCCCGTTCTGCCGCAGCCCCGCCCCTAATTCTACCAAACCCCGCCCCTGATTACACCAGACCCCTCCCCTGATTCTACTGCAGACCCCGCCCCTGATTCTACTGCAGACCCCACCCCTGATTACACCAGACCCCGCCCCATTCTACCGCAGCCCCGCCCCTGATTCTACCAGACCCCGCCCCGTCCTACCGCAGACTCCGCCTTTGCCCCTGGGGTGCCTTCACTCTGGGAATCAGCTCCAGATCAAATTCAGCGGTGCCAACCTCCTGAACCGCAAACCTTGCCCCGTGCAAGGGGACCCTCCTTCCTCTTCTCCCCACAGCCCCCTCCGAGCCCTACCCAGGCGCTAGAAGCTCCTCCCGAGTGACCTGCGCCGAGGGACCCGACCAAGCTGCTGTGGGTTAATTCTGAGGAAAGCAAAAACGGACTTGCCCCCGGGAGCCTCATTTAGCAGTCCTGGACGGGGCTGGGGAGTGGGCTGGGTGGGCGGATGCGTGGCCTGCATATGCGAGGTCGTGTCCAGCACCGCCAGAGCACCACCAGGTGTGGCCCCGAAATTGAACAAAAAAACAGATAAAAGGGCCAAAGAGATACACAGCAGGCAGTGCACTTGTTTTGCTCACAGTCAATCCCCAGCATCCCATATGGTTCTCTGAGCACTGCCAGGCGTTATCCCTGAGCATAGGGGCAGGACTAAGCCCTGAGCTCTTGTCAGGTGTAGCCCCGCCAAAAGAAAGAAAAGAGAGAAAGAAAAAGGAAGGAAGGAAGAAACAAATAAAACTGAATTGGAACCTGGCCTCTTTGTTCTGGAAAAAGTGGAAGGAAAGTGGTCAAATTCAGAGAAAGGAGCCAAAAGAAAAAATGATAAAAATAACCTGTGGGAAATTGTCCCAATCATCCCCTAATCAACATCCTAGGCTGGGACAGGCCCCTGGGTCAAACAAGTTCAGCTAGTTTAAACTAGGGGGGACGGGGGCTGGGGACAGGGGCAGAGAGCGCGTTCCTGTCCCCTGCCCATGGAGGCCAAGGCGGACGGTGGGCGTGGGGCCTGTGTTCAGGGTGACCCTCAGTGGTGCCAGGAAACACCTTTGCCTGGCCACAGTGGAAATGGGAGCCCCAAGCCCCCGCCAGGGGCCCAGGCGAGACCCACAGATGTCAGAACCGACAGGCGCCCGGGAACTCCAAGGGCACGCAGGTCGGGATTAGGACAGCCGTGAAGGGCAGTGGGGGCCTGCCGGGGTCTCAGGGAGGCCAGTGGGGCCGGCAGAGAGTGACCCCAGGCGGCTTCGTCCCACCACGAGGCAGGGTAGAAGTGGGCGGCAGGAAACAGGAGCAGAAAGCCACGTAAGAGCTGGGGCTGTGGGCAGATGCTGAGGACAGAGGGATGGTTGCGTGTCCCCCTGCCCGCCACGGGGCACTTGGACCTGTCATCCCAACACCTTGGTCCTCTGATGACAGGAGATCACTCTGTCAAAACCTGGTCAGAAAGAAGCAAGTGTGAATTCAACCCCGGGGATGCAGATTCCTGCCGAGCCGGGGGTGAGAGCCAGGAGAAGACCCTGTCCTGCGTGCGGCCCAGCCCTGAGCACTGCCCCGTGGGGCTCAAAGCCCAAAAGGAACGGGGAAGCGCACGCAGCTGCCTCTGCAGGGAAACACGGGACCTGGGGGGCTGCTCACACCCCCAGAACCCCAGAACCACTCAGGACCGGCCAGGCAGGGAACCAGCACAGCCCAGCAGCCTCTAGAGGAGAGTCTGGAAGGTTCTAACACAGCGAGACGCAACCCCCCGCGATCCACAGCCCCACAGCCTGGGCACAGAGGCCACGGCCGCAGGTCCCTGGCCACACACTGTCCCGCCCTCGTGGGAACAAGGGTCGGCCGAGCAGACCGTGGGCAGGCTGTGGGCTGGGGAGCGAAGGCAGGAAACGGCAACCGGCTGCCTGGGGCTGGCAGCCGGGGAAAGCGAAACCAAAGCGCGGCCAGCTGCACCCGCAGGCGGGCGGGCGGGCACCGGGAGCAACCCAGCGCGAGCACTTCACACACTCTCACACCCCACACGGCCAGGCGGCACAGCCCCGCACCCACACCCACCCACGCCCCGCTCTCACACCCCCACGCCCCCACACCTCCGGGCACCGTCCAACGGCCCCCACCACACCCTCACACGCAGGTGCCTGGACACTCAGACACCCTCACGCAACTGTAAAAACACCCTCGCCACACCCACCTAACACCCAGGCACCCTCATAAACGACTCTCGACGCACCCTCGCACTCACCGGCAGACACCTTTACACACAGACCCCCCACAAGCACAGCCTCCCTCACACTGACACACACAGGCTCAACAACCCAGACACCCTCACTCAGCATCGCAGAACCCCCTCGCACCATCCGGCACCCAGACACCCTCACACCCACCCTCCCACATCATCCCATCGGACACCCAGACACCCTCACGCGCACACCCGCCCCATCCCACCGGACGCCCAGACCCCCCCACGCACGCCCCCCCCCAGCCCTCCCTCCAGCAGCCCGGGGGCAGCTCACAGCCCCGGACACGCCCACCTCGCGCCGGCCAGTACCTTGCGCTGGCAGAAGGTGGAGCAGTAGTGGACCTTGTGGCAGCCGGTGCACTCGCTCAGGGCCTCCCGGCCACAGTTGACGCAGGTTCGCTGCAGGGACACCGACAGGCAGGGTCAGCAGCTGCCGGGCCTCCCTCCCGCGGGCCCCTGGGGCCCCCACGTCCCCCGTGAGGCCTCAGGGCCCCTCGCTCCCGGGACCCCGCGACTGACCCCACACACAGGAGGCAGAGGAGAGCCCGGCCTCCCAGTGGAGGCAGCACAGACTCCCCATGAGGAAACTGAGGCCCTGGCAGGGGGGGGGAGCGCTTGGCCAGACGCGTGGGGCAGGGGCGGAGAGGGAACGCGGGAGCCCGCGGCCAGCCCTGCCCGTGTGGGGGGCCCTTCCTCGCCGCCCTCCGCCTGATGGTCGGGGTTCCCGGCCAAGCCCCCCGCACCGCCCGTCCCACGTCCCGCCCTGACCCACGGCTGGCCCGCGCGGGGCTTATGAGGAGCCGAGGGGCCGTGGCCCGCGCAGGACGGGGGCTGAGAGGGGACGCTCTGCGGGCTGAGGGGGAGCAGGGGCTGTGTGCATATGCAGGGCTGCGAGGGGCAGCGGGCTGAGGGGTCACGGGCTGGGAGGGACGCGAGACTGTGAAGGGGCACAGGCTGTGAGCTGACGTGGGGTTACGGGGCACTGGGGGGGCTGTGGGCACCCCCAGCCGTTGGGGACCCGAGGGCCGAGCACAGGCTGTGGCTGAGACCCAGTGGTTCCGTGGGGCCGCGCCGAGGGTGTGGCCGGGAGGGGGAAGGGGGAAGCGGCCGCGGCCTCGCCTGGCGCCAGGAGCGAGCCGGGGATTAGAGTCGCCCGCCCAGCGCCCAGGATCAAGGGATTTTGTTTCCAGGCAGCAGGGCGCACGCGACGGTCACGGGCCAAGAGGCGCGGGGCGGGCACCGGCCTTGGGCGGCAGCGGGGCGCGCGTGGCAGCCCCCCAGGCTCTGTGCGGCTCGAGGGCCGCCCCCCGTTCCGTTCCGTTCCACGAGGAACAGAACGCGAACGGTCAGCCAGCACTTCCTCTCTCACTTCCCCCGCAGCCTGGAGCCGGGCTTCTGGGGGTCGGCGTCTCCCCCAAGCAGGGCTCGGCGCTCTCGGGCTGGGGGCAACACACAGCCCCCGCAGCGGGCCGCCGGGAGCAGCACGGCATGACGGGCCGTTTCACGGCCACCACGCTGGGCCCCGTCTGGCCCGAGAGTCCGGGCACCTGTGGGCACGGCCCGCGGGGACTGAAAGGAGAAGAGAGCCCCGCGGGTCGCGTCCACAGGCCGTGGTGGGGTGGGCGCACACCTGTGGCCGCCGGGGTGGGCAGGGCTGCGGCCGGTGAGTGAAAAGAGGAAGCGGCCCCAGACCCGCGGCCACCTCGCCCGCACCCACCCGGAGCCGAAGCCCACTGGGCCCTGGTGCCGGGCGGCCCTGCGGGGCTCTTCCCGCCCTCACCCCTGCCACACGGCCGTCCTCAGCGTGAGCACACCAGGTCTCTGGGAAGTGACCAGACCCTGCCCAAGGGGCACGGGGCAGCTCCACCTGTGCCCGCAAGTTGTCCCTGGCCCTGCACAGCTGCAAACGAAGGTTCAGGAAGGCTCACCCGCGGCCCCCACAGTGCGGGGCGGGCAGGGAGCCTGTTGGGACTGGTACCCCAGGCCCCATTCGCACACGGTCCTGGGGCTCTCGGTAGGGAGGGCCGGGCGCCCCCGACCCCCCACGGCACTGCCCTGCCCTCCCCCCCACCCCGCTTGCTCCACAGACACGGAGCTCGAGGGCCGGAGTCCAGGGCAGGGCCACGGGCCCCGCCAAATGACTTCCCGCTCACCGGAGTTAATGATTCGCGAGACTTCGCAGGGGAGCACCGGCCCCGGCTCCCGGCTCCCGCAGAGCGCACGCCCACACAGATGCGCGCCCCCCACATGCTTGCACACGCTCACACACGGACACACACTCGCACACGTGCTCAGGATGCACGCCCCTAACTGACGTGTGGATGACACAGCCACAAGGGTACCGAGGAGGGTCGGGGCTCTGGCAAACTGGGCAGGGGTCACACCTAGGGAGACCGAGAAGCAGGAAGACGGGCCACAGAGGCGACAGGCCACAGCCACAGACCCCCCAGAGCAGGGAGCACTGTCACAGTCCCCGGGGGCAGGGAGCACTGTCTCAGCCCCTCCAGAGAAGGGAGCACAGTCAAAGCCCCCCACAGCAGGGAGCACCGTCACAGGGCTCCCTCCAGAGGCTCAGGCTCCCCAGGGCGCTGGGCTTCCAGCAGGTCCCAGCCTTGAGGGACACCCAAGGCTGACTGCACGTGCCCTTCCTGCCCGCAAAGGCCCCACAGCCTCCTGGCCCCGAGAGCGAAGTCCGGCTGGGGGCCCGGCCACATGCAAACAGCGGCCAGACTCAGGTGCCAGCGGCTGGGGGAGACGTGAGGGCTGCTGTGGGCACCGCCACACCCAACCCTCCAGCACCGGCCCCGCAAAGCTGCCCAACCTTCGGGCGACAAGGCCCCACTTCCCACCCGAGCCCCGCTCTTCTGGAGCTCAGGTGTGAGCTTGTATCCACTTCCCGACAGTGCGGCTCCCGGGGTCTCAGTTTGGGGGCCACACCCAGCGATGCTCGGCTGACTCCGGACAGGGCGGGAGCACACGCGGTGCCGCGGACCGAACCCAGTGGCACGCGAGGGAAGCGCCGGCCCACGGCACCATCCGGCCCCGCAACTACAATCCCATGCTTCTGGTTTGGGGCCACGCCTGTGATGCTCAGGGGTTCCTCCTGGCTCTGCACTCAGGAATTTCTCCTGGAGGTACTTGGGAAATCATATGGGGTGCCGGGGGTCGAAGCTGGGTAGGCCGCATGCAGACAAACGCCCTCCCCACGGTGCTCTCTCCAGCCCGAGGAATTACATGGCTCAGAAAACACTCCAAGGGCCGGAGAGGCATCACGGGGGGAGCTGCTTGCTGTGCACATGAGTGCCGCGGGTTCGATCTCCAGCACCCCATACGGTCTCCCGAGCCCCAGGAGTGATCTCTGAGCAGAGCCAGGAGGGAGCCCTGAGCACTGCCAGGTGTGTCCCCAGAACAAAAGCCAAACAAAAACCCTTTAAATGATCTCTTTAGGGGCCTGAGCGATAGCACAGCAGGGAGGGCGCTTGCCTTGCACACAGCCAACCTGGGTTCGAGCCCCAGCATCCCATAAGGTCCCGCAAGCACTGCCAGGAGTGGTTCCTGAGTGCAGACAGAGTAACCTCAAGCAGCCCTGGGCATGGCGTGCACAAACACACACACGCACACACACACACACACACACACGCACACACACACCCCATCTCTAGCTTCCTCAGAGTGTGGCTGGCAGAGACCCATCAAGACTGACCCCGGGGCCCCACGTGAACACACTGTCTCCAGAACGAGGCCTGCAGACACACAGTGCTGGTAGCCCTGCAAGCCTGAGGGCATGGGTTCAAGTCCCTGGTGCCCCTGTGTACCTAGCACGGCCCAGACAGCCTCCCCTCTCTCCTGCCAGTGCCCAAAGCCATGTTCTGACACACCCACAGGCACGCGTGTGAGCGCTGTAAGGGGCGGCCAACCAGGAAGCAACTGTCAGGCGGCGAACACATGTGAGCCCCCTGTGGTCACAACCCCAGCGCACACGCGTGTGAGTCTCAGTGCACATGTGTGTCCCCGGGTGGTCACGGCATCGGTGCACATGTGTGTCCCTATGTGGATGCAGCCCTGGGAACCGCATGTATGTGCCTCAGTGAACATGTGTGTATCCCCGTATGGTCGTGCATGTGCCTCTGTGAACACGTGTGTGCCCCCATGTGGTCATAGCCCCCTGCACACATGTGTATCCCGCGTGCTCGTGGTCCCGGCGCGCACAGCTCCGGCCCGGTGGGGAAGTGGGAGAAGGACAGGAAGGGCCTGAAAAGCTCTTTCCTCTGAGCCCGGGAAAGAGGAACAGAGGGGAGCTGTTTGCAGGCCACGCCCAGCGCCGTCCCCTGCCCCGACCCCGTCTGCCCAGCCGCGTGGCTCGCCCCTTACCTCCTTCCGCTCAGCGTCCGCCGGGACTCGGGCCGGGCCCCCGGCGCCGTCGCGGTAGGCGCCGGCCTGCCTGGCCTGCTCGAACAGCGTCTTCAGCTGCTGCGCGGTGCTGAGCAGCGAGTCCACCATCTCCTCCAGGTACAGCCAGCTCCGCGGCTCCGGCACCTCCAGCCCGCTCAGCACTGCCGACGACACGGCCTTGCTGGCCGCCGAGGGGGGCGCCGCCAGGGCGGGCAGCGAGGTCAGCACTGCAGGGAGGCGGACAAGGCAGGCTCGCACCCCCCTCGGGGCTGTGCACAGGCTCTGCCGCTGAGGCCCGGTTCCATCCCCGAGCCCCACCAGGACGGAGCCCCGAGCACAGAGCCGGGAGTCAGCCCCGAGCACAGAGCTGGGAGTCAGCCCCGAGCACAGAGCCGGGAGTCAGCCCCGAGCACAGAGCCGGGAGTCAGCCCCGAGCACAGAGCCGGGAGTCAGCCCCGAGCACAGAGCCAGGAGTCAGCCCCGAGCACAGAGCCGGGAGTCAGCCCCGAGCACAGAGCCGGGAGTCAGCCCCGAGCACAGAGCCGGGAGTCAGCCCCGAGCAGAGCCAGGAGTCAGCCCCGAGATGGGCGGCGGCTGAGGGCTCAGACCACGGCATGGCAAGACTCCCCAGGTGCGGGGGCGGCTCCCACCATGGCCAAGGCACCAAGGCCACCTCACAGGCACCCCCACCCTGCCGTATCTGCACTAGACTCGGGTGCGGGCTCGGGGCGGGGAGGACAGGCGTGAGGAAGACTGAGAGACGGGGGCGATGGAGGTGTGTGTGCACTGACCAGTGTGAGTGGACAGGTGTGGGCACCGGCCCAGACCAAGCGGGTTCCTGGCAGAACTCGGGTGGGACCCAGGGCTTCAGGGCCCTCGAGAGAGCTGCCAGGGCCCAATGCAGCACGAAACCTGGTGGGGGCTGCAGGGCTGAGGAAAGACAGTGCCAGGCCAGGAGGCAGGAGGGAGGGTGTGCGGGGCAGGTGGACAGAAATGGCTGCAAAGGTCTGCAGGGTGGGAGTGCAGGAGTGCAGGTGTGCGGGGCAGGTGTGCAGGGGTGCGAGTGTGCGGGGCAGAAGTGCAGGTGTGCGGGGGTGCGGGGGTGTGGGGCAGGAGTGCAGGTGTGCAGGAGTGCGAGTGTGTGAGGTGGGTGTGCAGGTGTGTGGGGTGGGTGTGCGGGGGGTGCGGGGCAGGAGCGCAGGTGTGCGGGGGTGATGGCACCCAGGAGGGGCTGTGTGGGTGCAGGACTGGGTGACGGGTGCCGCCTGGCTGGAGACGTGTCCCGACAGGGCCCACTGTGAGTTCCACCCCAGGGGGCAGGTGCCTGCGGCCCAGCCAGTGTTCACCCTGACATGCTCGTGACAAGCCCGGCGGCATCTACACCACAGGCCCAGGTGGCGGGCGGGCGGGCTCGGGCCCGCCGACTCACCTATTTTGGGGTGGGCCGTTGGCAGCGCAGCCTCGGGGAAGGGCGTCATCTGGCAGCTGCCCTGGTAGCCGGGGTAGTGGGGTTCGGGGTGGCCGGCCCGGCAGGGGGGCTGCACCCCCGCCTCCTGCACTGGGGGCAGAACACTCCAGCTGGCAGCCGACTCGCTCACGCAGCCCCCGCCGCAGGGGACCGGGGTGTAGACGGCCAGCAGGGGGAAGCGGGGCGTCCCTGGGGGTGACGGGGGAGGGCGCGCAGCCAGGCCGGCCGGCCCCGCCCCCTTTTTTGGGTGCCACCGGGACCCCCCACCACATGGCCTGCGGTGTCACTCGGGACCAAGGGAGCAGAAGCTTCTGAGGGCCTGTGGCTCCAGCCCCGGGTGGTCGCAGGCGAGGGGCTCAGGGGAGGGGCTGGGGTTACCCGTGGCTCCTGTGAAGACGTCGCCTTGGGCGGGGCTCTCGGAGATGACGGCCGTGGCCTCCACGGTGGACGCTCGGTCAAAGGTCAGGGCGCCGGAGGTAGTGATCTGTCCCGAGGGGGTCACTGTGACTGCAAGAGAGGCCGAGCCTCAGCCTGGCCCTGCAGTGCGCGGCTGGCCGGAGCCACGCAGACTGGGGGGTGGGGGGACACGGATGAGTCCAGACAGGGGCAGGAGGGGACTCCTCTCTTGGGGCGGCCGTGGCCCCCGCCCTCTCACTCACAGGCCGTGGCCGCAGTGGCAGGGAGCAGCGTGATGTTCTTGGGGGGCTCCTTCTTCACGGGGGTGCTGGGCAGCTCGTGTTCCTTCTTGCGCCTCTTGTAGGGGACGAAGAGCCTGACCGGGCCGCTCTGGGGCAAAGGTGGGGTTGGGGGCGCGGTGCGGCCGACCCCAATCCCGAGAGCGAGCGGAACCGTCACTCTAGGGAGGGCCCCAGGGCGGCTCCACCTGGGCGACACCCCCCCACCCACCCCGGGCCATGGGGCCCCTGCAGGGGACCCTCCGCAACAGGTCACAGGACAACAGGGGCGAGCGGGAGTCGCCCTGGAGAGCAGCTCGCCCGGTGGCGCCAGCGTGAGGCTGAGCTGCCCGGGACCCCCGCCCCGCCTGCGGCCACCCCGACAGCCCCCCGAAGGGGACGCCGGGAAGCAGGCACCGGAAGGCGGACTCAGCATCCCCCCAGGTCCCCCCAACCCTCCCTCAGGGCCAGTCACAGAGAGCTACACCCCTGAAGTCATGCCCCCTGACCCCCGACTCCTGACCCGGCGCTCACCAAGGTCATGTCATCACAGCAGGCGGCGCACGTGCAGGAGGCAGCGTGGGGGTTCAGGATGCCGTCCTGAGAGGGGGCCGGAGTCACCTCAGGGGTCCTCAGCGCCGCGCCCCACCCCACCCCCGGCCAGGGAGCGCCGCCACGACCCCGCGGCACCTGGATGAGGCACTGCAGCGGGCGGCCGGCGTAGCGGATGCTCCTCTTCCAGTCCTTGCTGCTGGCCCTCCCCGCCATGGCCTCGAACTCCGTGGGGCTGTACCAGCTCTCGCCCTGCTTGATGCAGCGTCCTCGGCCGCCTGCAGGAGGACCGGGCCTCAGAGGGGCGAGGGGCCGCGACCCTGGGACGCGGGGGGCAGCGCGGGCGAGCCTGCCACGGGGGAGCCGAGCCACGGGGCACCGCCAAAGGACGGACGGACGGACGGACGGGAAGCCCGAGCCCCTGGGATGCCAAAGACAGACAGACGGACAGGGAGCCCGAGCCCGCGGGATGCTGATGGATGGATGGACAGACGGCCAGGGAGTTCGAGCCCGCGGGATGCCAAAGACAGACAGATGGACGAGGAGCCCAAGCCTGCGGGATGCTGATGGACGGACAGACAGCCAGGGAGCCCAAGCCCATGGGACGCTGATGGACGGACAGACGGCCAGGGAGCCCGAGCCCGCGGGATGCCAAAGACAGACAGACGGACAGGGAGCCCGAGCCCGCGGGATGCTGATGGATGGATGGACAGACGGTCAGGGAGTTCGAGCCCATGGGACACTGATGGATGGACAGACGGCCAGGGAGCCCGTGCCCACGGGATGCCAAAGACAGACAGATGGACGAGGAGCCCGAGCCCATGGGACGCTGATGGGCAGACGGACAGATGGCTGGGGAGCCCAAGCCTGCAGGTTGCTGATGGACGGACGGACGGCCAGGGAGCCCACGCCCGCGGGATGCCAAAGACAGACAGATGGACAGGGAGCCCGATCCCATGGGACGCTGAAGGACAGACAGACGGATGAGGAGCCTGAGCCCATGGGATGCTGACGGACAGACGGCCAGGGAGCCCGAGCCCGTGGGATGCTGATGGACGGACAGACGGCCAGGGAGCCCGAGCCCGTGGGATGCTGATGGACGGACAGACGGCCAGGGAGCCCGAGCCCGTGGGATGCTGATGGACGGACAGACGGCCAGGGAGCCCGAGCCCGTGGGACGCTGACAGACAAGATAGATGGACGAGGAGCCCGAGCCCGTGGGACGCTGATGGGCACACGGACAGACGGCCAGGGAGCCCGAGCCCGCGGGATGCCAAAGACAGACAGATGGACAGGGAGCCCGATCCCATGGGACGCTGAAGGACAGACAGACGGATGAGGAGCATGAGCCTGCGGGATGCTGACTGACAGACAGATGGATGAGGAGCCCGAGCCCACAGGACGCTGACGGACAGACGGACAGACGGACGAGGAGCCCGAGCCCATGGGATGCTGACGGACAGACAGACGGACGAGGAGCCCGAGCCCACAGGACGCTGACGGACAGACGGACGAGGAGCCCGAGCCCATGGGATGCTGAGGGACAGACAGACGGACGAGGAGCCCGAGCCCGCAGGACGCTGGCGGGCGGCTCACCGGAGCCCAGCCTGTTCTTGTACAAGGTGCCGCTGATGTTCCGGCAGCGCACGGGCAGCTCGCTGTCGTACACCGAGGGGTCCCAGTTGTACTTGGTCCCGCCCTTCTCCTGGACAGAAGCCAGAGCAGCCGGAGGGGACGGAGGCCCTGGGCAGAGGAAGCAGGAGGGAGTGGCCGGGCCCGCAGCACGCCGGGGCCACGGAGGGGCAGGAGGACGGAGGCGGCGGGGCCGCGTTACCTGGGGTGAGCGGGGCCGCGGGGCCCTTGAGCCCGGCCGTCTCCACGATGCTCCCGTCCGTGTGCACCACGATCAGGGTGGCCTTCTCCGCGCTCAGGCTGTCGCCCAGCTGCAGGGCCGTCCGGCCAGACTGGAGAGAACCGCGGGCCTCAGCCGCACGTCAACACTCCCCACGGGGCTGCCGGGCCCACGCCCAGACAACAGCCTGCCCGGCACCCACCACCCCAACTCCACGGTGAGTCGCGGGGTTTCCCGTCCCTGCAGCTGAGGCCACCACAGGACGCCTGGCATGATCACGCCCCAGACGCTGAGCCCCGGGCAGACCGGAGGGACCACAGGGGTCAGCCAGGGCGAAGGCCGGCCACCTGGGGTCACCAGCAGCCAGCACCCCACTCACATCCACACTCTTTTTTAAATTTTTTTTAGCTTTTACTTTGCTTTTTGGGTCACACCCAGCGATGCTCAGGGGTTACTCCTGGCTCTGCACTCAGGAATTACTCCTGGCAGTGCTTGGGGGAATACGGAATGCCGGGGATCGAACCCGGGTCGGCCGCATGCAAGGCAAAGCCCTCCCTGCTGTGCTACCGCTCCAGCCCCCTCACGTCCACATTCTCGCCTCAACTGTCTACACTCGCCCAGAAATGCATGGCTGTCTACACTCGTCTGAATTCACCTGACGACCTACACTCAGCTGTCTACGCTCTCCCGGGGGCCTGCACAACTGCCTACCCTTTCGCCCGAACCCACTCAGCTGTCTGCGCTTTCACCTCAACTCACCTGTCTACACTTGCCAGAGCCCACTCGTCTACACTACCCCTGCCAGGCTTGGCTGTCTCTGCTCACTGAGCTCCCCTGGTGGTCCACCTCTCCCTGCCCCAGGGTGCCACTCACCTCACCCAGAGGACAAAGCTGAGGCCGCAGAGCCTCGGCCCTGCTGGGGACAGCGCCGGGCACTGGGCAGCGGGCACTGAGTTGTGTGCAGCCCGGGTGTGTCTGAGCCCAGGCTGGCCACTGACTGGCCACAGCTGTCCCGGGTGCCTGAATCCGTGAGGCGAGAGGCCCCGGCTGCGACCACCCTGCTCAGGGCCTGGTGCTCATGGAACTTACCAGCACATGTCCTGAGAGCGAGGCCGCGTTCGCCACCGATGTGGTGAAGACGTTGTCAGCCGAGGAGCCCACGTTGGCCACCGTCACGGTGGTTACCTCTGCGGTAGAGGGGCGGACTCAGTGTGGACGGTCACTGCCCCTCTCCTGAGAGTAGAGAAGCGGGCAGCGGGACGGGGAGGCCGAGGAAGCCAGCGGCCGCTCCAAGCGCATCCCCAGCCTTGGCCCCGACGCCCCCGGAAGGCCATCGGCAAGTGTGCCGGGGGTCGCCAGAGCGGGGCCGAGCACTGGGCAGGGAGGCGCCCCTCTCGGGGCTCAGGGCACAGTAGCTAGTGGGACCTGCAGACAAGCAGCAGGACCCCATTCACAGGCCAGACACGCCCCCTCGGGGCCCTCCACCGGGGAACCACACCCGAGCCCCCGGATCAGCGGCACCCTGAAAGGTGAGTGCAGAGAAGGGGTCCGGGGTGAGCTGGGTATGTGGGGGGGCTGGGTTCCAGGAGAGGGTGCACGGGCCGAGCTCGGGGTCACGTGCAGGGCAGGGGTACAGGGGAACAAGCGAGCAAGGCAGGCAGGAGCCGATCTCACAGGGCAGGTGTGCAGAGACAAGTGTGCAGGGCAGGTGTGATGCATGGGCAGGTGTGCATAGGTGGGTGTGCACAGACAAGCGTGCACGGGCAGGTGTGCACAGGCAGGTGTGCAGGGCAGGTGTGATGCATGGGCAGGTGTGCATAGGCCGGTGTGCACAGACAAGCGTGCACGGGCAGGTGTGCACAGGCAGGTGTGCAGGGCAGGTGTGATGCATGGGCAGGTGTGCATAGGCCGGTGCGCACAGACAAGTGTGCACGGGCAGGTGTGCTGCTTGAGCAGCTCTGCGCAAGGCAGGTAGTGCAGGTGTGCACGGTGCCCGCGCTGGGATGCACAGGTCGGGGGCAGCGTGGGTGCACGGGGTGGGTGTGTGTCCGGCAGGTGCCCGGTGTGCAGGGCGGGCCCACTTGCCTGCGAAGGCGGCGGCTGCGGCGGCCTCGTCGGAGCCCGGCAGGGCCTCGGCGCCCATGTCCATGTGCCCGGAGTCCGCAGCCATCACCGCCACGGCCGTCACCCGCCGCGTGTCGCGCTCCGCCTCCGAGTCGCCGCCATCCTCCGAGTCCTCCTCCCGGTTGAGCACCGGCTCCTCCGCTTCGCCCCCCGCAGCGGCCGCGGCCGCCGCCGCCACAGCGGCCGCGGCCGCCACGGCCGCCGCCTCGGCCAGGCCCAGCTGCTTCGCGGCCGCTTCCGAGTCCTCCATCCGGACTCCGCCGAGCGCGCCCGAAGGCGCCGGCCGGGGCCGCCCGAAGGCCGGGACGGGGCCCGAAGCGGGGCCGCCCGAGGACCGGCCGAAGCGGTACCGAGCCGAGCGCCGAGCCGAGCCGAGCCGAGCCGAGCGCCGAGCCGAGCCGAGCCGAGCCGGGCCGAGCCGGGCCGAACCGAGCGCCGAGCCGGGCGCCGAGCCGAGCCGAGCCGAGCCGAGCCGAGCTGAGAGCCGAGTCGAGCTGAGAGCCGAGCCGAGCGCCGAGCCGAGCCGAGCCGAGCCGAGCCGGGCCGGACAAGCCGAGCCGGGCCGGGCCGAGCCGAGCCGGGCCGAGCCGAGCCGGGCCGGGCCGAGTTAAATCGAGCGCCGAGCCGAGCCGAGCCTACCCGAACAGGGCCGAACCGGCACGAAGAGGCCCAGCGGCCGGAGCCGACGGTCAAGAGTCCGAAACCGAAGAGGGCCGAAGCGGCCCGAAGTGCGGAGCCGAATTGGCCCGAGTCCGCCCGAGGCCACACGAGAGTCTCCGAGCGGTTCTGCCCAATCCTCCTCCGCTCCGAGGAGGCCCAGCGGGCGAGTTCCCGGCCAGAAGCACTGGCCGGCCGTGGGCCGAGTCCCTCCCTCGACCGACGCGGCTCGGCCAGGTCCAGGAGACCGCGCGCCTCAGGCTTCGCCGGACCCGCCGCGAGCGGGAGACGAGTCCGCCCGAAGCGGAGCCGAGTCCTCCCGAACGGTCCCGAGCGCGGACGAAGCGGGGCCGAGTCCTTCCGAGCGGTCCCGAGCCGGGTCCAGCGCCCTTCGGTGGGTCTCGGTCGCCTCCGTCCGAAGGGGCCCGAGCACTGCCGAGCGGCCGAGCGGGCCTCGGACGCGGCCCCGAGACGCGGCGGGAAGCGAAGATGGCCGAAGCGGCGCGAACGTAGCGGCTCGGGCTTCCGGGATCGCGGCGGCGCCGGCGGGCGGGGCCGGCAAGATGGCGGCGGCGCGGGGTGAGGCGGGGCGGGGCGGGGCGGGGTGGACCCCGGACCCCGGACCCCGGACCCGCGGCCGCGGGTCGGGCGCCGCGGAAGGCGACCCCCGCCCGCGCCCCCGCCCTGGGGCTCTGCCCGGCTGCGGCTCCGCGCCGAGGGCCGCTGGGGGGGTCGCTGGGGCCGGGGGGGCGCCCGGGGGGCGCCCGGGGGGGGCCGCGTCCACTGCACCTGCCCCCGGCGCCCCGCCCGCCGGCGCTCCCCGGCCACTGGCCCTCCCTGGCCATTGTCCTCCCTGCCCATTGTCGCCCACTGGCCCTCCCTGGCCACTGTCCTCCCTGGCCACTGTCCTCCCTGCCCATTGTCGCCCACTGCCCCCCCCCCCCGCCCACCCCTGCCTCGCAGATCCGCTTGAGATCCCACCCACAGGGTCCAGATTCCAAAGCCCCAGGGCTTGTCCAGACCCGGCCTCGGCTGTGGGGGCGTGGCCTATCCAGACCCCTCCCAGGCAGAAGGCTCTAGAAGGGGGCGTCCAGACCCTCTTCTGGAGGTCCCACCCGGCCACAGGGGTGGGCCACCTGCCCCCCAGCCGGGTTCTAGGCAGTAGTGGTTCTGGTCCAGGCTCCGACTGACCCCCCTGTTCTGGGCCTGGTTCCGGCTGACACACCCCCCAGTCCTGAGCCTGCCTCTGGCTGATGCCCCGGTCCTGAGCCTGGTTCCGGCTGACTCCCCTGTTCTGGGCCTGGTTCTGGCTGGACCCCCCAATCCTGGGCCTGGTTCCGGCTGACCCCCCCCTCCGGTCCGGGGCCTGGTTCTGGCTGATGCCCCAGTCCGGGGCCTGGTTCCGGCTGACTCCCCTGTTCTGGGCCTGGTTCTGCTGCCGCCCCCCCCCCCCCCATTCTAGGCCTGGTTCTGGCTGATGCCCCAGTCCGGGGCCTGGTTCCGGCTGACTCCCCTGTTCTGGGCCTGGTTCCGGCTGGGCCCCCCAATCCTGGGCCTGGTTCCGGCTGGGCCCCCCAATCCTGGGCATGGTTCCGGCTGACCCCCCCCACACCACCGGTCCAGGGCCTGGTTCTGGCTGATGCCCCAGTCCTGAGCCTGCCTCTGGCTGATGCCCGGGTCCTGAGCCTGCCTCTGGCTGATGCCCGGGTCCTGAGCCTGGTTCTGCTGCCGCCCCCTCCCTCCCCTTCCCCCCAACCCCCCCAGTACTGGGCCTGGTTCTGGCTGACGCCCCAGCCCCTGGCCTGGTTCCGGCTGACTGCAGTGTGGGCTGCGGGGCCTCCGCTCCCCTGCCCAGTCCCCAGGCCGACGCTGTCGCCCGGTACTCTGGGGTGAAGGAGTGTGCCGTGAGGGGGAGTGGTGGCCTGCCCTGGTGGTCAGGGCAGTGTGAGGCCTGGCGGGCTGCCGTCTCCTGGGCCTGGGCGCAGGCGGCCTCACTCCCCACGCCCAGGTCAGCAGCGGTCACCCCTCTCTCCACAGGGGGACCCACCACCGTGGTATCCTTCCTGGGCGCAGCCGGCCCCACCCCCTGCCCGCCCGCCCTGCTGGGGGTGGGACGAGGGGGTCCCTGGGGTCAGGCGGGAGGTGCCTCCGCGCCCCAGGGGTGGCGGGCAGCGAGGGGAGGGGCCTGCCCTGGCGTGGGAGGGTCCGCCCGAGGGGCCCTGGCTGGACAGTCCTTGACCACCGCGGCTCTCGTCCCTGCCGCTGCAGCTGCTGCTATGCCTCAGCGCGGCCTTCTGCTCCGGCCACGTCCTCGCCTCGCTCCTGCTGCTGGCCTACAAGAGTGAGGGGCTGCCCGTGGGGGGCTGGCGGGCGGGGCGGCCCCACGGCCTGGCCCCGAGCTGACCCCCCTCTGCCGCCTTCAGCCCAGGCCTTCAGCTACCCCCTGGGCCTCGCCGCCCGCGACGTGGCGCTGCTGCTCCTGCTCGGGGCCCTGGAGGCCCTGCGACTGGGCCTGGGTGAGTGGACGCCGGGCCCGGGTGAGTGGACGCCCACCGGGCGCGGGGGTGCCTGGAGCCACGTGGCTCACCTTTCAGCCATCAACTATTCACGAGGGGCACCGCCGGGAGACGCGTCCGGATGGGGTGCCACCGGCCCCCGCAAGCATGGGGTCCCCCCCCGGGACGGGAGTCTGGCAGGCTCTGCCTTCTCCCCGGCACAGCGGCCCACCGGGTGCAGCCCGGGGACCTGCTTCACAGTGCCCATCTGGCCCACGCCCCTTTGTGGCACCCCACCCGTGGCCCCTGACTCCAGACAGGCTCAGCCCAGGCTTTGGGGTCCTGAGGGTGCTGCGTCTGTGCCAGGCAGCGGGAGACCCCACGGGGGCCCCCCCCCCGCACAGCGCCCGCCTGCTCACGCCCGCTCTCCTCTGCAGGTGCCCAGGGCAATCTGACGGAGTCCGAGGGGCCGTTGGCCGCCAGCCTGGCCCTCACCCTGGGCTGTGCTGTGCTGGCAGCCTACTTCCTCCTCTGGCAGACTCTGGTGCTCTGGCTGGACTCCTGGCTCAGCTTGGCGCTCCTGGTGCTGCACGGCCTGGAGGCCTGCCTGCAGGCGGTGACCATCGCGGCCTTCCTACGCTAGGGAGGAAGCAGGAGTAAGGAGCTGCCCTGGGCCAGGAGGCCCCGGAGGGTCCTCAGTAGCCGCCCTGATTCCCTGACCTCCAAGGACCGGTCACCCACCGCATGGACGCGCCCGGGAGCAGCTGTGCTGCGCCTCCAAATCCTGCTCCCCCAGACTTCCAAATAAACGTTCCCACCTCCCAGAACCCCAGAACGTCTCATTATTGCCCTCCACTCCGTGGCCAGGGCGGCAGGGGTCAGCGTCCTCCCAACTAGGCGTGTGGCCTCCTGCCCAGGGACCTGGGCTGGCCCTTGTCACCCTCTGACTCTGCCACCTGGTGACAGCGCGTAAGGGAGAGCCGGAGCCCCCTGGGTGCCCCGCCCCCTGCCTGGATCGCCCCCTGCACCCCCTTGCCTGGAGCCCCCCGGCCCCTGGGTGCCCCCCCAGGTGCGCGGCCCAGGGGGCGGGGTTGGGGTTTCCCCCAGCGCTTCCCGAAGGCAACCAGGAAGCAGCGTGGGCAGCTCCAGGGCGAAGGGCATTTCCTGGCCCGCGGCGGAGTCACGGCTCAGTCCAGGGCCTGGACAGTCCGCGCCCTCGGAACTGGCCTCTGCTCAGCCTCCCACGCCCACCTGAGACTCCAGCCCAGACACTACGGGCAGGGGCCAGGGCCAGCCGGGAGCCCCACCCTGTCCAGCCTTGTCGGGCCTCGGTGCCCCGAGGGACCCCGGCCCCCGTCCCCAGGGGTCATCGGTTCAGGCCCGGGCACCCCGGAGACCGTCGCAGAGGAGGCTGCCCGGACCGAGAACCAAGGGGCACAGCCTCCGCCCTGCGCCCAGGGCAGGGCACGCCCGGAGGGGCCGCACCTGGCGAGCAGCGGGTGGGGGGCTTGGACGGGCGCTTCCGGGGGGCCCAAGGGCGCGGGGAGGGACCCGGGTGCGCGCGGGGACCCCGCGGCCGCCCCGCCCGCCGCCCCGCCCGGTGACTCCGACCTGCCGCTCAGGTTCCGCGTCTGCGCCCGCCCCGCCCCGCCCCGCCCCGCGCCCCGCACACTCGGCCGGGCGCGCCCGACGGCGGGCGGGCAGTGGACCGCGGACGGGCAGTGGACGGCGGCGGGCAGTGACGGCGGACCCGGCCGGCGGACGCGCAGCGCCGGCGCACGGGCACTGGACGGCGGACGGGCCGGCGGACGGAGCCGGCGGACGGGGCGCACCGGCCGCAGACGCGCGGGCCGGCCGGCAGGTGAGCGCACCTGGGCACACGCGCGGGCGCCCGCCTCAGTTTCCCCGGGAGCGCGCCGGGCTTCGCGCCGACCCGCGGCGGCTGGGCTCGGGCTCCCCTGGCCCGCGGCCGGCCCGGCGAGCCCGCGGGCGCAGGTGTGCGGGCCCAGGTGTGCGAGCCCGGCTGACTCACCTGGGCCTCCCGGCCGACCGGGGCGCCCGCGGGAGCCCCCTCCTCGGCGGGGGGGGGCGCGCGCTCCAGGCGGCCGGGGGGCTGCTCGAGGGGCCCCGCAGCCGGGGTGTCACCCGCCGCCCCGCCCAGCCCCTGCCGGGCCCTCTCTGGGCCCGGCCACCCTCTCCCCGCCCACTTCCCGAGGGTCCCGCCCCCTGCGGTCCGTCTCTCCACGGCGGGGCGAGGGGCTCCCCGATTCCAGGCCCCACCCAGCTCCTCCTCCCCAAGGTCACTGGGCCACTGAGCTGGAATTTGAACTTGGAGCCCTTCCCTCCACCCGCCCTGCTCCCGTCACCCGCCCGCTGGCCACCACACCGCCCTCCCGGTGCACCCGGAAAATGGCCACTACAGAACCGAACCCAAGGGTGGTGGGGGCCCCCGGACCGGGGACCCCTCCCACTGCCCGGCCGGGCCTCTACTGGGCATGACCCCATGGCCCAGGCCTGTGGGCCCAGGGGTGCTTCCGGTTCCCCTGCCGGAACCCCATTGGGCAAACACTCGGCCCACCCATGAGCTCACATTCCACACATTCTCCCGCTCACGTGCAGAGGGTGCGGGCAGCCGGGGAGCCCACCCTGGGGAGACCTGGCCCGCAGCCACACTGACGGGGTTCCCAGAGCCACACGTGGGTCAGCTTGGCCTGGGCAGCCCTGACCACTCGCCCCGAGCCAGGCCTGCCACCCTTCATCCCTTCCCTCTACCCCAGGCCCTTGGCCCATGCCTCCTGGGCCCCCGCAGAGCCACAACAGGGTCCAGATGGCCACGGGCCCCCTGAGTACTGCCCAGAGTGACCCGGGCTCTGAGCTGAGAGCCACCACCGGCGTCACCGGGCATGACCCACGGGCTACCCGGGCAGGACGAGGCAGCCGCAGGGACTCGGGCTGGGTCCCCTGCCTGGCACCCTGGGGGCACCCCCGACCCGCGCGTGAACTGCTGCTTCTGTGTCCAGGCGCGGGCGGCCACCAGGCCCTGGACTCAGCCACCCGGGACCCGCCACCACGAAGACACCATGAGCCACTCGGGGTCCGTGAGCTGCCTGGGAGCCACCGCGAGGGGCCCCCCATCCCCAGGGAGGGGTGTGCCGGGGCCCCACCCTCACCAGCCTCTCCCTTGTAGCGGCAGCCCGGGCCGGTCAGACGGTGTGGCCAAGATGAGTGCCAAAGACCTGTTTGGTGAGTGGCACCGCCCGGTAGGGGAGGGTCCCCGCGCCCCAGAGGTGAGAGCTAGAGGAACGGGCGCAGGTCAGCCCCCGGGAGGGTCCTGCGCCCCAGAGCTGAGAGTGAGGAGGACGGGACATCCTGGGGAGGGCCCACGCTCCAGAGCCGAGAGGGGGACGGGCGCAGGTCAGCCTGGGAAGGCCCTGACGGGCGCAGGTCAGCCTGGGGAGGCCCCAGTAGGTGCAGGTCAGCCTGGGGAGGCCCAGTGCCACAAGGCCGAGAGGGGGACGGGTGCAGGTCAGCCTGGGGAGGCCCCAACGGGTGCAGGTCAGCCCAGGGAGGCCCCGATGGGCGCAGGTCAGCCTGGGGAGGCCCTGACGGGTGCAGGTCATCCTGGGGAGGGCCCACGCCCCAGAGCCGAGAGGGGGATGGGCGCAGGTCAGCCTGGGAGGCCCCGACGGGCACAGGTCAGCTCGGGGAGGCCCCAGCGGGCACAGGTCAGCTCGGGGAGGCCCCGGCGGGCACAGGTCAGCTCAGGGAGGCCCCGGCGGGCACAGGTCAGCTCGGGGAGGCCCCGATGGGCACAGGTCAGCCTGGGGAGGCCCCAACAGGCGCAAGTCAACCTGGGGAGGCCCTGACAGGCACAGGTCAGCCTAGGGAGGCCCCAACAGGTGCAGGTCAGCCTGGGGAGGCCCCGCGCCACGAGGTCGAGAAGGGGACGGGCGCAGGTCAGCCTGGGGAGGCCCCGCGCCACGAGGCCGAGAGGGGGACAGGCGCAGGTTAGCGCCAGCTGCTCCGCGCTCCCCGCCCCCCCACCCCTCGTAAGGGGAGAGCACCACTAATAATTCAGGGCGTCAGCCTCGGCTGCTGCCTGGTGCTCCCCGCAACCTGATCCCAGTGGCCCCCACCGCCTTGCACACACTCCAGGGAGGGGTCCAGGGGCCACAGACGCCAGCCAGGAAGGGGCTCGCCTGCCTGTGCAGGTCCTGCCCCGGGCCCCTCACCCTGGGGGCCCTTTCTGGCACCCTGCGGCTGGTGACAGCACGTTTTCCCCGTGCAGAGCAGAGGAAGAAATACTCCAACTCCAACGTCATCATGCACGAGACATCCCAGTACCATGTCCAGGTGAGGCTCGGGGGAAACTGAGGCAGGTCGTGCCCCCCCTCCCGGTCACAGCCCCCCAGAGGCTGTGGGTGGCACTTTCCGCAGCCCCCGTGGGTCTGTGGGGAGACCCCTGGGAAGTGCTGGGGGTCTCCCTCCGCCTCACCCCTGCAGGCTCACATGGGGCCAAGGCGGGTGGGGACAGAGCAGGGCTCCTCTGGGTCAGTGTCTGGGGGCCGGGGAGTGCAGGTCACACTGTGTCACTCCAGCTCTCTGGGGAGACTGAGCCCAGGACCCCGTCTGCTCCCAGTGGCCCCCTCCTGTCTGGATTGTGTCAGAGGCTGCGTGCGGGCTCCTCCGGGCTACCCGCAGACACGCAGAGCGGGACCTGGCCGGGCTGGGCCTCAGAGTGGCTGGCTTGCCCGCGGGTCGCAGCTGGGACTGGACAGGGACTGGGAGCTCAACCCAGCCTCGGGGCCGCCTGCTGCGTCCGCGCCCGCCCGTCTCCACTGCCCTGCCAGTGTCTTCTGGGCGTTTCCGAGGTCAGGGCCTCACCGACAAGCCTGCGTCTCTCAGGCTTAAGTCCAGGAAAGTTTTGGTGTCAGGGCACACCTTGACCGCTCCTACCAAAACAGAAAGGGGGGAGGAAGGAAGAAGGAGAGAAGAGAGGAGGGAAGGAAGGAGAGAAGGAAGGAGAAGAAAGCAGGGAAGGAGGGAGGCACACCCACGCGTGCGCTGAGACCCCGGGGGTCTGGCCGTGGCCTCCCGCCCCGTCAGTAGCGTCTCCCACCTGTGGTTGATGTTTGTTTTACGTGTGTGTGTGTGTGTGTGTGTGGATGGTTGGGCCGTGTACACGCAGGGGTGCTCCGGGCCGACTCCTGACTCCTGAGGGGGGTGCCAGGGCCCAAACCCAGCCGACCGCGTGCAGGGAGCGTCCGTCTGTCCCTGCTGTCTCTCTCTCCGGCCGGTTTTGAACACCTAGCAGCCCCAGTTTCGGGGCGCCTTGAGCCCCTTCTGTGCTGGCTCTTCCGGAAGGATTTGTGGGTGGCTTTTCCTGGATGACATTTCGTCTCCCTTCCCTTCTCTGCGGCAGTTGGCACGACAGGGTCACCTGTCATGCTGGCGCAGAGGAGCCCACACACCCAGAAGTCACGAGTGTGACCTTGGGTGGCCCGAGACACAGCCGCCCGGGGGGCTCTGCCCTGCCCCAGGCGTGGCACAGGCTGGGGGCTTCTCCGTGCCCGGAGGCATGTTCCCACCTGGTCGCAGGCAGAGCGTGGAAGGTGCCGGCTGTCGCCGGGTGCAGGGCTGGAGTCGCTCCCTCCCACGGCCTCTCCTCTCCCTCCCCTTGCCTCCTTGCCTGGGCCTGGGGCCGCCATGCTGGTGGCGTGTGTTGGGCTGGGCCCGGCCTCAGCATTCCTGTTTCTGTTGCTTCTTTTCTGGTTAGTTCGGGCCATGCCCGGCGCTGCTCCGGGCTGACTGCGGTCTGCACTCAGGGGTCACTCCTGGCGGGGCTCGGGGGACCCTCTGGTCATCTGCCTGTGAAGCAAGCGCCTTCCCTCCTGTCCTGTCATCCAGCCCCTGAGTATTTCCGTCTTCCCCACCCGTGTTGTGCGCCCCCACAACGTCACCTGCCATGGGAAGGGGTGGACAGCCACCCGCTGGGCTCGGGGCTGGACAACCACCCCGCCGGACTTGGGGATGGACAGCCGCCCCACTGGACTTGGGGGTGTACAGCCACCCCACTGGGCTCAGGAGGGTGGACAGCCACCCCACCAGGCTCAGGAAGTGGACAGCCACCCGCCGGGCTCGGGGATGGACAGCTGTCCTGCGGGTTCAGGGAGGTGGACAGCCGTCCTGCCAGGCTCAGGGGGTGGACAGCCACCCCGCCAGGCTCAGGGAAGTGGACAGCCGCTCCAACGGGCTCAGGGAGGTGGACAGCCGCTCCAGCGGGCTCAGGGATGGACAGCCGCCTCTCTGGGCTCGGAGAGGGGGGCGGTGGACAGCCATCCTGCGGGCTCGGGGGGCCAGAGTGACATGACCATGGGAAGGATGTCTGCTTTGTATGCGGCAGATCCGAGTTCGATCCCTAGCACCCCAAAGGGTCCCCTAAACCCCACCAGGAGTGATCCCTGAGTGCAGAGCCAGGAGTCAGCCCTGAGCACTGCTGGGTGTGCCCCCTACCTGCCAAAAATCTGAAACAAAAATCAAACTAAATTAGGCCTCAGGATGCAACCTGGGCTACAGCCCAGACCTCTGGCCCCTGAGTTCTGGCAGGAGTGTGGGGCTCAACATAGAGCGGAGGACCCCCAAACCAAAAATGACCAGGAGGTACCTCGGGGGAGGACACTGCCTATCGGGCCAGCACTGAGTCTGACCCCCTGCACCGCGTCTGAGCCCCAGAACTCTGTGCCCCATCGCCCCATCAGAAACCAGAAATAGGCTGGTACTTGGGGGGGGGGTCTGAGGGAGGACCCCAGTTCATAGCTTGGACTCAGAGGGGTCAGCCTGGAGTGCGAGTCCGGGGCCTTCCACAGGCTTGCGGCTGCGTTGTGGGTCCTTCCAGCGGCCAGCAGGATGGACTTGCTCCCTTGTGTGTTTTTGTTGTGACTCTGATTTATGACCCATTCATCTTGCCCACTCCTGGGACGGGCCACTCAGAGCTCCTGCCTCCTTGCCAGATCCTGGGTCCTGCTCTGACCCGCAGGCCTGGTGCCCCCCGCCCCTCCCCCCCGGCACCAAGGTGAAAGCAGGGTGAATAGGCCGGGGCCCAGCCCTGCCAGCGTGGGCCTGGAGGGAGGTGGCTTTATGGACCGCTCTGGGCTGTGCCGTCCACATTCCCGGGAGCCCTTGTGGGCTCCTTCGTCCCGTGCAGCCCCTCCAGGAGCGGTGGCTCCCTGAGCTTCCTGCGGACAGCGCTGTGTCCAAGTCTGCCGCTGTCCACTCATCCCTGGCTGAAATGCTCTGCCGCCCCAGCCCTGTACACTCACAGCCAGCGGCGGTCACAGCCCCCTCTCTGCTCTCTGGCACCCCCGCTTGGCCCTGGGGGGAGGGTGGTGAGCAGGACTGGGGGGGACCCCTGCTGCTGGAGGGACCCCCTTCCCCACCTCGGAGCTCACACACCCTGAAATGACACTTGCCAGGGTGGCCTGCGGGCAGGTGCGCTGGCCTGGGGCGGACAGTGTCCTTCGACACCCGCCGCCTGTGTGTTCAGTCACAGAGTTGGACAAGCAAGCGTGGCTGGGGGGCACCGAGACCTCTCCCGGGCCCTGGGGGAGTGCGGAGGGCTCCGGAATCAGCAGGAGAGGAGGAAGGGTGGGGCAGGTGGGCAGCAGGCTGCCTCCAGATGCTGGGGCGCCGCCCTTGGGCCTGGTCCCCAAGGAGGCTGTGTCCCCCCAGCACTTGGCCACGTTCATCATGGACAAGAGCGAGGCCATCGTGTCCGTGGATGACGCCATCAGGAAGCTGGTGCAGCTGAGCGCCAAGGAGAAGATCTGGACCCAGGAGATGCTGCTGCAGGTGAACGATAAGGAGCTGCGGCTGCTGGACGTGGAGTCCAAGGTGCGAGCGGGCGTGGACAGGGTCTGGCGCGGCGGCGGTCCAGCGCCAAGGCGGGCGGTGTCCAGGCAAGCCGCAAGCCGCCCTTCCCTCCCGCAGGAGGAGCTGGAGAACTTCCCGCTGCCCACCGTGCGGCACAGCCAGACGGTGCTCAACCAGCTGCGCTACCCGTCCGTGCTGCTCCTCGTGTGCCAGGACTCGGAGCAGAACAAGCCCGACGTGCACTTCTTCCACTGCGACGAGGTGGAGGTGAGGGGCGGCGCCCCCCACCAAGCCCGGCCCCGCCCACGCGAGGAGCCACGCCCCTCCCCGGCCGGCCCCGCCCAGTCCCACCCATGCCGAGGAGCCCCGCCCCTCCCCGTCTGGCCCCGCCCACGCCGAGTAGCCCCTCCCCTCCCCGTCAGGCCCCGCCCACACCGGGAGGCTCCGCCCAGTCCCACCCATGCCGAGGAGCCCCGCCCCTCCCCGTCAGGCCCCGCCCACACCGGGAGGCTCCGCCCGGTCCCACCCATGCCGAGGAGCCCCTCCCCTCCCCGTCTGGCCCCGCCCACGCCGAGTAGCCCCGCCCCTCCCCGTCCGGCCCCGCCCACACCGGGAGGCTCCGCCCCGGCCCCACCCACCCCGAGGAGCCCCGCCCGCGCCGGAAAGCCCCGCCCACCCCTCGTCCCCTCCCGCAGGCGGAGCTGGTGCACGAGGACATTGAGAGCGCGCTGGCCGACTGCCGGCTGGGGAAGAAGATGCGGCCCCAGACACTCAAGTAGGGCCCGGGCGGGAGCGAGGCGGCGGCCGGGAGGGGAGCGACGGGCGCGGGAGGCGGGGCGGGGAGGGGCGGGGCCAAGTCCTGCGAGGGCGGAGCCCGGCCAGTGAGGGAGGAGGAGCCCGGGAATGTGAGGGGAGCCTGAGGGGGGGCCCGGAGAATGTGAGGGAGGGTCCAGGAATCCGAGGGAGGAGCCCAGGAACCTGAGGGGGGCCCGGGCCGGTGAGGGAGGAGCCGGGGAATGTGAGGGAGGAGCCTGGACCTGTGAGGGGAGTCTGAGGGAGGGGCCCGGAGAATGTGAGGGAGGAGCCTGGGAATGTGAAGGAGGAGCCCGGGCCCGTGAGGAGAGTCTGAGGGAAGGCCCGGGCCGATGAGGGGGTGTGGGGAGGAGCCCGGGCGTGTGAGGGAGGAGCCCAAGCCTTGAGAGGAATCTGAGGGAGGGGCCGGGCCGGTGAGGGAGGAGCCGGGGAATGCGAGGGAGGAGCCCGGACCTACCCGCGACGGGAACCTGAGGGAGGAGCCCGGGAACCTGAGGGGCCCGGGCCGGCGAGGGCGCGGGGAGGAGCGGCGGGGCTGAGGGAGCGCGGGGAGGCGGCGGGGGGCGCCTCGCGGGCCCGGGCAGACCCCGCTCCCCCGGCAGGGGCCACCGCGAGAAGCTGCAGCAGCGTCGGTCCGTGCTGCCCGCGTCCCCGGGCCCCGCCCCCATCCCCGTGCAGCGCGCCGGCGTGGACGCGGCGCCCAAGAACCGCGTGGGACCCCCGGTGCCGTTGGGCGAGGCAGGTGGGCGCCGGCGGGCCGGGGGGGCGGGGGCGGGGGACGCGGGCGGGCGGGGGTCGCGGTCCCAGCGCTGCTGTGCCCCGCAGGGTTGCGCCGCCGGGACGCGCCGGACGAGGAGCCGCGGGCCGTGCTGGCGCACAAGATCGAGAAGGAGACGGTGGGCGCGGGCGCGGGCGCGGGCGGGGGGCGCGGGCGGGGGGCGGGGGGGGGCGCGCCCGGCCCGGGCTGAGCCCCGCGCTCGCTCCCCCGCAGCAAATCCTCAACTGCGCGCTGGACGACATCGAGTGGTTCGTGGCGCGGCTGCAGAAGGCGGCCGAGGCCTTCAAGCAGCTCAACCAGCGCAAGAAGGGGAAGAAGAAGGGCAAGCGCGGGCCGGCAGGTGCGGGGGCGCGGCGGGGCGGGGCGGGGTCCGCGGGGCGGGGCGGGGTCCGCGCCGCGGGGCTCAGCGCTGCGCCCCCTTGCAGAGGGCATGCTCACGCTGCGCGCGCGGCCCCCCGCCGACACCGAGTTCGTGGACTGTTTCCAGAAGATCAAACTGGCCATCAACCTGCTGGTGAGGCCCGGCCCGGGCGCGGGTCCCTCCCGCGGGGCGGGCGGGGCGGCCCCCGCAGCGCCCCCAGCCCCGCCTGACCCCCGCCCCGCCCCCAGGCCAAGCTGCAGAAGCACATCCAGAACCCCAGCGCCGTGGAGCTCGTGCACTTCCTCTTCGGGCCTCTGGACCTGGTACCCACCCGGGCCGGGCCGCGCCGCGCCGCGGGGGGGGGGCGCGCGGGGGGGCGCCCCCTGAACCCCGCATCTGCCCCAGATCGTCAGCACCTGCGCGGGCCCGGACCTGGCCGCCTCCGCGCGCTGCCCGCTGCTCTCGGCCGAGGCCGTGGCCTTCCTGCACGGCCACCTGACGCCCAAGGAGATGGCGCTCTGGAAGTCCATGGGGGAGACCTGGACGCAGCCCCGGTACCGGGGGCGGGTGGCGCTGGCCGCGTGGGTCCCCCCCGACCCCACGGCGGGCAGCGGGAGACTGACCCGGGGCCTCCCTGCCCCGCAGCTCCCAGTGGCCGCGGGAGTCCCAGGTGCCCTTCTACGTGCCCCGGTTCCACAGCGGCTGGGAGCCGCCGCTGGACATTCTGCAGGAGGCCCCCTGGGAAGCCGAGGGACTGGCCGCCCCCTGCGGCCTGGAGGTCAGCGGCCCCGCCCCCCCGCGCCCCCCGCCCGCCCCCGCCCGGCCCCACGCGCTGAGCGCAGGCCGCCCCTTCTCCTGCAGCCCGCCCCCGGGAGCCAACGGTCCTTCCGGAACCCCACCAAGCCGCTGCCCACGGCAGAGCCCGCGCCCCTCGGAGACGGACCCCCGCTCAGCGCCCAGGGCCCTCCCAGGTGAGCCCTCGCGGCCCGCAGGTGCGCGCGGCTGCCACTAGGGGGCGGCCGAGGCCCCTCAGGGCGCGGCTTTCCCCTGCGACTCGGGGATGTGCCTGGCAGGGCGAGGGCGGGCACCCACCAACTCCCGCCGGGCGTCCCAGCATCCCGCAGGTCCCCACACTCTGCCATCCTGCTTAGAAACAGCACAGGGGCAGGGGGTGGAGGGTCCTTCCGCACAGACCAGCCCTGTGCAGGCCTCCCAGCACCGCCAGGGGTCACTCCTGAGCACAGAGCCGGGAAGAGCCTCCGGGCGCTGCCAGGTGTGACCCAAAAACCCCCAAAGAAATCGTCGGACCGGGTGGGAGTGATAGTACAATGGGTAGGGCGCTTGCTGGACTGGCACGAAGCTGACCTGGGTCCAACCCCCGGCATCCCGTATGTTCCTCACGCTCCACCAGGAGTAATTCTTGGTGCAGAGCTCAAACACAAAAACAACAACAGCGCGGGGCTGGAGCAAGAGCACAGCGGGCAGGGCGTTTGCCTTGCACACAGCTGACCTAGGTTCGATTCCCAGCATCCCAGATGGTCCCCCGAGCACCGCCAGGACCTGAGTGCATGAGTGCATGAGCCAGGTGTAGCTCCTGTGCATTGCTGGGTGTGACCCAAAGAGCAAAAAAGAAAAAAAAAAAACAACGAAAATAGTCTGCTAAACCCCCAACACACATCTCACAGAGCCAAAATGGGGACACTGCTCCTTTTCTCTCTGTTCTCACTTCTTGTCAGGATCTGCTCTGTGTGTGAGGTGTTTGTGTGTGTGTGTGAGAGAGAGACAGAGACGGAGAGGGAGAGAGAGAGAATGAGAAGTTAGTCTGTGAGTGCATGTGTCGGTTTGTGTGAGTGTGTGAGTATATTTTGAGAGTATGTGCTGTGTGAGAGAGTATGAGTGTGTATAGGTAAAGGTAAAGGCCCTCCCATTGATCGTCGATTTGCTCAAGCGGGCCCAGTAACGTCTCCATTGGAGACTTTGTTGTTACTGTGTCTGGCATATCGAATACTCTCGGTAGCTTGCCGGGCTCTCCGAGAGGGGCGGAGGAATCGAACTCGGGTCGGCCATGTTGGCCGCTTGTAAGGCGAACGCCCTACCGCTGTGCTATCGCTGGAGAATATGTGGGGGTGTTGGGTGTGGGGGTGTGAGTAATTGTATGCATATGTGGGTGTATGTGAGCATGTGGGTTTAAGTTTGGGGTGTGTGTCATGGTGTGGAAATAGGAACAAGAGCGTGAGTTATTGTGTGAAGGTGTGTGTGGAATATACATGTGATGTGAGAGAATGAGTGCATGTCACTTTGAGTGCAGTGTGAGTGTATATTAGTATGTATGAGTGTGGGGGGTGAGACAATGTATGGGATATGTACGTGTATGAGAATTGAGTGTGTTATTGTATAGTTTTGCGTGAGTGCATGTTATTTTGTGGGTATATGTGTAGGAATCAGTGTGTGTGAATGTGTGAGAGTGAAGTGTATGTTACTGTGTGGGTCTGTGAGTGTGCATACGAGTATGTATGTGGGTGTTATGTGAGTGGGCATTGTTCGACTGTGAATGTGTGGTATATGTATGTGTTTATGTGAGAATGTGAGCGTGTGTTATTGTCTAGGTGGTGAGTATGTGTTATTGTGTGGATGTACATTTGAGTTAGTGTGTGAGCACATGTTTGAGAATGAGTGCACATTATTTAAGCGTATGTATATGTTAGAACATGTGGGTGTGTGGGTGCACGTGTGTGAGTATGTGAGCTTGTGGGTATCTGAGTATGTGTGTGTGGGATACTGTCACTGTCCTGCCGTTGTTCATCGGTTTGCTTGAGCGGTCCCAGTAACATTGTGAGACTTGGTTGTTACTGTGTTTGGCATACTGAATGTGTCTCGGGGAGCTTGCCAGGCTCTGCCGTGCGGGCGAGATGCTCTCGGTAGCTTGCAGGGCTCTCCGAGAGGAGCGGAGGAATCGAACTCGGGTCAGCCATGTTGGCTGCATGCAAGGCAAATGCCCTACCGCTGTGCTATCGCTCCAGCCCTGTGTGTGGGATATGTGTGTATTATGAGAGTAAGTTCTATGAGTGTCTTATTGTGTGAATGTGGGTGCACATGCAAGTATATATGGGAGTATATGGGGGGAAGTGTGAGTGTGTGGGATATGTGTGGGAGTGTTGGGAGTGTGTGGGTGTGTGTATGAGAGTATATGGGATATGTGTGTCTTTGGGGATATGTGTGGGTATTAGTATGTGAGATATGTGCGGGTGTATCTGGGTGTGTGGGCATATGTGTGAGTATGTAGAATGTGTGAGTATGTGGGATGTTTGTGAGAGTGTGTACGTGTGAGTATGTAAGGTATGTGGTGGTGTATATCTGAGAGTGGGCGAATGTGGGATGTGTGTGTGGGATGTATGTGTGACAGTGTGTGTGAGTATGTAAGATGTGTGCAGGGGTGTATATGTGAGAGTGTGGGTTATGAGAAAGAATGTGTGGGTGTATATGAGTGTGTGATATGTGTGTGCGGTGTATATATGAGAGTGAGTATATGTGAGTGTGTAAGACGTGTATGTGGGGTGTATATGAGAGAGTGAGTGTATGGGTATGTGTGAGAGTGTGGGATATGTGAGTTTGTCTGGGTGTGTGAGTATGTGGGATAGGTGGGTGTGTGTATGTGTGAGGGTCTTGGTATTCGTGGGGTGTGTGTGAATGTGTCTGAGTGTATGTGTGTGTGAATGTATTGGTGTATGTGAGAGAGTGTTTGGGATATGTGTGTGAGTATATAAGATATGGGGGGTATATGTGCGAGTGTGTGAGTCTGTGGATGTCTGTGGAATATGGGTGGGTGTGTATGTGTGAGGGTGTGTGTGTATATGAGAGAGTATGTGTGGGTGTATGTGAATGTGGGATATGTGGTGGGAGTATATGTGAGTGTGTGTGTGTGTGTGTGTGAGTATAAGGTATGTGGGGGGTGTATATGTGAGAGTGTGTGTGTGTGACTTGTGTGCTTAAGAGTGTGTAGTGTGTGTCGGTCACACAGAACTCGATCCCGGGTGCGCTCCTTCCTCTCCTTGTCTTGCCCTGCACGGGCCTGGCCTTGCTTTGGGCGCCTCTTCTGACCCACGGTTCCTGCCCCGACGGCCCCGGCCCGACCCTGGCTCCAGCTCAGCCCCACACATCCTGGACACCGAGGTGACACCGCGGTGGCACCTGAGTGACTAGGCCAGACCCAGCAGAGCCACAGCCGATCTCCCTGGGGCTGGGCTGGCGTCTGGTCTCCCGGGGTCCAGGGCTTGGCCGCAGACCTCTGCGTGGGGGACACAGTTCCTTCCCTGGCCTCTGCGGGGCTGGCGGGCGGGCACTGAGCTGAGGGCGCAGCCCCAGCCCTGCGCAAGGCACCTGCTCACCCCGTGGCCCGTCCACCAGGGGTTACGAGCCCACCGCGACCAAGTACGCCAGGGTCCTGTACGACTTCACCGCCCGCAACGCCCACGAGCTCTCAGTGCTCAAGGACGAAGTCCTGGAGGTGAGGGGAGGGGCTCTCTGCCCTGGCGTCTGTGCTGGGAGGGGCCCTCACCTGTGGGGATGGCGCCCCTTACGTGTTCCTCACACCCGAAAGTGGGGCTGTGGGTGCGCAGGGTGGGGGCAGCAGGGTGGCGGGGCTGTCTGACCCACACTGGCAGGCGCGCGGGGCGTCCCCTGGTGGGAGGGAGGCCGGGTGACAGGCTGCAGGAGGGGGGGCTGATGTCCACATAGGACTGGGCCCTGTGGTGGGGAGTTTCAGGGGTGTCGCCTGGGACTTGGTCTGCACCCCATGGCTCCGGCACTGGAGCTGGTGGGCGACTGGGGCGACTCGGGGGTACCCACAGGTGGTGAGAGACGGGCACCACTGGTGGGAGCTGCGCAGCTCCAGGGGCGAGGTGGGCTACGTGCCCAGCAACATCCTGGACGAGGCACGGCCCGAGGATGCAGACCGCCCTCCCGACCAGGTGAGGGGAGAAGGTGCTGCTTGGGGCGGGGTGGGGGGGCAGAGCCGGAGGGCCGCCGCAGGGCTGGTTTGGGGCCCGGAAGGAGCAGAGCGACGGGGACAGGCCCCCTGCCCCATCGCTGTCCTCCTGCCCCCCACCCTTGCAGCCAGGTGCGAAATACTGGGGCCCCGCCAGCCCGATCCACAAGATGTCCCCCGGCATCTCAGGACCCAAAAATGGTGAGCAGGGGCTGGAGCGACGAGAGCACAGCGGGGAGGGCGTTTGCCTTGCACGCGGCCGACCCGGGTTCGATTCCCAGCATCCCATAGGGTCCCCCGAGCACCGCCAGGGGTAATTCCTGAGCGCAGAACCAGGAGTAGCCCCTGAGCATCGCCGGGTGTGACCCCCAAAAAAGAAAAAGAAACACACCCAAGTTTTTGGGGCTGGAGAGATAGCACAGCGGGTAGGAGGGCGTTTGCCTTGCACGCGGCCGACCGGGTTTGATTCCCAGCATCCCCTATGTGGTCCCCTGAGCACTGCCAGGAATAATTCCTGAGTGCATGAGCCAGGAGTAGCCCACCCCTGAGCATCGCTGGGTGTGACCCAAAAAGCAAAAAAAAAAAAACTGGTGAGCAGGGACCGGCAGGTGTCCGGGTGAGGGGGGCCCGTCTGGGGCGGGCCGCCGGCCTGAGCTGCTGTCCGCGCAGAGGTCATGGACGAAGTCAACAACGAGCTGCAGCTTAAGATCCACAACATCAAGTCGCAGCGGCCGCGCAGCTTCCGCGTGGAGCGCAGCCAGCCCGTGCGGCAGCCGCTCACCTTCGACTCCAGCCCGGAGCAGGTGCAGGCCTGGCTGGAAGCCAAGGCCTTCAGCCCACAGTGAGCGCCGGGTGCTGGCCGGGGTGGGGGCTGGGGGGGGGCAGCGCCCCGCCCAGGCTCACGCCTGCCCGCCCGCGCCCGCCCGCAGGACGGTGGAGAACCTGGGCATCCTGACCGGCAGCCAGCTCTTCTCGCTGAACCGCGACGAGCTGAAGAAGGTGTGCGGGGAGGAGGGCGCGCGCGTGTACAGCCAGCTCACCGTGCAGAAGGCGTCTCTGGAGGTGAGCCGGGCCTCGCCCTCCCCGGCTGGCCAGCGGCATGCAGCGCGCTGACCGTCCCACTCCCCCCCAGGATAGGAAAGGCGGCACCGAGCTGCAGAAGATCATGGACAAGATCACGTACAACCAGAAGCGGATGGAGGACGAGGAGAGCTGAGCGGCGTCCCGCCGTCCTGACCCCTCACCCCCGCCCCACTGCAGCCAAACGGCCACTCCGGCCACACTGGTGGCTCGCTCGCCCACTGGGGCCCCTGCCCCCCATCCGTGCTCACTGCCGCACCCACCGTACCCCACTCCCGCCCCCAGGAGGGCTTCAGTGGGGCCCCTTCCAGCTCACAGCACCCTGAGGTGGGCATAGGGACCCCCCACGCCCTCCCGTGGAGCAAGCGCAGCTGGATTTCGAGGTCCCTGACGCCTCCCCGAAAAGAAACTTTCTTTGGCCCAGTCCCAGCCAGGCCTGTGCTGTGTCCTGGGGGGTGAGGGGAGGCCACAGCCCAAACAGAGAGAAGCTCGGATCTCATTAAACAGGCTCACTCCTGCCTGAGCGTCGTGGGGGGTTCACTGTGCAGCCCCTCGGAGTGGGGCGCCGGGCACCAGGGAGCCCTCCCTCGAGGCTGGACGACTGTCCTGTGCAGCCAGCCCGGACGGCTGCCCCGCAGTGCACTTCCATGGGCCCAAATCCCGGCGCCAGGTCTGGGAACCCAGTGACGGCATCTGGGGTACAGGAGAGGCTGGTCGGAGGCCAGGCTGCTTCTAGAGTGCCCGGGGACCTGCTGACCACTAGTCTCTGCTCCAGGCCCTTCGCGGTGGTCTCCAGCGCCCTCTGCTGGCAGCCGGAGGCAGCTGCACTCTGGAGCGGGGAGTGCGTGAAAGGGTTTTCTTTCCGTGCTGGGGTGTCGCGCGTCTCGCACCCTGGTTCACTCACACGGCCCCATGGGACTGCGTGTGTCCAGCACGGTCTGGGCCTGAGAATCTCGGAGGTGATGTCCGCGAGGGCATCCCTGTGGAGGTGCCCCCCTGTGGGGTCTGCCCCTTGAGGGACCCATGAGGAGGAGGCAGTGGAGGGAGCAGCTCCCCCCCCAAACAAACACCCCCATGGAGCCCTTCAGCTCACAGCCCTGCCCGGCCCGGCTCCCGCTCCTGCCTGCTTCCAGCTGGTTCGGAGCAGATGGGCTCACAGCCAGGGCTCACAGGCCGGCCTGCCCAGTCTCGGGCTACAGGACCATACAGGAAGATGGTGGTCAGGGAGGCTGGGCCGAAAGGCCTGCTGGCTCCACCGCTGCCCAGACCACTCCCTGCCCCGGCCGTCTCTTTCCCGGAAACCTCAGAGGCCCAGTTCTCTGGCCAGGGGAGACCCCAGCGCCACCCACTTGTCCTCGGAGCTCCTGCGGGGCCTGACCCCACCTATCTGCTCCAGCCTCAGGGCTCCTGGGAGCCCCCTCCTTACTGGGAACCCCAGGATAGTCAGATGCCCACTGCAAAGAGGGGACCCCAGCAACGTGCCTGAGGGGCTCCCACCCTCACCAGGAGGGCCGGGCTGCCCTTCCTGTCAGGGCCACACCCTGCTCTGTGCTGGGCGCTCCAGGCGGTGCCGAGGCTTGAACTCGGGTTTCTGCCCGTGGAGCCCACAAATCCCGTTGAGCAACTTCAGCCCTTGGCACCTCCGCCCTGCTGCACTTTTGCAAAATATTTGGTTTCCCAAGAAGCTGATGCCAGAAGCTAGGGGAGCAGGGCAGAGGGCAGGGGCACCCCTGTTCCCAGGGCAGGAGGGACCGGCAGGGGCTGTAGTTGCAGAAACATTTCTGAGCCCTGAAGTGCAGGGGTGTGGCACTGGGGGAACACGGCCGAGCCCTGGGGAGCTGAAGCCAGCCCATGGGTGCTGGCGAAGAGGCCCCGTGATGTTCACGCTGTCCCCACTGACGCCCAGGGTGCTGCCACCAGCGCAGGACAGCCCAGCAGGGACCATGCACCAGGTCCCCAGCCTGAGCTCTGGTGGGTTCATAGTGAGAGTCGGGCACGGTCACACCCAGGTGAAGAGTGGCCCTGGGGGAGCGAGCACGAACAAGCGTGCTGTGACACGCACCTGTACATAGGGACAGACAGCTAGGGACACACTTGGGCATGTGTGCAGTACATGTGTGGTACACGTGTACAGGGACGTGTCCATGGGCATGTGTGCATGGCCATCCGTGTACGTGGGTATGTGTATGTGGGTACACAGCACATGTGCATGGCCACACGTGTACACCGGCATGGGTATGTGGACATGTGTATACTGGCATATGGGCATGTACACATGGGTACGTGGATACATGTATGCATGGCACACACACATGTACATAGGCGCAGGTGCCCGTGGGGTCACGTACATGCAGAGCCAGGCTCATGTGCACACTAGCCATATCCACATGCACTCGCACACTCGGGGGCACGGCCGAGCCCTGCAGAGCGGTGTGGAGGGGTGTCACAGGGTAGGGCCCCAGAGGGAGCCCCAGCTGCGGGGAGCCTGAGCAGGGCCCTAGTGGGGGGGAGCACCTGGGGGCTCTTCTCCTGGGTCACTCACTGAGGGTACAGCAGCATGTCCCCCACATGCCATGGAGCCAGCACAGATGATGACACCGCAGGGTGAGCTCCAGCGTGGGGGGTCAGGGTGCACGGAACTGCCTTGGTGCAGGCTGGTTGCTGGCAGCTTTTCTGAGGGGTCTTGGAAGTCCACCATGAATCAACTTCCTGCCCCCTTCCCTGCCCACACTGCAGGGGTCGGGGTGGGGGTGCTTGTGATACCAGTGCTCAAGCCGGAAACAGGATGTGTCCGCACAGGGTCTCCGAAACCAGGGGTTCCCCAGAACACAGGCAGCAGGTCAGGAGCCAGATCCTGCCGGGAAGGTGAGGGGCACTGGAGGCGTGGGGCTTGAGAGAAGCATGGGGCCACCGAACAGAAATGGGGCGAACGGAGGGACATGTTGGGTTCGCCTGAGAGCATGTGAGGCAAAACCCCAAATATCCACGTGTGTAAACGAACAGTGCATCGATAATTTTTTTCTTGGTATTTGAGCCACACTTGGTGGTGCTCAGAACTTACTCCTGGCTGTAACACGTCTCTTCCCCGTGTGAACCTCCGTGGCTGTTCCCAGCACGTGGGCATCAGCCAGGAGCTCCCCGCCAGGCCCACCCTTGTACCCAGGAAGCTGTGTGCAAGGCCAGCACCGTCCCTCTGTCCTCTAGTGCTGGGACAGGACCTGGCCTTGCATCTGCCTCAGGCAAAGCCTCTCCTGGGCTTAATTCCAGGGTTTAATCCCGCCCCTGACTCAGCTGTCAGCTTCTGTGACTCAGTGACTAGGACCAAAGGAGACAGTCAGGTGAGATTAGAATTCGGCTCTGCACAAAGGGCCTGTTGGTGCTGTCAAAGGGCGGCTGGTAACCTGGGTGACCGCCAGGAGTGAGTGCAGAGCCAGGAGCAATCCCTGAGCATCGCGGGGTGTGGCCCCCGAAAAAAGAAATAGTCCCCTTTGTTAAAAAGGTATCAAAGGAGAAGCTTCTGCCTGTCTTGACCTGCAGGACACCCCCCTACCCAGGAGGCCCCTGCTTCCTTTCCCTTCCCTTAGTCTTTTCCTTTTTATATGGGGGGCGGGGAGCAGGGCACACCTGGTGACTCTAAAGGGTTCTTCCTGGCTCTGCCTTCAGGAATCACTCTGGGCGGGCTCCTAGGGGGTCCCGGGGATCAAATCAGGTCAGCCGCGAGCAATGAAAATGCACTCCCTGCTGTATCGCTCTGGCCCCCAAATAAATGTTTTCAGAATTCAGCTGTGTCGTCTCCATTCCTGTGCTCCCACCTGGCTGTGGAGGACAAGACCCGCAGGCCTGGGCCTGAACACCAGCACCCCGACCCTCCCCCTCCCCCCAAGACTCTCACCTCTGACCCTCCCCCTCCCCCATGACTCAGCACCCCTGACCCTCCCCCAAGATTCAGTCCCCCACCACCCCCCTCCAGATTCAGCACCCCTGACCCTCCAGGCCCCTCCCCCTCCCCCATGACTCAGCACCCCTGACCCTCCCCCAAGATTCAGCACCCCTGACCCTCCCCCCTCTCTCCAGCACCCTGACCCTTCAGGCCACTCCCCGCAAGACTCAGCAGCCCTGACCTCCCTGCCATGACTCAGCAACCCTGATTCTCATGTACCCCACCCCCCTGTAACTCAGTACCCAACTGGAGCAGGAAGACTTGTAAGGTGTGCACCTTTTCTCTAGAACTTTCTATCAGCCCAGGTTGACACTCTGTTCCTTGTGTGCAGGGCCGGGAGAGGCTCTTAGGTAGGAGTCTGGGTACATCCCGAGATCGTCATTTCCCACCTGGTGAAACCCCGGTCCCCCAAGACAAAGCAAACCTGTCAGAGCGACAGCACCCTCATGGGGCACCCGCCTCCCCTGTGGCTGACCCAGAGTCAGTTCCCAGCACCCCAGTGCACGGAGCCCTGACTTGAGAGATCCTTGAGCACTGCCAGGTGTGACCCCGAACAAAACAACAAAAGCACAACAAAGGAAGACAGTGGCTGGCTCACCAGCTTGACCCCAGCACGGCCCAGCGTCCTGAGCACCTTCAGGAGTGAGCCCTGAGCACAGTGGCAGGAGTAAGCTGGGAGTGGTCCGGAAACACAGATATGGGGGAGGGGCTGGTGAGATGGGGCACCAAGGCTGACCTGTGCCACCTGCTCCCCTGAGGACTGCCAGGAGGGACCCTCAGCGCAGAGCTGGCAATGGCCTAGGGGCCTAGGGCAGCGCAGTCAGTGTGGCCCAAAGAAGAGGCTCGGGGTGACCCTGTTTATCTCTCTCTCCTCCTCTCCTTCCTCCCTTCCTCTCTCCTCCCCTTCCTTCCTTTCTCCCTCTCCCTCTCCACCCTCCTCTCTCTCCCTCTCTCCTCTCTAAAGCTCTCTTTCCTCCTCCCCCATCTCTCTCTCTCTTTCTCTTCTTTCTCCTCTCTCTTCCCCTCTCCTCTCTCCCTCTCCCGGTTTCAGCCACACCCTGGGACTCAGGGGCAGTCACTCCGGGCTCTGTGCTCCTATGATCACACCCAGGCCCCATGCAGACCGCTGAGCCTCATTTGTTTCTTGGTGCCGGTGCTTTTGGGGCCCCCTGAGAGCCCCCCAGCCTGAAGGCAGTGGATGTTCTTTCCTGGGGAGCCCCACCCCCTGCCCCACAGGCTGGGCTCCTGCCCAAGACGCCCCTCTGTGGGAGCACCTGCCTCTCTGAAGTCCCCGGGGCTGGCCCACTGTGGGATGCGGTCCCGGCCCCCTCACCTTCTCCTCCCTGCGACCCCATGGCTGCTCCCTGGGCCCCTACAGACGCCACTGTCCCCAGCCTCCCTGTCCTCTGTGCAAACCCGCCCTGCGCGCTCTGGGCTCTCAGCCGTCTACACCGCCCGCTGCTTCCTCCTGGCCTCTCCCACCTCTGCCCAGGGCACCAGGACCCTCTGGCGGTGCTGATGGTGGTGGACAGCAAGTGCTTTATCTC